ATTTAGAGGGTCTATAATTAGGAATATATGTATGTATGTACAGGCATGCATATCTTGAGTTCTGCAGCTTGTGTCTATACACTATACATTTTTTTAGATTCTCTTTTCTAGGCAAAAATAAAGACAGACAGTAATTAGTTTCGCGTTTTGTCTCTCCAATAAGATAGAAAAAGAATTTTAAGTTTCTTTTTGGTCACTCAGCGAGTGACCGTAAGAGCTCTTTAAAGTTTTGTTCTAAAAATAGAAATGAATATCAAATGTTGATCATATCTTAGTCTAGATATTTTTTCTAATTTGCAGAAAAATAAACTTTCTTATCAATAGGGATTTTTTCTGTCCCGGACCCATATACCAAAATTAACTTGAATACCAAAATGAATCATAATTGCTTCCGAAATAATATCTATCCATAATGAGAATTTATTGTTTTTGTAACAACAAATTACTAATGGCTGTACAAGTGGCTTCCACTTTAAAATTTTACAGCTTGCACAGTGGCTCACACCCCACCGAAGTGGCTCGTAAACAAAATGATGCTATAAAATCGAAACAAACATGTGAATTCTCTCAAGAAAACGCCACTTTGTGGTGATGTGGTTGTTGTTTTTGTTGGTCTCTAAATTTAGGGGGCCAGCTCTTGTTGTTGCCACCATTGTTTACTTTCGATTTATTGATGTAGCTTACATGATATTTCAAGTGGCACATACTCGAAGTTTCGGTCAGTGTAGTAAAATTTTTTTTTATTTTTCCAACGAATTTCTTACAATGTATAATAAAAACGAAATGAATCAGAAATTACCAATAAACCACGCACATATTATATTCGTTTTTTTCACCACCATGTTCTTATTTTCTAAGCAACTTTCTGGAATACATAAACCTTCTCAATTGTTTAAGATCAGAGAGTTCAGATCCAGTGAAATTCTTCAAGTCACTGAAAATTATTTGCTGTTTTTCTGATAAGATTTCTATGGGAAGAGGGTATAAATTAAGTGCAGAAGAATGAAGAAATCTTCATTATCAATCGCGACAAGTACTCCCAGCAATGGTGCGTTCAATCAATTTTTGGTAATTATGACATAAAAATATCCTGGCAAGTCCTCTAGCAAGTTCAGTATTACAGCTTCCTTGCTGTCGGTGTGGCAGTGATTCTGATGATGTGTGCAAACAGGACTCAAGGTGATCAGTTTTCGGTCTCTGCTCAAGAAATGCTTCGCATTTACGGCGATTCATTAGTTAGCAGAGTTGCTCTGCTCAAATACGAGAATCTGGAACGCCTAGCTGAATTTTATGAGAAGTATCGTGATCGCATCCCATTCTACGAAAGGGAAAGGCAATGGGCCGATCATATGCTGTTGAAGTACAAACAGCTCTGGGTTGTTGATGGAGTACCGCTTCAAGGAGGAGGTTTAGTAGTTAGACCTATTTCTGATCGTGATCTTGATGAACTCGAGTTTATACTTAAACGAGTGACAAGTTCAGCTGCCGGTGTTAAGATAAATCGTGGCACCGCACTCTTTGGTCTTGCTTCCATTATCACCTGCTATGTACTTGGATCAATGTAGGTAAATTGTGTGTAAGGCCATTGTCTAGATCAATGTTAACGTTTGATCAATAAATACAACAAATATTGATTAAAAATTTGTGTTTACTTGCTAGTCTTCTAAGTTACTTATGACAAGATATAAACATAAAGTTGAATATGCAAATTATCTTGAAAAACGATGTTATATTTGGTGTTCCTTTTTTTTGGGGGTTGAAGGTGGCTGACTAATACTATCGATACTTATTTACATATGACTTAGGTCCTTTGTTAATATAAGTTTCATTTGTGAGTCTGTTATGAAAAAATCCCAAAACGAAATTGTATATAGCTAAATTTGATGCTGAAAAGTGTACGTTTAAAAAACTAACTGTCAAAATCTCAATTATTCCTTGGTTTTCCAATGTTTTTATTATAGCGAAGCTATAATTGTTTATTGTTTAATTTAATAAACAAGAAAGGAAACTTAGAATATATATACCTTATAGGGTCCGAAATGTCTCCTTCACTGCGTTGCTTACTTCTGACTAAAAAAACCAGCATAACATCCGTTGTTATTTTCTAAGCCGCCTGCTGAAATACATAAATCTGTGAAATATTTAGAGTCAGGAAGTTCGAATCCGGTGAAATTTTTGTTTCGTTTCATTAAATTGAAACTTATGTGGCTGTTCTTCTGATAAGAAGACTATGGCAAGTGCTAATTATGTATTAAATATTTAAATAAATTCAGTTCAGTCTTAGTGTATATTATTTTGTATTTATTTATTTATTTGGTCAACAGAGAGACTCCTTAACTGGCTACTTAAATACTTAATTAATACTAATTGAGGCTAAATATAGATACAATATTTTATTAGCTGAATCTCTTGGTGAGGTTGGGTCCAATTGCATGATTGATTTATTAAAGTAAATAAATTCCTTGTGATGGGCTCGTTTAGGAGGACATTTTGTAAATGTAATAATATCAAGTATTTCTCGTTTTTGCAAAGAATTTCATCAAATATATTTATAATTAAACAATTACTAAGCCACTTGATGAAATACATTAATCTTTAACGAGTGGGTCAGAGTGGTCAAATACGGCGAATTTTTTTTAGTGAGACAATTCCTAGAAGAAATAAACATATTTCTAGGCAACCAAAAATATATTTTGCTGTTCTTATCAGAAGAAGATGTCTATGGAAAGAGGGTATAAATGGGCTGCCAATTCACTCTTTTTGCATAGCTTTTCATTAAGGGGGGGGTAAGGTATTTAATTTTTTTTTTCGTAAATTTTTTTTTATTTTTTATTTTAAAAGTTCAATATTTTAAGAATATTGTGTCCAAGTTTTACATCAATCATAGTAAAATTGACGAAGTTATGCGGAGCTGAACGAAGGTCGGTAGGTGTTCAATGCATGAGAATCACAAAGTTTAAAGCGCTCTCCTGAAAAATGCCATTTTGAAAATCGGTGTACACGATAACTAAAAATATACTGAACCAATCGGTTTGAAATTTGGAACATAACTTCTTTAGATAATTCTACAGGTATTCTCGTCGAGCTTTTTTTAATTTTTAATTTTCTTATATTTTTTATTTAACAAATTAACTTAATTTTTTAGTCAAAAATCGGGGTTTTGACTTCAAGTTTTGATAAAAAATAGGGAAAAAATTTTAAAAATAAAAACGCTTCGAGAATACCTCGGGACACTTATCCTTTAACGAATGAGGTATAATTTTTGTAGATCGGATGATTCTGTGGACAGTTAGGATGTACACCGCAAACCAACTTTTTTTGGAGGCGACTCGGGAGATTCCCTATAACTCCTCTACCTCTAAATATTTTTCAATACAAAATTTATCACAAACTGTTCAAATGTTGTGTTATTATATGGTATTTAATTCGTTAAGCTAGCTTTAGCCGTTTCGCCACAACATTTTTTTGAAAAGTGGGCATTTTTGCACCGAATTAACCTTACCCCCCCCTTAACAGTCGCGGCAAGTAGTCCCAGCAATGAATCGTCCAAATAATTTGTGGTAATTATGATTAATAGAAAAATATCCTGGCAAGTCCTTTAACAAGTTCAATATTACAGCTTCCTTGCTGTCGGTGTCCTGGCAGTGATTCTGATGTGTGCAGTTAGCACCCAAGGAGACCAGTATGCGGACGCTGGTCGGGAAATTGTTCGCATTTACGGCGATCAATCAGTCAGTAAAGAAACCAAATTCGAGAAGCTGCAGAGCCTAGCTGAATTTTATGAGAAATATCGTGATCGCATCCAATTAAATGAAAAGGAAAGACAATGGGCCGATCAGTTCCTGCTGAAGTACAAAGAGTCATTTGTAGAAGGAGCACCGCCCCAAGGAGGAGATGTAGAGATTAAATTTGGCAATGATATTAAGAATTCTACAATTATAGTTCAGAACAATTCAGCCAGCAAAGCCAGCGGAGTTGAGATAAATCGCGGAACCGCAATTTTTGGACTAGCTCTTGTCGCTGCCTCCTATATATTTAAGTCCCTACAGTAGCTAGCATACTTTCATGTTTAAAAACAAAATGTCTATTGTTAAACTTGCTAGACTGCTCTTAAAATATATATTAAAATATCACTAAACTTCTGCGTTGTTTATTTGTTGTCACAGTTTTTAGGGTGACTCTTTGAAAAACTGAGTCGAGGAAGCAACTAAGCTTCCGAATTTGTGGCATATTTGACTGTGTTTTAAAGCTTAGACAAAAGTAAAAATAATTTAAATTATAACAGCATAAAGAAGTTGTCAATAAACAAATAAAATATAGAAGATCGAAGATGTATAAAGATTTTTTTTTTAATAAGCATTCCTGATAACCAATTCCAAGAAATAACTAATAAAATAAATTCCAGAAAACAAGCGTTTTTGTTTTATTTGTTTTATATTTTATTTTTTTCAACAAAAACAACAAATTGCAACCATTCGACCTTAAAATACCTTGCAATTCAAAAAGCTTTATAAATAATCCTCTTATATAATCTGTATAAAGTTTTTGATAACCGATTCCACGAAATGTACCAATTATAGGTTAATAAACACATAAAAAGGAAATGAGTCATATTGCATTTATATTTTGTATATTTTTTATTTACTTTTTTTTCAATAAAGAAAACCAATTGCAATCATTCGACTTAAAGTACCTAGCAATGCAAACTTCAGATATTCATTATATTTAATAATATAAAAAATATATTTATGAATAATCCTCTTTTACGTTCTGTAAATACTTGAGACTTGTCGTATTCGGAATGTAATTTCAACAATTTATTTCCTACATGTTTGAAAAGTCCTATCATACCTTTTTACGTACCAAGTGAAATTATGTATATATATTCCAAAGCTGCGCTTCGATTGTACTATCTACAAGCGTCTTTATTTTTCTGTGTTTCTGATAAGAACTGAACGTGAGGAGGGTATAAATTGTGAATCCTCTTTGTGGAGCAAGTCAAAATACTTTTACATTCCCGAGTGACAGTGTCTTCTGACAAGTGAATCCAGCTATGAGTCGTTCAATGAGTTTGTGGTAATTATGACTAAGAAATAATATATCCTGGCAAGTCCCTTAAGAACTCTGAGGTTTCAGCTACCTTGCTGTCCTAGTGACAGTGGTCCTGATGTGTGCTGGCAGCACTCAAGGCGACGATCAGTTCACGGCCACAGCTAGACAAATGATGCGTATTTACGGCGACCCATCAGTCAATAGGGCAATCAAGCAGCAGAATCTGGATCGCCTGGCCAACTTTTACCAGCACAACCGTCATCGGATTCAATTCACTTCACAGGAAAGACGACAGGCTGATGACTTGCTGAGGAGGTACAATAATGCAAAGGCTTCTGTCACGGTGGATGGAGTACCAGCCCAAGGAGGAGCTGTTACAGCCGTACTTATTCCCCTGGCTGTTGAAGGAGCCACCCAGCTGGTCAAGTTTGGAATTGATCATTTGAAATCATCAGCCGGCGGAGTTGAGATAAATCGCAGTGCTGCCATTTTTGGCTTGGCTTTTATAATGGCCTGCTATTTGGTTAGATCTAAGTCGTTGTAGGATGGTGTCCGCTGGTATACTGACTTTGAACTATGTGAACTCTGCCTTGATGAATATAAAAGTCAATTCCATTGAATATCTGAAAACTGTAGTACTTATGATTTACAAAATAAGTTAGTTGCTTATGGATTTTTTTAAATAATTTTTTAATATTTTGTTTTAATAAATTTAAACTACATATTTCATATTAAACCATAAATAAATAGAAAATGATTGAGATCACGGCCATAGATGATATATACCATATATAGTTATTGTAACCTACAAGCAGCACTTGTAGGTGAATTTAAGACTGTTTTTTAGACATACATTATGTTGGCCATGACCATCCTCAACCCTTAACATGTCTCACACCAGGCTAGGAATAAACCCTCTCAGGATAGCGGTACTAGATGACCCCTGCGTGCTTTAGACTCTACTCCTTGTTAAACTTCTATCTAAGCTTTCAAAACGCACTTGATTACTTTCAAATCAATAATTAATATTCATTTGTGTCGACCTCTGTCCGGCTTAGAATTTATCTATGCATACCAAATTAAATTGCGTTGTCAGCTAAAAGTGCTTTGAAGTGCAACTCTACTATATTTCAGGGCCAACCTCGCAACTCAAAAACAAAAAAATATAAACTCAGACATATCAAATGCAATGCAATCACCAAACCGTGACGTCATTTGCCTGGTTTGGTTTATAAATACGCGACAAACTCGTTTTGTATATTTTTTTTTTGTTTGTTTGTGATTATGTAAACTTCAAACGCAAAAGAAGAAAAACAAGCATTTGTTTTGGTTTTTCTCTCCGTCTTTGTATTCATGAATGACTTTCATTAATTGCCGCTGTAAGTTGAGCTTTACCATGCGCTGACCCATATTTTCCCCAGTTGCTCGCTCTCAATTTGCATTTTCAGTATGTCTCTCAATTGGTAACTGATCCATCAGGGTTGTAGCTTATAATAATAATCCATAAGGGCATAAACAACCACCGGCCAAGGGTGATGCTTTCTCACGCTTCATGATGTCACGCCGTTAAAGGTGTAAGAGAATTACAATTACCGCAGACCCAGGGTCGGTGTTTAAGAACATTCGGAGCATTCAAAGGCCACCCATTCATGGAGAAGAGCAGAGAGCCTTGTGTTTGGGGAAAACTATAGCTAGCTCTCTGGGAGGCCAGAGAGAGTAAACTGATTAAAGTACGACGTGTTATCTTTCAACATTTTACCACCCTATAAACTTAAGCTTTTTTGCGTCATTAAACTTTATACGTAAAGTTAATGGCAATTTAAAATGGTATTCTTCATTTTGGGAATATTATATCAATAAATATCTAGACAAACATCCTATTAAATAAACATTTTTTAGGTCTTTCATACGATATACAATGTATTCAAAAATCTTTGTTTACGTTCTGTGCATTTTCTGACAAGAGGTCAAGCAGAATTGGCCGAATCTCGAGTCAGGGCTTTGTGCAACACTGATTTAGACACCGAAAATGTTGACTAAACCCCCGGTGTTCTCTATGCTAGTTAAAGATTTTAAAAGGAATTCATTTCTGTTTCAAATATATAAAAGAAATATTTCATACAACTCCTCCCTCATCCCCTTACAAAAAGCCGGCTACTGCGCCACTGACCCCAAATAATAACAAAGCGGTGTCTCGGCTCAAACTCGGTGAGAGCCTGCTGAGGCGGTAAACACAACATCCATCAAAATGCGTAAATAATACTCTCTCTATCAGACTCTCAAGCTCTCCGTGGCTTCTTGGCACTAAGGTCTCCGGGTCTCTCCCGCTCTCTCTGGGTTTTTCATAAATACCCATACAGAGGCGAGCCCACAGACTCTGGGAAACATGAGCTTTACTACGATTACTATACGAGAGCTGCTGCTCTCTCACTTTTTTTTTTGGACTGGACAAGGCGTAGCATATTGAACGTAGTCCCCACTGGGTTCAGTATCGAACCGGCTTTCTGCGACAGCGGATTGAAAACGCGGAGCGACAGAGTCGGCGCCGGGGCATAATGTGATAAACCCGCCTGCCCAACAAACAAAATAATAAAAGCAACCAAAACCCAATTTGAATCTTTTTTCGGGGGCAGTGAGAACTGCGAGTGTTTATACGAAATACAAAAATCTTACCTAACCGCGTGAGATAATCTCATGTGCGCTCGCATTGTCTCCTAATAAAAACCCCAGAGCCCCCCGAAAGCTCCAAGTGTTAACCATAAAAACCAGGAGAAGCGTGTTGTGTGATTTGCTTTTAAGCAAATTAAAGTTGAATTACGTGTGCGCCGAAAAAAAAAGAAGAAACTGAAGGCCATTCAAGGGTTGTTCAAAGGAAAATTTGGAAATTTGGCTGGCAAAGGAAAAGTCACGAAAAGTCCGTGTGTGTGTTTTTTGTGTGTGCGTTGCGTGAGAAAAATCAATTCTGCATTTTGTGGAAATTCGAAGGAGAGGAGAGAGAGAGACAAAAGAGAAGAGAGCAGTGAGACCAGGACAGGACCCACAAGGAAAACCCAGTAACCGATGACAATTTGGCTTGACAAGGGGCAATTAGCAAAACCAATGCCATTATGGCTGATAGAGGAGATCCAGGATCCAAGCACAAGGATCCAACAACAACAACCGTAGATGCCGGCGGAGGACAGGCAGCGGGCGGAGGCGATGACGTGCCTCCTCCAATCCCAGCTGTTCGCCGGCGTCGTGCGCATGAGCACAAGCAGTCCTCGAGAGAACAACTGGACGAGGAAGAGCAGGTTCGGAGTCAGGAGAGTCAACAGCTGGAGACATCGACGGTGACGCGTACTTATATGAAAACCATCACCACTTCCCTGACCACGTCGAGTAGCTCCAACCGGGAGGAGTTTGTGCTGGAGGAGCCCTCTCCTTCGCCAAACCAACAAAGATTGCGTCAGAAGGTGGCTCAGTATGAAAAAGTATGGTCGGAGGGCTCCAATCCTGTCAAGCGACCGGCCGAGCAGAGCTCGGATGAGTTGCGTCTGGCCGATGACCAACAGGATGACTTTGATGCCGAGAATCCCTTTGAGATAGACGTCCATGAGATTGAGCGACGACTGCGACAGGAGCGGCAGCGCGGCTTGGCAGAAGCGGAGGCAGCCAAATTGGCTTTCCAACAGGTCCAACTCCGGCACACGACTCCTCCACCTCAGCTGCCGCCGCGACGAGTGGAGGTGACCAGCGAGCAGGTAGCTAGTCCTTTTAACGTAACCCTCCGCACCACGAGTCGTATGAGTCCTGGGGCGGAGCAGGGCAACGTGGAGGAGCAGCTGTCGCCGTTCAATGTGACCCTGAGAACCACTCGTAGGACCAAGAAAAAGGAGGTCAAGGAACTGGAAAGCTTCCTCGAAGGCGAAAGAACTGTGCGTGAAGTGCCCTCAGCGGATGGAGTTCGCACCATCATTACCTCCTCGATGACCAGCGATGGTGGCTATGCCGAGGAGAAGATCTATCGCCACGGTGAGGGCTATGTATCGCCTAGGGATTCACCCTCTTGGTCGCGTTCCAGTTACTCCAGCGAGCGTTCCAGTGTGACGCCTCCGAGGAGCGTAGATCTAACCGCCGGCGGACGAAGGATTCTGATCAAACTGGAGCAGGAAAGTGAACTGGCAGAAGCTGATAGCCAACTAAGGGACGAAACCGATTCGTTTGGTGGTCGCCAGGAGTTGTCCATGGCAACGGGCGGCAACATTGACATTACCGTCGGTGGTAGCAACCCCCGCCGGCGTTTATACCAGCAAACAACTGTCCAGGTGGGTGGCAACGCCGCCGCCGAGCCAACCCTAACCCCCCAAAGGCAGCGGCCCAGGGAACTAGCACTGGGCACCACGAAGACAATGCTAACATCCACGCCAATTGGCACGAAGGAGCAACCGCAAACGGGTCCGAAAACTCAAGTTAGTCCAGCTGCAACGTGCCAATTGCGCGGTTCTTCGACGGAAGAGCCCCGGAAAATTGTAAGCCACAAAACGATAACCAGCACAACGACCAAGTCCACTTCATCCTCCTCCTCCACGTCGCGCAAATTAATCGAATACGAATCGGGATCCGGATCCGGGAATATCTCGCAGATACGTATGGAAAATATAACCGCGAGTGACAACGACATTGTCGATAACGATTCGGATACGGAGGGCAGGCCGGCCAGCAGTATAGTGATTGTGTCCACGCCCACGCGTTCCCATACACCGGCACCGGCAACCACATTCATATCTGCACCAACGGCATCCGCGTCGCCCATTACGCCGCACTGTTCGACAGCTGCCCACGCCCTCAGCGGCATTGGCACTTTCAGCAAGAGTCTGCGCCAGGATTATCAGACTCTAGCAACGCAAAGTGGCCGCAGCAACGAATCGCCCAGCGACCAGGAATACCAGGAGTTCCAGTCCACCATGGCTTCGATCAATTACGCACGGAGCAATTCCCAGTACGATTGTCATATCAAGGAGAAGAGAGGTAAATCAGAGAGGGAATGTTTTTTTTATACCCTTGCAGGGTATTATAATTTCAGTCAGAAGTTTGCAACGCAGTGAAGGAGACGTTTCCGACCCTATAAAGTATATATATTCTTGATCAGCATCAACAGCCGAGTCGATCTAGCCATTTCCGTCTGTCCATCTGTCCGTCTGTCCGTCTGTCCACCTGTCCGTTTCTACGCAAACTAGTCCCTCAGTTTAAAAGCTATCTGAATGAAACTTTGCATATAGTCTTCTATATACTCTCACTGCTATATATGTCGGAACGGGCCGGATCGGACGACTATATCATATAGCTGCCATACAAATGTCCGATAAATTTTTAGAAAAAAATTATAACTTTGCTGTTTTTCAACATTTTTGCACCATTTTTTAGATATGGCCATTTTATACTATTTCTAAATTTTGGTAAAAATTTTATGAAAATCGGACGACTATATGATATAGCTGTCATAGGAACGATCGGGAAATTAATAGGAAACAAATTATTGCTTCGTTGTTTTTCAACGTATTTGTATCTACTCTGAGATATAGGCTTTTTTTATTGTTCTAGAATTTTGGTATAAATTTCATAGAAATCGGACAACTATATCATATAGCTGCCATATAAACCGATCGGTAGATGTATACAAAATGTAAAGCTGGGAATGCAAAACTGTAACTGTCAAACTGTAAACATAATAAGTATAGGTAAAATGTAATGAAATAATATCTGCAAGGGTATACAAACTTCGGCGTGCCGAAGTTAGCTTCCTTTCTTGTTTAATATTTATTTTAAATAAATTAGTATTGAAATTTTTGTAAGGATTTATCATAAGAAGTTCTTAATAAGTTAGGATATTTGTGATGTATTGTATGATAAAAGAAAGGATAAATCGAAATTGTAAATATGGAAAAAATTGATTTTAACGATAAATTTCATATCGAAATATTCTAATACCGCAATTATATATATTAAAGCACGTATAATATCGAAATATCTAAACAAATGTTTTCTGAAGATACTGTATACCTTTAAAAAGGTTTAAATAAACTGTTCGATAAACTCTTTATATTTATATACATGTTGATAGCTTAAGAAGCTTTAGTCATTTATAAGGCATAGTTCCGATATATCAAAAAGATTGTCGATTTATCGCTCACATATTGAAATTTTTTTTAAATTTATACATCGTTCTTCGCGTGGATATTATATTCCATCCCTAACCAATATGAATATTCCCAACTGTCGAAAAGTCTTACTTTAATAAATTTGAAATATTGTGACTCAAAATTGTATTGAAATTTTTGGAAGCACTTAAACCTGATGACCTAATTTTGAAGAGCTTGGCCATAGCCTTATCTATAGCAAATTCTCCAGATTAATCCCCCATTAAGCTTATCGTCAGCTTGCTCAGGATCTTATCTTTACCTAAAGATAAGGAGGAAAACGTGAAGATATTTTACCCACTTCCCGTTGGGCAAACTTAAATACAAATACTTAATCCATAAGGGAGATCCCATAGAATGTCAAGGTCAAATGGCGGCACTTTGTAGTTACAGAGACATTTGTATGCCTAATTAATTATTCCAAAAAAAAATCGATAATAAATAAAATATATATATATAAACGTCCGAAATGACATCATCCGTCGCTTCTAGACGCCACAATTCGAAACTTTAACTTGTTTAGCCGTTAAGCTTGTTGTTATAAGTCAGTCGGTCGGTTGGTCGCGCCCTAAACTTCTATCTGGCGATTTATATTATTTATATACTCGCGCACAGTGCGTTTGTTATGTATTCGCTTGCCATATTGACTGTTGGCAAGCAGTTTGTTACCTCTTTCCTTCTGGGCCCCACAAATATTTATTGGCAGCCAAAAAGCACTCGAAGAACTACCCCCCAGGACGGGGTTGGATTGTGTGTCTATTATGTGACCTCCTCGGCTGTTATTATGTTAAGCACAACAACCAATTAAGTGTCTGGCAGGCCGGTGTCTCTCTGTCTCTCTAAATGTCTGTCTGGCTGTCTGTCCCTCTGATCTGCAAGTGGATCGAACAGTCGGTCCTCCCAATGACTTGGCGCAATTTTGGGCTGCATTTCGACGAGCTGTTTTTATAGAGAGTATATAGTATATGCAAATATTTTTTGTAGATACAATTTTTTTTTTTTTTTTTCTATAGATACGCCAACTGACTGACTGTCGTTTTGTGTGCATTATCTGGAATATATGATGTTGATTATCGGGCAAAAAAAGTTCTCTTCTTGGCACGAAGAATATTTTATGGAAATTGATTTTTCATGTTTGCTGCTGCCAGGAAAGTTTTGTGGGGTTATTTTTATTAATAGACGAGATTAAAAGGTTTTGATGAGGCCAGACAGGTGATGGATGAGATTATTAGCAGTGTGCCATACAAATTTGTTATAAATAAATAGCTAGAAGTACTTTAATTCCACTTTAGCTTATATAAAAATAAATTTTCTATTTAAGAAAACCTTCTAAATATTTTCTATATATTTTCTTTGGTAGTTAAATATGTCTTCATATGACAATTAGTGAGCATAAATCAAGTTTGCGTGAGTTTAAGTATTATTTTTCACTTCTGGGATCATCGTCAATGTCAGCATAACGGCTCTTGGCTGTCAAATGTTATGGATGTTGCGTGTTTTAGCCAACTTTTCGACGACTTCCTTTTCGATAAATCCATTTGACAAAGCAACCAGAATTTGGCCTAAATGTGTGAGCCAGTCAATGGCTCACACAACATCGTTATATATTGACACGAAGCAGCACTCTTGATAAATTTATAATAAAAAAAAAAAAAACGGCAAAACGTACGTCAAGCCTTCACTAATTGATGACAGTCACATCCACTATGTTTATATAGTATAGATTGAACTATTGATTGCTGGGGCTTTTGACTTGCTTTCAATACATGTCCTCACTTTCCAAGCAATTATCATTAATGCCATTTTAATGGCAGCCACAAAATATATAAAAACTCTTTCAATATTTATGATACCGCTTGCGGTGCAACCATTGGATATTGAGCTTCATCAAGGCACATTTCAAAACCGAATATGATTTATGAGAGAAAGATATTTAATGCCGGGTCCCAATGAAAATGAAAATGTTTTTGCAAAACAAAAGGCGAATTTCTAACTGCTGTCTGATCTGTCTGATCAATCCATTGGAACACGTCCCCAACAGGCAGCCGTACAACTGAGATCATCGTCGTCAAGTTATTAATTTATTATTGATTCCGCTATTGTCTCGTCGCCAACTGTCAGTTCTGATAATTTATAGGGCATTCGTGTAGCTTAGCGGCTTTTAATTGATGCCTAAAATGCGGTCCAGAGAAGTTGGCGCCCGCATTTGCTGAAATTCGAGCTGAGATTTGTAAATTAAGAAGCGAAACAAGTTTACGCCAAGCCGAACTTCAAGTACACACACTCGGCACATGCAAATTTTGCTCTTAACCCACAAAGTATACTTGATGTGGGAGCCGATTCGATCCTATGTATATCCCCTCCAGATGTTGGTCATGTGGCAAAGAAATTAAAAAATTACGGAATTTCGTGGCTTCCTCCTCTTCAGTTTTCAGCTCGTGGGCAGATCTTTAGAAGTTCTCTTATGGTGGGGGCTTCTTTTTTCCATTTGCCCATTTTTGCGGTGTTCGTTGGACAAACAAATTATCTTTTTTGTAGTGGTTTTTTGTTGCCTTATTTATTTTCTTTACATTTTGAGGTGCTCAATCATTTAGTTTTGAGTTTGGACTATCTGCTATTTCTTTGGTGGTTTTAGTGAACGGTATTAATGACAAAAATAAATAAACAGAGGAAAGAACGCCTTTTGATTTCGGTAAACAACAAGCCACTAGAGTACATATACTTAGTTATGACGCAATCCACTGCCACTTGACTGAATGAATATGTATGAACATATCGTATTTGCATCTAATATTTTCGAGTAGCTGCGAAATCTACTCATTCCGACATGTTTGGGTTAAGGTACAGATGGGAGGGGATGTTAAAGGCAATGGAGCGTAAAGTTAAGTAATGCCATTTATAAGACTCTCCAACATGTTGTTGGCAATTTATGCGGCTTTTCTGACACCGCAGGTGACAACAGCAAGTGCAACTCGGGACACGCCTCACTGGGTTTCGTGTGATGATGTGGAAATTTAAATTTAAACTGAATTTAAACAGTTGATATAATAATTATATGGCTTATGCTGATGAATGATCATCTCAATGTCCATGTGAAAGGTTAACATTTTTATTTGTTTTGTATGACATAAGAAAATTTACAACGCCCGAACTTTGGAATGTAATCTTAACACGTCTGGCGAAGCCTTAAGCTAGATAAAGTTTTCATTTTTAGATTTATCACTAGCTTCTGTGTTTTTAGGGGGTTTTATGGAGCTATACCGTCTTACATATATGTTAGATAGTAATGGCATTTCCTTAACGATAAAGTTAAGTTAAGTTAAGGTCTCTGAGCTTTTCATTTTTATTTAATTAATTTATTGTGCACTCAGAAATATTTTATATTTATTTGGACACTATAAAAAAAATAAGACAAGCCATTGTAAACACCTTTCTTTGCTGGTAAATTTTCAATAAAAACTTTGGCGAATTCGCCCTAAAATTATTAGGTTTAATTATTTCATACGTGTGCACTTATAATTCCCAACTGGTTCTAACCTCCCCCGAATGAAGTGACGGCTGTCGTCCATAGGTATTGGACAGTGGCGACTACATGTGTGTGTACATTGCTTGTGCTATTAAATAAGTGCTATTACATAGTTTTACTTACCCTAAAAGTAACTCAATTAATTCTTAAATCAAGAAAAATGTTCATTAAGTTCAGAAAATGTTTAAAAATTTTAGAATTTTAAAGATTATTAAATAAGAATGGTTTTGCTTTAGGCTTTTCAATGGGGTCTGGGCATTGTTAAAAAAAAAAGTATACAAATAATAATAATAACCACGCTTGTGTTGGTGTTGTCTTGTATTTTATATATTTTTTAAACCTCAAGCCTAATGTAAATTACATTTACCCTCGTTCAATTGGTATTTATATGTTCCAATTTTCTTTATTCTATATTCCCCATTACGCAATGTGTTCGGCATCCAAATAATTAAGCAAATAAACATTTGTTTTTGTATTACGGAAGCCCACTGCCACTGCCTCTCCAACCGCGAACATTTTATTTTGGACTCGACTTACCGTTGAATAGATCAGACCCCGGCATATGCTCTATATCGTCTGCATTCAAACACAACACACACTCCCCCTTTTTTCTAACCCAAAAAACTTCCATTCGATTGCCTTTTGTTTATGCAAATGTAGAGGAACATTTTCTTGTATTTGGTGTTTTATTTTCGTTTTGTAGGGAAACCCAAACAATTAGCTATGCGTGAAAGTAAATAAACTATTTTTACCAAACACTTCTTTTCTTTGTGTCCAAGCTTCGTGGCTGTGCTGTGCTCTGTAACTAGGCCAACTCAGACAAACGGGCGACTGAAGCTGAATATATATAAGATACAGATTGAATGACTGACTGCCCTTTCAGTACTTGACTTTACTTGGCTTCCCCATTTTGCCAAGACTTTCTGTAATTGTTATAATTATTTACGCTCAATAAATGGGGAAAAATTTCCTATGCTTTTCCTAAGAATTATGACTTTTAGGTGCGCTCATTAATGGTCAAAAATAGCGAAATAAACATAAATAACAATCAACCAGACTTTTCGTCATAATCACCATCATTAACTCACTGACTGACTGATGGACGGAACCATTCATAAGATCATAAGAAGCTAAAAAAGTACCGACAACCGAGAAGAAACAACAATTTACCGCTTCTGAAATTCTTTGTTTCACATTTCTGAAGAATTTATAATGTTCGCCTGAGGGAACGTGCAATCATTTCATACATCATTATTGAAATGGAAATTGAAATTGAAAAAGGAGACAGAAAAACATAAAAAGTCATTCAACTTGAACGTTATTCCCTGGCCTGATTTTGCCCCTTGTTAATTGTTCTTGGCATTGGGGCCTATAAGCACGCATAATATCTGTAAAAATAAAACCCGTTTTGTAAGGCTTTTACTTTTGATATTGCCAGTTTTGATTTATAGATAGAGCTATAGTTTTTTTTCTATCTTTATCTTTAGAGAACGAGCAAAGGCACTCAAAGTTGAACAATTATAATTGGAGTTTACACAACTTTGAGCTAAATAAGTGGCCGGTGCAGTAGGGAGATTGGGTAATTAACAGGGTTAACAGATAACCGTTTTACCCCATAACAGAAAATATATTCGAAAGAGAGAGAGAAGTAGAAAATATTATCGATTAGACACGTTTCTCAAATAGGTTTTTGATTTTTCCACAATTATTTGGCCATTTTAAGTTCAAACCACATTCCAGGCACCCCTTTTTCTATTATTTATTATCAAATACCACAAATTCAAGTGCATTTCTTTGCTATCTTTCTAATAATTGCCAAAAGTATGTGTTGATAAGAAATTGCTTGCAAAAAAAGTATAAAAAAGTAAGCACATGATTTATGGCATAGTAAAACGTTAACTAATCACCAGACTCTACATGTGCCAGTTATATACAATTTATTTTTGGCCAATGCAAGACCAAAAATATATTCACAAAATACACATTATTATTGTCAACTCGTTTTCTATAGTAAATTTATGCGGCATTCCAAATGCGGTAGTTGGTCAAGTTAATGAAATTTATTCCTAAACCAACACACATAGATTTGTTGGCCAAAATTAACAGGTTTTCGGTTAAACGAGTCTGTGAAGAGGCGTCTTAAATGTTTTTTGGTCAAAACAACTTAATTGTTTGGGAATGGAACATTATACTATATATAGTTTTGCAAAGAAAATTTAATTAAATTTAAGAGAGATACTAGGTTGAAAAGAAAACTTGCTTAGAAATGATTTTTGAATTAGGAAATGCTAACTGAAATTTGTCTAAAATAATAGGAATGTGTACAATAATTACTGGTTAATATCCGGTTTTATTTTAAACAAAATCTGGTTATAGCCTATTCTAAAAACTAGCCATAAAATTATTTAAAAAATAAGTTTCCTTCAGGAAAATCTTCATTTTCATTAAACTATAATTTTCCCTGCTAAAATTCAAAAGAAACTTGTGTTAATTTATGATGGGACCTGCTACATCAAGTCTTTACAAGCCATTAAAACATTTTAAAGTGTCTGAAAGCCCGCATAAAAATGGTCATTAGGTTTGATTTGTTTTTATTTTACCTTGCCTCAAGTTCACCAAATTGCATACATTTTTTGTTGTGCCTAGAAATCGCAGCCAGAATAATTTATTTTATAATATAAAGATTAATATGTATACTTGACTTTCGGTTGCTTTGCAAATTTCGCAACCTTGAACTAATTTCTATTTAAATAATCTTTTGTCAACATTTCAGAGACAGAAAATTGCGTCACTCCCGCGCATTGAATGAATTCAAAAAAATGTATATTTAAAATTCAAGATAAAGCTGGCAGGATTATTTGAAATTTAATTAATTATTACAATCTGTGTTCGTGTTTCTTACTTTGTAAATTGTTTTGATAATTGGCCAAGCTAAGCGTTTGACGCTTTCATGGCCTGGTCGATTTATTTCATGCAATGATTCTTATTCCAAGCATTTTTCGTGTCTCTCTAACTGTAGAAATTTTCCATTTTCGAAGGGGATTTATTATTTATTACGGGAAATCTATTTTCGTTTCATATGCCTGGCATGCGTTTGGCCAACTGCCAATAGACCACGCACTGGGCCACGTCTTGTATATATCTATATTCCCCAATGGGTTGGGATTATGGCCAGACAGCTGCTAGGTTCTAGCATTTCCATACTGACTGCACTTTTCTATAATGACTCGGCTTAATGCGGTTTTTTTTTTTCTGTTCTTTTCGTTCTTGTGTATTTTGTTAATTGTTTACAAATTGGCGTTTTTAACGCTTTGTTTATTATTTCTATTTGACGGCTCTGAAATTAAATTGAGGTAATTAAACCACATAAAAAACGGGATGAAATGGGTAAATATTTGCTTTTGGGAAAATCTGTGAGTTTGTGTTTATAATTTTTGGACAGCCTTTTGACGCACAAAAAGGGTCAACGGAATTGTAAAGAATTTTGTGGTTTATGTATATCCTTTGTGAAATTTTCAAAGAATTTATAATCAAATTTTACAACTCTTTGAGAAAAAATATTCTACTAAATTGACCCATAAACGTTCAGCGATAATATCGCCCAAAAGCAAACATGATATCATCGTGATAATTTCGTTTTATATATACCAACTTAACTGATAATTCAATTAAAGCAAACATGAGTTGCAGGGGCAAGCAAAACAGCAAATGAAATCGGGAAACAGGTACAAGTCGACATATACCTTGTGCATACTAAGAAATGTATCTTATCGGTTGTCTTTAGTATCTTTTGGTAGTATCGTCATGTCTCGGTTTCGCCTTTTATGTCTCGCCTGCCGACGACACTTGTCCAACAATTAACTGCCAATGTACGAATTTCGAATTGTATTTCTCATTTACTGACATTTTTCCTTTTCGTTTTTCTTTTACATTTTCAGAGGAGCAAGAACGTGTGCAGAAGAAGACATTCACTAATTGGATTAATTCATACCTACTGAAGGTGAGTCGTCTCGTATCTTGTCTATATAGCCGCGGAACCTCCCAATCGATTTGTCTTGGAAGGTGCAAATAAATTGTGTCTACACTGGCATTGAAATTTGCATATTGATTTGCATTAGCTAAGTTAAGCGTGAGAGGTTTTTCTGTCTGTGCTAAAAAACAAAAATTAAACACACAAAATGGGTTAAGGGGCGTGACATGCCAGTCATTTGGAATACAAAATCAAAAATTAAGCGTGATAAGCTTATTATACCCTTGCAGGGTATTATAATTTCAGTCAGAAGTTTGCAACGCAGTGAAGGAGACGTTTCCGACCCTATAAAGTATATATATTATTGATCAGCATCACCAACCGAGTCGATCTAGCCATGTCCGTCTGTCCGTCCGTCTGTCCGTCTGTCCGTCCGTCTGTCCGTCTGTCCGTTTCTACGCAAACTAGTCCCTCAGTTTTAAAGCTATCTGAATGAAACTTTACATATAGTCTTCTATATACTCTCACTGCTATATATGTCGGAACGGGCCGGATCGGACGACTATATCATATAGCTGTCATACAAATGTTCGATACATTTTTAGAAAAAAAATTATAACTTGGATGTTTTTTAACATTTTTGCACAATTTTTAAGACATGGCCATTATATATTACTTTTGAATTTTGGTAAAAATTTTTTGAAAATCGGACCACTATATCTTATAGCTGCCATAGGAACGATAGGGAAGGTAATAGAAAAAATTATAACTTCGTTCTTTTTCAACGTATTTTCATCTACTTTGAGACATGAGCTTCTGGTATTATTTCAAAATTTTGGTATAAATTTAATGAAAATCGGACGACTATATCTTATAGCTGCCATAGGAACGATAGGGAAAGTGATAGAAAAAATTATAACTTCGTTGTTTTTCAACGTATTTTCATCTACTTTGAGACATGAGCTTTTAGTATTATTTCAGAATTTTGGTAACAATATTATGAAAATCGGAGAACTATATAATATAGCTGCCATATAAGTGATCCGTAGATGTAGAGAAAATGTAAAGCTGGGAATGTATAACTGTAACTGTCAAACTGTAAACATATTAAGTATAGGTAAAATGTTATGAAACTCCGTTTAGTGTCTGTTTTCGGCATTATAATTTATAATATAAATATGAAAACCAATCTGCAAGGGTATACAAACTTCGGCGTGCCGAAGTTAGCTTCCTTTCTTGTTTAAACTATTATTTGTCGAGTAATTATGATGGAAATAATAAGCAAAAGCGTTTTGTTCAAATAATTGTGACATAATGCGTGAAATTTCAAGGTTTTTTGAATAAGTGAAATATCATTGTATTTTTGTGACTTTAGGGGGATTGCTTCTACTCCTATTTGTGACTTTTTCTATATATTCATAACCTCTACCTTTATGATATTTTATGATTTCGATGAGATTTTAGTGCCAACAACTTGGTTCATTAGCATTTATCTGCGCAAATACCTTCGTGTTCTGGACAAACATTTGTCATGTGTCTAGGAGGAATATTCAAGTCACTCTTTTCCCGGTGGATAACTTCCAAGAATATCTTGTAAACACAAGCACGCACGCAGTGGCAGTTCCTTGGCAATGCGAGAAATTCCTCAACGGATTGGTGCTAGGTGCTCTCCATCTATTTATGCACTTATAAAAATATATATAGTTTTTTTTAATTTACGAAAAATCTGTAAAATCTGCTGGTTTATTTTTCATAAAAACCATGGTAAATTAGCCCTAAAATTTGTGGTGCTCATATAATTCCCAACTGGTTCTAACATCCCTGGAGTGAAATGACTGCTGCCGGCCTTAGGTCGAGTATTTATTTATTTATTTTATTTTTTTTTAAATTGCTAAATATAAGGGCAATTGAAGGTAAATTTTTTTTTTTACAAGTGTGAACACTCTCTAGCCTTTTAGAAATGCAAAAAAGATTGCCCGTAGAGAGCCAACAGTTGACGGCTGTCTAGCCGAAGTTGCTGCCTGAAAGCAAACAACAAGAGAGTTGCATTAATGCCGAACGTATCGCAGAGATACATAGTTCCGTTTCAGCCGGGGATCGTTGGCTGGTGACTTCAATTGCATTGCCATTAACCCGCTAAAGAAACCCACGCGACGCCTACTGACTTACTTTCTTACAGTCGCGAACCCAAGTTGATTTAATGCACTTTTCAGGCTCTCCCCGGGCCCGGAGATTGTTTCATTTTGGTGTCTCTAATGCGTTATCTTTTAATACCAACGGCAATCTTTAGACATGAGCCGGCAAATATATATTGCTGGTCATACAATGGAGGTTAAGATATTAGGAGCAAAGAGTTCTTAAAAGAAAGGGGAAGTAATTCCTGAAAATGCTTTGATCAAATCTAGAGGAAGACTAGAAATAATATAAACAAACTCAAAAGATATTTAAGCTTTTTGTTCCATTTATATGTTATTAAATATTTAAATAAACACTACTAATTTTTGTCCCCCGACTGTAAGTGCAAGTAGAAAAGCTGTTGCCGGCCGGCCGGCAATTATTCCAATACAATCCAAACCAGGCAGCCATTGAAAACCAGTTCCGCAACTCGCAGACACTGCAGCTCGATAAGAGACTCCAGAGGCACGTGAAAGGAGCAACAGCAGGCTTGCATGCAGGCCAGGCAAGGGTCCCCGAATTGATGATATAGCAGAGTGCGTGGGCTTGACTTGCCTCTGATTGAAGTCATATATTTCAGCAGGGGTTCCAAGGAGCTGAGCCAACATCTACATCTACATCAGAGGGTTATGCAATATGGAAATGAGTCACTTAATGTGCATAATGACATGGCAAATTGCTGTACCCGTTGCACAACGATTGGTTAACACGTTACACCGAGGCAAAGAGTGTATTGCTAATAAAAAGTGATTTATTTAATTTGTGTTTACCTATTGGACCTTTGTCAGTGCTGTCAATTAGCAAGTATCTTCCCCGCTGCCCATATACTGAGTACCTAACAGATACACAAACTGTTTGATGGGGCAGAGAGCCCAGAAAAAATGTTGAATTGGTATTCATTTCATTTCAAGCTCAGTTCAAGGTGAGCGAGTTGGGTTTCAGATCCACCTCTACTGGCGACCCAAAAACCCGCTCTGGACACTCGCTTTTATTTTCATAGAATTTGATTAAAATTTATGAATTAATTTACACGCTTGAACCAGCATGGTGGTGGGTCGCCCGTTGCTGCCGCCGCAATGACAAAGACGTCATGGCACGTTGGATGTTCAATTTTTGAGTGGCCAGCCCCACATTCTACACATTCGCTTTTGATTTCTTTATGACATAATTGATGGCAACGCCCCGCCACGAGTTGTTGCGGGCTTTGATCAGTCGCATTTCCCGCAGGGGTATATCACTATAGTAGACCCATAAATTCAAAGTGAAAGGATCTATGTAGCTATTGGAGGTGCTTAAATTAGAAAGGATTTTAGTGGTGTGGGAAAGTGGGTTACTAATGCTGGGGAGAGAGATCATTTGTCAGGTGCTCATCCCATTGTGTTGGACAGGTGACAAGTGAAGAGATAAGAAATGATTTACAAGCAATTAACTGAGTCTAGTTGGGAGTGAGAAAGTTTAATTTTAAAATGAAAAAGGATCTTCAAAGAGTCTAAGTTAAGGCCTAGACAACTTAATGAATATCAAAAGAACTAAGCTTCTTTTGTAACTTAGAGATAGTTAAAACTATTCTTAATTTTAAGTACTAAGCTTGAGCATTCTTAAGTACACAACTTTTTTACTTATCATCTTAAGTTTCGGCAATTATAAATGCTCAGCAGCGGCCTGATCACAGGGCCCAGGTGTCTATTTTACGATTACCGCAGGTAAAACTTAAGCCAATGTCATGTTTGGTGGGTATTAAGTGCCTCAGAAGAGAAGCCCAGGCAACCGTTGTAATGACACATATATGTATGTCCCAGCCCCAGAAAAATAACAACCAAAAGGCAACAGAAAACTTTTATATAAAAACCCTATGACACCATAAATTCTAGAACTTAATGGAAGAACAAAATAATAATAAAAAAAGGGCGGTCTTAGTGGAACAGGAAACGGAAGCATTGAAATTGATTTCGCTATGTCTGTTCTGAAGGAGAATTCACACACAAAAATGAAAAGTTTTTTGCTGTTTGGAAAAACTTTTACCAAGCGACGATGTCATTGTCTTTTGCATGTTGTTCGCAACAGTTGAGTAAAGTTCTGCAGAAACTATTTATATCCACAAGAAAGCTCAATTAAATGCTACACTCAATTACAATGTATTTTCACTGTATTGTTTGTAAGTTTGTTTGTTTGTTTGTTTATTTGCTATATGTAGTGGCACTTCGGTTGCGGCTACCCCCTAATGGCATTACCTTAAAAATTGTAATCTTTTGTGGCGGTTTCAAGTTAAATGCCTGCTCGTGCCTTTTGCCAATTTGTCTTGGCTCACACTAAAGTATCACCGCAAATTATCGCTATGGCAAACAGCAATTTAAACTATTTTAATTGATTTAATGCGCCTTAATGCTGAGCGGTTTTTGGTTTTGCTTCGTGAGCTGCATTTGATTGATTAAACGAAAAAAAAACGTATGCAAAATCTACTCGAGCATCCTTAATTGTATTAAAGGGGGGAACCATTAAATCTGTTCACTGCGCCCCATTAAGTTTGTTTATTTGGTTTGGCTAAAGCCATGAGAGTGCATAGCGCATAGTGCACATAATGTATAGCCATAAAATTTATATTAAAAACGTTACACAAGAAGGCACTTGCTGGCAATTGCCCGGTACTTTTGGGCTCTTTTGATATAAGTGATCGATAAATGTGTGTTAATTGAAATCTTAAAAAAGGAGAAACTTTAATTAAAAGTTTAGGGAAAATAGTTTGAAATTAGAATAGTTTCTAGCGTGTGAAAGAATTTATAATTGGGAATTTTCTTGCCAGTGTAAACATAATATTTATATGATTGTTTAAACCCATTTAACTTTTAATTAATAAACCTATTGTCCCTTTTTTCAGCGTGTTCCACCGCTTCGTATTGATGATTTAATCAATGACTTACGCGATGGTACTAAACTAATCGCATTGCTTGAAGTTCTGTCCGGCGAACGCCTGCCCGTGGAGAAGGGCCGCGTCCTAAGACGTCCACATTTCCTTAGCAATGCCAACACGGCCCTGCAATTTTTGGCCAGCAAACGTATCAAGTTGGTTAATATTAATCCCGCAGATCTGGTGGATGGGAGACCACCAGTTGTGCTGGGCTTGATATGGACAATCATCTTGTACTTCCAGGTAAATAAAAACGATATGAATAAAATGCTTAACAAATAATTAACTCACCCCAAAGAGTGTGCACCAAATCACGAATTGAGAGCACCACAAAAAAATAAATAAATAAAAATTGGTTACTAGTTGTACACCTTCTCACGAGGCTACCACCAATGTAGAGATGTACAAAAACCCACAAAAAGTTGTTGAAAACCTTTTGAACGTAATTAACCCTATAAAATCCTTCTTTTTCTATATACTTTTGATACCATAATGTTAAACGTACACAAGCTTCGTAAAAAGAGGCGGAAAAACTTAGTAGTAGTTATAAATTATGCGCCACAGGTGGGTCTAAGTGTTTGTCTTGTGTAGTACCTCTCATATATTTTTGGGTAGATATTGTTGTTTTCAGTTGGTAGCCAAACATTTTTTAAGGCACTTACATATCTTAAGTTAAACCATATTACATTTCCATTACATAAAAATATTTTGTAAGCATAACTAATTAATTTTGTTGTATTCATAGATCGAGGAGAATAGCCGCAACCTAGAATATTTGGGTCATGGTATTGGCGGTTCGGTTAGTTCCCTCGACAGCGTTGGCAATCAGAAGCATGGCGATCTTAAGGCTGAGAAATGGAAGCAGGGCGCCAGGAAGACCCTGCTTAACTGGGTTACCAATGCCTTGCCAAAGTGAGTATTGACAAAGCCATTTTCTTAAGACAAATTACCTTATTTGTTGTCCCTCCGCAGAGACAGTGGTGTGGAGGTTAAGGATTTCGGCGCCAGCTGGAGAGATGGCGTCGCCTTCCTTGCCCTTATTGATGCCATCAAGGCGAATCTGGTCAACTTGGCTGAGCTAAAGAAGACCAGCAATCGTCAGCGTTTGGAGACTGCTTTCGATGTGGCCGAAAGCAAGCTGGGCATTGCCAAGCTCTTAGACGCTGAGGATGTGGATGTACCCAAGCCGGACGAGAAGAGTATCATGACATATGTGGCGCAATTTTTGCACAAGTATCCCGAACCAAAGGTGGGTCTAAAATTATATTACAATATAACTTTGCTGAGCTTCCACTTTGAAGGAAGGGAATCCTTAATGTATCCCTACAGTACCACATGTCATCAATGTTTCAACAACTAAATTAATTAATCTTTTTCTCTCTCTTTATCTCTCAAAAAGGGTGCTTCTCGCGATCAGTCGCATGCGCAACAGGAGGCGGACGAGCTGCGTCGCTTCCTGGTGGAAAAGACCACCGAATACGAGCCCATGGTCATGATGAGCTCGTTCCCACGTGATTTCGGTGAATATCTTCTGGCACGTTCGGAAGTCGATGCCCATTTGCCGGCCTACAACCGCCTGAAGCAGCTTATCGAAAGCCAGAGCGGCTTCCTGCAGGTTTCCCGGCAATCTTGGGATGAAATCAACGAGCTGTGGCAGCGCCTCCAGTACCAGATGATGTACTGGCTCTGGCTGCTGGATTCGGAGCTGCCCGGCGACTTTGGCACCGTTGGCAAATGGCTAGCCGAAGCCGAGAAACTATTAATGGACAATGAGATACCCAATGCCATGAATGAGGAGACGGCCGCTGTGATCAGCAGGAAGCTGGAGGAGCACAAGCTCTTCTTTGCCGATTTGCCCCGAATTTTGGCCATGTTTGACAATGCTAAGCGATCACCTTTGGCCCAGCAGATTCCCTTGGAGCAGCTGCGCAACATGGAGCGTCGTCTACAAGAAGTGGGACCCAAGGCCGCGGAGCGTAGAATCCGTTTGAAGTTCCTGGAGCACAAGTGCTGCCTGATTGCCTTCTTGAATCTGGTGGAGAACAAGATGCGCGGCTGGACGGGCAAGTATGGGCATGAGGAGAAGGTCGCCCAACAGCTGGAGCAGTACAAGAACTTTGTGTCGCGCAATAAGATTTTCCAGGAGTTCCAAAAGGCCTTCGTGGACATGCAACAGGTGGTGGATGAGTACAAGCGCGAGGGCAATGTTCCACGCAAGGACATCAACGATATTGATAGGTTTATGTACGAAACCGAAGAGCGCTGGAAGCGTGTCTCCATGGAGCTTAAGTGTTGTCAGAACTCGCTGGAGGAAGTCGTGAACTGCTGGCGCAGCTGGAATCAATTGGCCCCAACCTGCGAGGAGTGGCTTTTGCTGGCCGAGCAGAAGGTGAATCAAAGCGAGGATGAGCGCCTGGACTTCTTCCAGGACATACCCGTGTGGAAGGACAAGTTCGATGCTTTGGCCAACTCTGCCAACTATCTGATTGCCTCCTGCGAAGAGCCCATTGCCCAGCAGCTGCGTCAACGCCATGGAGCTCTCTCGGAGCGTTTTGAGCGCCTGTTTGCCAACACCAAGCAGTACATGCATGCTGGCGATATTATACGCTCCCGTCAGGAGTACAAATCTGGCATCGAACAGCTCTCTAAATGGTTACGTGGAGCGGAAAGTGTTCTAGACCAGCGTCAAGTCCTGGGAAACTCCGACCAAATCAAGCAATACGGCCAGCAGCTTCAGCAACTCGCCAGCGAGATCGATGACAATGAGGAGCTGTTCAAGACCATCAGCAGGAATTTCCAAGCCTTGATACAGGATCTATCACGCGACGAGGTGGACAAGATGATGAAGCTGCTCAAGCTGGAGAAGGAATCCCTGGTGCGCATACGCGCTCAGTTACCTGCCAAGCTGCATCTTTTCCATCAGCTGCAGATCCAACAGGAATCCTTGGAGGCGGGACAAAAGGAGATTCACCAGTGGCTAAGTGAGGCGGAGCAACTCCTGGGCACCCACAATCTCTCCGGAGGACGTGATGCCATCAATGAGCAGCTGCACAAGCACAAGACCTACTTTTCGCGCACTGTCTACTATCGTTCCATGCTGGAGAGCAAGAACAAGGTGTTCCAGAATCTACTAAAGGCAGTGGCTGCAGACGACAAGATTGATACGGCGCCCGCCTCTCAGCAAATGCAACAGCTGAACGAACGCTTTAATTATGTGATTCAGAACGCCCAGCAGTGGGAGCAGCGCTTGGATTCAGCCGCCGGAGGTTGGAGCAACTTCAAGGACAACGAGCGAAGGGTTAGCGAGTGGCTAACCCAGGCAGAATCCATGCTGGTGGAGAAGCACATTGAGTCGAAGACCACCATTGAGACGCAGAAGTATTTCTTCGAGCAGGTCAACGATCGCTGGATGAACGATCTGGTGCAATCAGCTCAACAGCTTCTGACCACCCTGCCCGCCCAGGAACAACCTGCTGTGGTGCGAAGCGTCGAGGAACTGCAAACCCGTTGGAAGAATGTCTTATCCCAGGCTCCCTTACATCTCCTGAAACTTGAGTTCCGACTGGACGAAAACGCCTTCTATCAGTCCTTCAAGGATGTGGAGAAGGAGTTGCAGCTGGAACAGCAGGCTCTCAATCGCAACGAGGATGTGGACTCTATACTGCAGCGTAACCAGCAGTTCCTTATGCAGCAGGATGCGGTGCCTCGAGTGGAGCGCTGCCTGCAAAACATGCAACGTTTGGCTCAGGCTCACCGCCAACAGCAACCCGGCGATATTAGCCTGGACCAGGCCTACGACAATGCCAAGTCCCAGTGGGAGCTGTTGTCCAACAAGCTGGGCGACATGCGACAGACCCTGCAGCAAATCCCAGCCCAATGGCAGGGCTATCATGTGAAGTTCAACGACATGGTTCAGTGGATGAACAGCGTGGACCAGAGTCTGAAGAATATCGTCAACGAAGTAAACACTATGGAGGAGTTTGAAAAGGAGAAGGTTGTCTTCCAGGTGAGTTTTCTAAATTAATTAGGTTCAAGTCCTCCATTTCAATCATCGTGAAAAATAATCCTCTCATTAACCCTTCACACGCATGCCTTCAAGCTGAGGGAGCTAGTGGTAACTAATCTGCTTTTATATGTTTAGATATTTTATAGTTCCGCAGTGATGCCATCAATATATATATAATCTTTGCAATTGTTTTATTAAAATCTATAATATCCGTAAAAATAAAAAACCAATGGCATCCCTGCTGTCTCCCAAAACATCTTAGTAACTCCCTTTACCTTTATTTTTAAACAGAAAATCTGCCAAGATGCGGACAACAAACGTGAAGATATGAAATGGCTTGTCAAGACCTTGGACTCACTGCTTAGCTATGCCACCGAAGATGAGGCCAATCTGGAGCAGAAAAAACTGGAAGATCTAATCGCTCGCTACAAGAACCTCATACCAACCATTGAGATCACCATGGTCAAGACGGAGGTCTTCTCCAAGTGCTACACCTACCGACGAGAAGTTCACGAAGTGGTCTGCCTGCTGACCAAGGTCAAGGATCAGACGGCCAACATCCCGGCGCCCGATAGTCTGGAGCGTGTGAATCGTATGATTGAAGAGCAGCAGTATGCCATCAATCAGCTGGATCACCAGCGTCCGCACATCATGTCTATGCTACAGCGAGGACGTGATCTCAGCAAGGATGTCCATGCCCCAGCCTTTGTGAACACTGAGGTGAAGAATCTAGAAACTGGATGGAATCAGGCCTACACCGAGACCTCTGACAAGCTGCAAGCCCTCAAGGGCACCCAGGCGGTGTGGAGCGAGTTCGTGGATCAGAAGAACGACATCTTCTCCATGTTGCAAACGGCTGAGACCGAACTTCGCGCCCTTACACCCCTCCAAACCGACCCGAAGAACGTGAGTCAGGATTTGAAGTCAAAGAGGGATCTCAATGTGCAGCTGCAGCAGGCCTCGCATCAGCTTCTGCCCAAGTTGCATGCTCTCAAATCCGAGCTGGCACCGCTGGCTGCCGCCGACAAGCGTCCCATTCTGGAGAAAGAGGTGACCGAGGTGGAGAAGATGTTCTTCAACACCATGGAGCATGTCAAGGATCGTGTGGGCTACTTGGAGGACTACAGTGCCAAGTGGAACAACTACAAGACCCGTCTGGCCGAACTCCAAGAATGGGCCAACAAGGTGGCGCCCAAGAACATCGAGGCCCTGCAGTCCGAGGATCTCACACCGGAAGAGCGTGTGGTCAAGGTTCAGGCCTTCAAGCGTCTCCTTGGAGATCGCATGAAGCAACTGGATCTACTGGCTGCCGATGCTTCCGAATTGGCACCCAAGGAGGGAAACATTGCCGAGGCCAAGCGACTAAAGGGAGAAATCACCAAGCTGCAGGAAGTACTCAGTGCCATCAACCGAAATGTGGATCACCAAGCGCAAGCCGTGCAGGAGGATCTCGTCAATTGGCAGCAGTTCCAGGCCGGTCTGCAACAAATCAAGCCAGCCGTGGAGCAAAGCGAAGTCAAGGTAAATAATGTAGTTTCTAAGCCCATCTCCCTCGAAGAAGCCGTTGCCATGCAACACAACGCCCAACAATTCGAGACACAGTGCCAGGAGCAATTGGACAAGCTCCATGGCATATCAAACATCAGTCATAAAATGTTATGCAAGACCAATGCCCCCGATGAGCTGGACGCTATGCATTCCCGCTGGACGGCCGTCCACGAGAATGCCAAGCAGGCGAGCGCCAAGCTCGAGAAATTGGTGGCCAATTGGAAGTCATTCGACGCCGATGCTGCCAAGCTCGAGGATTGGGTTGGCCAGGGCGAGCAACAGATGGCCAGGCGTCCAGCTGTCCTCAATACCCCGCACATTGATAAGCTCGAAAAGGAGCTGGTCAAGCTGAAGTCCTTCAACAACGAGATCTCGCAGCAGCAAGCGAAGCTGGTGACTCTGGGTCAGAATGCCGATCAGATTAGTTTGCATTTGGCACCCGAGGGCGCAGCGGCGCTTAAGGATCGCGTCAACCAAATGAAGGGCAAGCTTCAGAAGCTTTCGGAAACCACTCGCGGTCACATCAACGAGGTATCGGATGCCATTATTTCCCGCCAGGATTTCAATGCCAAGTTGGTAAACTTTTCCAACTGGATGGAACAGCTTCGTAACCAGGTGACTCAGGTGGAGGAAATTAATCCAGAGCGCGTGGAAACTAGTCTCCATGTGATCCATGCCCTCCTGCAGGAACATGCCGATAAGAAGCCCAGCTTCAATGCCATCTACGATGAGGTGAAGCAGCTGGCTTTAGGTGCCACTCCCGAGGAGTCAAACGCCCTGAATGATGCCTACACTGCTCTGGTGGTCAACTATCAGAATTTGGAAACAAATATGCTGCAGAAGAAGGCGGCTCTTGAAAAGTGGACCGAGCTTTTGGGTTGGAAGAACGACACGGAGTCGCATTTGAATTACCTGAAACACCAACTGGACAAACCAGAGGGACCGCCTGCCGAAGAGCTGACCAAGGTTATAGCAGAGATTGATAACTTAGGACAGGGCCTGGGTTATTGGAAGGGTCAGGCTAAGGAGATTGACGAGAATCCAGCCATTCAGCTAAGGGATGCCTTGTCTCGACGTCCACTAATTGCCACCCAAATTGTTAATGATGTGGAGAACAAGCTGGAGAACCTCAAGCTGCGCTCGCAAAATCAACAACAGCAACTCCAACAGATGACCGTGCGCAAGGACAAATTCCATGCTCTGGAGCACAACTTTGGCCAAGCCCTGCAAGAGAATCGCGCCAAGCTGGACGAGATTCTCAGGCAGCATCCAACCCTAAACAACATCGATCAGATTATTGCAGATTTGGTGGCTCTTAATGATGCCCTAAAATACCAAGCAGACCTTAAGAATCGCATCCATGACGAAGGTTCTTTGCTGATGCGTGAGGATATTGCTAGCATGCCCGCCATTCAGGAGAGCCTTCTGGTCATGGATAAGAATTATGACTCGCTTCAGAATGAGATTGCCGATCGCATACAGAAATATAACTTGATTAGCCAGGCCCTGAAGGAGTACGCCGACTCCAAGGACAGGTTCTCCAAGGAGCTGAAAAAGGCTGAGGATCTATTCAATGCCATACCCCAGCAGCCGCGTGATGAAACTGAGCTCCAGCAGGCTTCCGAAAAGACCAGGAAGACCATGGAGCAGCTGCGCAAGTCCAAGCTCAATTTGGATGAACTCGAACGACGGGGAAGCAATGTTGGAAAACTATTCAGTGCTATTGGCGAGCCGATACCTCAGGAAGTGCCACAGGAAGTGGCTGCTTCCAAGCAACATTGGCAGGACTTGCACGACAAGACAGCCAAGAATGCCCATGTCTATGAAACCGAGGCTGTTATTTGGTCGCAGATCGAAGATGCCAAAAAGGATTTGCTTCCTTGGCTGTCCGAGACGAATCAGGGACTCTGTGATGCTGCTGATAACTCCATAGAAATTGAGTTTGGACCCATGCGCTTGAGTAAATACCGCACCGAGTTGCCTTCGTATCAAGCTCTCAAGGATTCCATAGCCGAGAAAACCAATGATTTGGTGAAGATCAACAAGGGTGCCGATATCCCTGCACTCTCTGCTCTTAATAAACTCCTGAATGAACAATTTGCTGAAGTTCAAAATAATGCTGATCGCTTGAGTGCTGTTACCACATCGTTTAATGACCAAGAACAGGAATTGCGCAAGCGCTCCAAGGAAGCTGGCGAGCAAGTGAGCAAGCTCCGTGAGCAGCTCATTAAGTGCGACGACATGTCCGGCGATAATAACAAGATCATGGAGCGTCTCCTGCAATGCCGCGCTTTACGTGGCCAACTGGACAATAGCGGCAATGAGATCGACAACATTAAACAGAAGGTCGACGAATTGCGTAATCTATATCCCACTTTCAGTGAGTCTATCATACCCAAGGAACTGAATAATGTCCAGAAACGCTATGAGAACGTCGATCTTTATGCTAAAAAGATTGAAAGTTCTTTGCTGCAGTTCCTCAAGAAGTTCCATGCTGATAAGGTGGGCATGCTGAAGCGCATCATTGCCGCTCAACGCGAAAAGGTGGCTTGGTGTCAGCCAGAATCGTCGAGCGACAAATACAACCTGGATGTGAAGAAGTCCTCATTGCAGGAGGTAAGCAAGAGCATAGACGATTGCAAGGCGCGACATGCTGAAACCTTGAAATCCCTGGAAATGCTGAAGGCTGTGGAATCGCCACAGAATCTGGCCGAACTTACCAGCGATGCCGAGTTGCTGCACAACGACATGAAGGCGCTTCAGGACAGCTTTGATAAAATTAAGGGCATCCTCGATGAAAATGTCGATTTGTGGTCTCAGTACGAGCAATCGAACGAACAGATATCCAATTGGCTGCGTGACGTTGAAGGACGTGTTAAGGCTGAAACAAGCAGTCAGGTCAACCTTCCTGAGGTACCACAAAAGCTTCAAGAATTGGCCATACTCCAACAAGATGTCTTGGCCCATGAGCCCATAATTACGAATCTGGAGCAGACATCTCAGCAACTGATTGAAAAGAATCCTGAGGCGCGTATTGGACAGTTTGTCACTCACTTGGTGCAGCGCTACCAGGCTGTGGCCAAGGCCCTGGCCAACTACATCGATAAGACCCGTAGTGCTCAATTGTCAAATGCAAACTTTGCAAAGGCAGCCAAGGATTTCAATGAGTGGTTTGGTGATGCTAAGATCGAGTTCCAGGAATTGGCTCGCATGGGATCCCCGGGATCTTCATCAGCCACAGCTCAACAGTTACAGACCGTTAAGAACTACATCAAAACTTTCGACAATGGTCAGTTGCTGCTGAACAATGCAGTGGATATAGGCGAGGCCCTATACCCGGTGGTTTCTCCCGAGAATAGGGAACACATTCGTGCCGATCTTCGCCAGATGCGTGAGAAATTCGATTACCTGAGAGACGAAGCCAATGCATTCATGCAGCAAGTGGAGGGTGTTCTTATACAGAAGACCTCCATCGAAGAGAGCTACACGCAAGTATCGCACTACCTCAACGAATCTAAGGCTAAGGTTCCCACTGGTGATGAACTGTACCCAACTTTGGCAACCAAGAAGGCTGCCCTCCAGAACTACAAGACGCAACTGCAGGAGATTACCCTTCACAAGAATGCCCTTAAGCAATTGCATGATAAGGCTGTTACACTATGTGATGACGAGTCCGAGCGAAAGACTGATGAGTCCATCCAGGAGTACAATACTCTTTCGAAGAAGATTTCGGACAGAATCACAACTGTGGGCAACCATGTTGTTAAGCATGAGGCCTACGACCAGGTGCTGGAGAAGGCCCAAGACTGGCTGAACACAATTAAATCGGAAGCCATTGATATACTCAACGAAACTACTTTTGAGAAGGAGGGTGCCGAGGAGAAGCTAATTGTTGTGGAAAATCTTTTGCAACACAAGCCCGAGGGGGATTCCATTTTCGATACCTGCCATAAATTATTGGAAACGGTACTCTCCCAAACCCATCCTAGCGGTCATCCAGCCCTGCTTAAGGGTTTCCAGGAGCCAAAGCAAGCTTGGGAGGACTTTATGACTCTGTGCCAAGATTCATCCGTAAAACTAAAGCAACTGTGCTCCAAATGGGATGAGTTCGACTCGATCATCGAAGAGCTGGACAATTGGATGAAGAATGTCGAGGCGGTGGTAAAGAACCAGAACCTTAAGAGCACTGCTGACACCAAGAAGGCCCATTTGAAGCAGCTCCAAGACATTGCCAAGGATATCGATCGCCGTGGTTCAGCCATCAATGAGCTGATGGATCAAGGCCGTGAGATTGAGGGTGAAACTGATTTGAACCTTAAGCTTTCCCGCCTTAATACTCGCTACCAGACGCTCAAGAATCTATGCAAGGAGTCGATTGCCAAGTACGTGAACTATGTGAAGGATCATGAGAGCTTCGATCAGGACTTTGATGCGTTCAAGCAAAGTCTTCAGGTATCCGTTGACGACCTTGCCAAGGCCAACGAGATTGTGGGCGATCAGAGTGTGCTGCAGGATCAGCAGAACAAACTCCGTGAGATGTCCGACAAACGCATTTCGGACTCTACTCTCTTTGAGGGTCTCATTGATCGCGGAGAGAAGCTCTATGGCCACACTAGCCCTGACGGTCGCGAGATTATTCGCCAACAGTTGCGTTCTCTACGCACTCTGTGGGACAACTACACGGATGATTTGAATTCGGCCACACAAAAGATCGATCAGTGCTTGCTGCAGTTTAACGAATTCAGCATTGCTCAGGATCAGCTTACCAAGTGGCTGAAAGACGTTGACAAGGCCATGCTAAGCAACACGGAACCAAAGACAACCCTGCAGGAAAAGCGTGCTCAATTGCAGAATCACAAGCTCCTGCACCAAGAAATCACTACCCATAACGTTCTAGTCGATAATGTATGCGACAAGGCTCAGATCCTGGTGGATCAGATCAAGGATAATTCGTTGAATGTCTATTTAGCGTCGATCAAACAAATTTTCCAAGGCATCGTTCAAAAATCCGATGTTATTCTGCACAACCTAGAGGACTGCGTGCAAAAGCATAACGAATTGAACAATGCTTTGGCCTCAGCCAAGACATGGATTTCGAATGAGAAGGCCAAGCTCTTGGAATGCGATGATGCTTATGGTGAGAAGGCTGATATCAAGCGCAAGATCGAAACACTTGGTCAGTTGGCACAAAACAAGCCACAGGCAATGAAATTGCTCGGCGATATTCGCGATCAGTTTGAAAAGGTGAAGCCAACGACGTCCGAAAAGGGTAATGAAGTGCTGGACAAGGAAATTGACGAACTGGAGACCACCATGAAGAGCCACTTCGATGACATCGAGGGCATTGAGGGCAAGCAGAAGGATGTGCTAGCCCAGTGGGACAAATTTGAAAAGGCTCTTGAAGATCTCACCAAGTGGTGTCGCAATGCAGAGGCCGTATTCCGCGAGCAGCAGCTCCAGTCCACACTTCACGAAAAGGTAGAACAGCTGGATAAGTATAAGATTCAAAGGGAATTGATACAACAAAAGGAAAAGGAAATCGATGCTTTTGGAGATGCTGCCCATGCTCTGCTTAACAACTGCGGAGCCGATCGCCTAAAGACACTGACCACTCAAATCACAAATCGTTATCAGCTACTTCAGGTTCTCAGCAAGGAAGTGGTTAACCGCTGGTCTAATCTTGTTGACGATCATCAATTCTACCAGGACAAGTACAACGAGGTGGATTTGTGGCTGCAACCCATTGAAACCCAGCTGGAGAAGGTCATTAAGGATGAGCCCACCCAAAGCTCTAACATTCTTCAGGTGCTCCTCTCAGAAAAAGAGCAAGCTGAGAGCTTATTCGCGGCATTAAATGCGGCTGGTGAGAAAGCTCTGCCAGAGACATCCACTCAGGGAAGGGAGAAGATTCGTAAGGATCTGCGTGATATCCGCGATCGTTGGGATAAATTGGACGAGGGCATTCGCAACTTGGAGAAACGCCAAGAAGCTCAAGGTGTTCAGCTGACCAGCTACCAGGACATACTAAACCAAACTGTCAACTGGCTTGACCAAGTAGAAAAACTTTTGCATAACGAAAACCCTGCTAGCTGGACCAGTGCCCAGGAGATCCGCTCCAAATTGTACAAGTACAAGGCCACCAACCAGGATATCAATTCCCATAAACGAATCGTGGAGGCCGTGAACGAGAAAGCAGCAGCCCTTAAAGGAAGCGCCGCTCCTGCAAACGCCGATGAAATCGCAAAGGCTGTGGCTGAGGTAAACAAACGTTACGAGCAAGTCGGTCAGGATTGTGCCAAACTGGTGGCTGATCTAGACGGCGCCTTCGACGTGTATCAACAGTTCTCTGAGCTACAGAAGGCGCAACAGGACTACCAGAAAAATCTTTGGGATCGTCTTACCGGTTACTCTGACTACTCCGGTAACAAAGCAGCATTGCAGGCACGTCTACAGAAGATCAACGAGATTCAAGATGCCCTGCCTGAAGGTGTGGCTAAACTGAAGTCCCTGGAAGATCACATAGAGCAGCACGCTACCAGTATACCCGCTCGATCCAAGGAGGCGATGGCCCGTGACTTGGCCAACTTGCATGCTGATTTCGAGAAGTTCGGTGCGTCTTTGAGCGATGTAAAGAGCGGCTTGGAGAATCGTCTCCAGCAATGGAATGACTACGAAGTTAACTTGGATCGCCTGATCAATTGGTTGGGCGAAGCGGAGAATGCTCTTAAGAACTACAATCTGAAATCGTCGTTCGAGGAGAAGGAAGACCAATTGAATCGGTTCCAGTCCTTGGCACAGAGCCTGCGTCAAAACGAAGCTGACTTCGACAAGATGAAGGACGATACCTCGGAGTTGGTTCAGAGTTCTGGTGAAACCAGGATTGCAGTGAATGTGCAGCAGGTCTCCTCCCGATTCCAATCAATCCAAGCCACGGCCAAGGAGATTCTCAAGAAGTGCGAGCAGGCCGTCCAGGATCATGGTCACTTTAATGAGAAGTACAAGCAATGTGCAGATTGGTTGGCGAATGCCCAGGCACGTTTCGACGACTGCAGTGACTTGTCATCGGTGGGATCCCGTGATGATCTCCTGAAGAAACAAATGGTCATTCAGGAGCTTCTGGCTCAGCAGCCAACGGCTACTCAGCTGCTCAATAGCACCGTTGAGTTGGGCGAGAAGTGTTACGGATCCACAGCAACCGAGGGACGTGAAGCCATTCGCAGTCAGCTGGATGATCTGACTTTCGATCAATTGTTTGACAATATCGCCAGCACTGCAAGGAAGATTCAAGACAAGATAGCCAAGTGGTCTGGCTTTGATGAGATCGCTGACAGTTTGAAGAGCTGGCTGGATGAAACAGAGAATGCTCTTCCAACCGAAATCGAACTAAAGACCACACTGGATGAAAAGCGCACTAAACTGCAAGCCTATCGTGATATCCTGAATGACATCAATAATCACCAGGTGGAGGTTGGTAATCTTCAGGAGATTGCAGCTAATTTACCTGAAAAGACGGATCTCGTTGATCAAATCCTCAAGGATATAGCCGATCGGTTTGTAAAGCTGCAGAAGCGTTCCCAGAACTACGTGGAGCGCTACGAAGGCATTGTCAGTGCCCATCAGCAGTACTCCAAGGCCGTGATGGATGCCCAAGAATTTATTGATGCCACTCAGAACACGGTCCACTACTGGGGTGACTTGGACTTGGAACAGATCTCACTGCACACGAACCTCGATCGCCTAAAGAATCTTAAGGCCAGTCTGGCCGACGAATTCCCTCGAGTTGATCAAGTCAGGGCTTTGGGCGAGAAGGTCATTCCGGGTACAGTGGATGTGGGTCAGGTTAACATAAAGTCTCAGATAGACACAACCCAGCAAGAGTGGGAGGGTCTCCTAGCTGCCATCACCTCTACCATAGAAGCCATTGAGGCGCGCCTGCAGCACTGGTCGGAGTACGAACAGTTGCGTGATCAGTGTCTGGCTTGGATTCGGGATACTGACAACAACTTGCATGCTATTGATCTTAAAGAGGATTTGCCCAAAAAGCGTGCTCAGTTAGATGCGCTGAAGGCTCTGCAAGGAGATGTGCGTGCCAAGGAACTGGAGGTTGATAACGTGACAGAGAAAGCTCAAACCCTTCTGAAGGGACCCACTAGTAATCGAACCTCGGGACCTGAGTTGGTGACTAAGTACCAGCAGATCTTCCATAAGGTCAAGGAGCTCAACAATCGCTGGCAACAGTACGTGACTTCCCATGAAGATTTCGACAATTCCATCTCGGATTGCTCCTCGTGGATCAATCATATTAAAGAGAAACTGGATTACTGCTCAGATATGTCCTCAATGAGTCCCAAAGAATTGGATAAAAAACTGGCCACCATTCAAGATGTTATCTTGCTGAAGGACGAAGGCTCTGCTCGTGTCTTGAAGATTCTCGAGCAGGCTCAGCATGTCCTGGCCAACACAGCACCTGCCGGACACGAGGCAATCAACAAAGAGCTATCAGATCTTCAGGATCTCTGGTCGAGCATTGCTTTGCGCATTATGGATGTAAAGTCGAATCTGGATGATTCCATCACCCAGTGGTCCGGATTCCTGGACCAGGTGCAAACGGTTCGCAAGTTCAATGAGTGGCTGGATGCTTTGCTAAAGGAATTAAGTGAACACCAGACCACAATGACGGAGAAGCGAGCTCAGTTGGATCGTGTTAAATCTACGGAGGAGAAGGTGCGCGTGGAAAAGATTGATGTTGACGCGCTCAAGATTCAAGCCAAGGAAATGATTGCAAGTGGTCAACAGAGCCAGGCTGCCTTCCAGGCTCAAAAGGTGCTTGATACGTTCGATGAACTATTCGCCAAGTCCCAGAAACTGCTCTCGGATCGCCAGGATCAGTACAGGGACCATCGGTTGTTCAAGGAGGCCTACGATGATTTGGGTAGCTGGATTGGACGTGCTCGTGAGAAGTTCCCCACCTTGAAGCAGAGCAGCTTGAGCGATAAATTGGCCATTGAGAATGCAGTTCAAGCCACTGAAGCTCTTTTGAACAAGCAGGCTCAGGGTGAACTACTAGTTGAGCACCTCGTGCACACTGGTGAGGTTGTGCTGGCCAGCACCTCTTCGCCAGGTCAGGAGATCATCCGAAATGATATTCGTGCCCTGCGCGATAGTTTCGAAAGTTTGTTCCGCGAAATCAACCAGCAGAAGGAGAACCTTGAAGTCACCATGGTCCAATGGCGAGCCTACAAGGAGGAGTACGAACGCCTGATGGAGTGGCTGCAACAGATTGATATCTTGGTAAAGAACCATAAGCTCAACTTATGTCCCAATCTGCCTGATAAGGAGAAGCAGGTGGCTGACATGAAGGATGTAATGTCACGATTAGAGAAGGGCAAGGAAGACATCGATAAGTTCAATGCATCCGCTGCCAGTCTTCTGAAGTCTCATCTCGATACCTACGTGAACAATCAGCTCAGACACTTGGGTTCGGTCTATCAAGTGCAAGTAAACCTAGCCAAGGACGTCCTTAAGAAGGTGGAAACCAACCGCGATCAGCATCGTGAGTACGACGCCAACATGAAGTCCGCCAAGGATTGGATAGCCAATGCGAAGGCCACAATTCAGTCGGCCGGCGAGGGAGCTGGCTCCAAGGAGGCTCTCCAGCGCCGCCTGGAGCAGATTCAGGATCTGATTCGTAACCGTGAGTTTGGCCAAAACTTAGTCCACACGGCCATCAACAATGGCGAGAAGATAATTCGAAACACTCGCTCTGATGGTCGCGATGCTATCAACAATGAAATGAAGGAACTGCAAACCGAGTGGGATCGCTTGGTAAAGAAAATGTCCACTGCTAAGGTACAACTGGAGACCAATCTTCTCCAATGGGCGGACTACAGTTCCAGTTACTCTCAGCTGCAGCAATGGATCACCGACAGAGAGGCTAAGTTGCAGCAGGCCTGCGAGCAGAAGATCATCAAATCCCAGCGTGGTCAACCAGGTCTCAGCAGTGGTCTTAGCGAACGCAAGGCCAATCTCCGACAGACTAACAACATTGTTCAAGATATTGTGTCCTTTGAGCCCATGATTCAGTCTGTTACTTCCAAGGCATCTGACCTACAGCAGGGTGCTCCTGCCACTGAGATTTCAGATAAATACGATAACCTTACCAAGCAAGCCAAGGATTTGTACGAGAAGCAGAAGAACACCATCGATAGCTATCAGTCTCTAATAGATGCGGGCAATGAGTTCGCAACCTGGCTGAGAAATGCCAAGGAACGGTTGAGCAAGTGCTCTGAGCCCACGGGAGATAAGCAGGCTCTGGCCGAGAAGACTCACCAACTGAAGATTCTGCAAGGTGAACTGCCCGAGGGTGCCGAGAAACTGAAGAATGCTCTCGAGCAGGGCGAGATCGCTTGCCGAAGTGCCGAGCCCGAGGATTGTGAAATCATCGAACAGGAGGTGGCCCTGCTTCAAGAGGAATTCGATGCTTACAGGGAAGCTCTGAACAAGGCCAAGGACTACCTGGATGTGGGCATTGTCAAATGGTCGGACTACCAGGATCAGTACACCGAAGCTTTGGAATGGTTAAGCAAGACCGAAGCTCTGGTTCAGTCCTACAACAAGTTGCAGGACAGCTTGCCTCAGAAGAAGGTGGTCCTCGAGCAATTCCAGGGACATCTTCAGACCCTCTTCGACTGGCAGAAGACTCTGGATGATCTGAATATGAAGGCCCAAGTTCTCCTGGAGACATGTTCCGATACAAGGATCAGCAATGCCATTATGCAACTCACCACCAAGTATAATGCCCTTTTGACTTTGGCCAAGGAGGTGATGCGTCGCCTGGAGATGCACTACCAAGAGCATCAGCAGCATCACAGTCTGTACGAAGAATGCCAGTCGTGGATTGAAAATACCCGTGAGAAGCTCGCGGATTGTGAACAAATACCCGGAACCCTTAACGAAGTCCAGATAAAATTAAACACTGTGAAGAATCTTCGTCAAGGCTTCGAGACTGGTCAGAACAAGCTTCGTTATCTTTTGGAACTGAAGGAAAAGGTTATTATGAACACCGAACAGAATGGAGCCGCCAAGATCCAGGAAGACACTGAGACCCTTAAGCAGGACTTTGATAAACTCCTTGTGGATCTCAACGATGTGCGTCAAAAGCTGGCCAATCGTCTCGCCCAATTGGAGGAGATCTTCAAACTCTACAAGATCCTTGTGGAATGGCTGGAGGATGTAGAGCCGAGTGTAAAGGCTAATGATGAGTTCCTGAACGACCTGAGTGAGAAACGCGCTGCCTTGGAGAAATTCCGTGTCATTCAGCGTGACATTAACGGCCACAGCGACATTGTTGAGAAGATCAATCAACGCCTCAAGGAGGATAATAGCTTGGATGTGAACGACTTCCAGCCGGGTCTGGGCAAGTTCGATGAGCTGCAGACGCAGGTTAACAAGATCATTGAGTCGCTAGAGAACCAGGTGAACAGCCATGAGAAATACAAGCAGGCTTATAATGAGCTGCAGGATTGGTTGCGACGCACTCGCATCGAAGTGGAGCAGTGTTCCGACTGCCACGGTGAGAAGGATCAAGTGGAGAGTCGTCTGAATCGCTTGGGCGATATACAGTCCTCGTCGTTGGAGGGCAAAGCCCTGCTGGAAGCCTGCGAAGAGCTCAGTCAGGCGGTGATTGCCACTAGCGGTAGCGAGGGCCAGGACAACGTGGCCCAGGAGATCAAACATCTCACGGCGGAATGGGAATCCCTCCAGGCACTTTCTCGCGATGCTCGCAGCAGCTTGGAATCCTGCCTGGCCGCCTGGCAAACGTTCCTGCAGAAGTTCAATAAAATCAACTTGTGGATCGAGACGATGAGCAAGCGCGTTACCAAATCTCAAGAAGGCGAAAACAAGAACCCCGAAGATTTGGTTAATGCCAAGGTAAGATCCAAGTTTTCGTCAAGTCGACTTCGTCTCGCAAATGTCGCACGCACCTCTAACCAAAAATAAATATAAAGTACTAAAAATGTAATCGAGTATATATATTCTAGCCAAAGCGCGCACGTATAGTAGAACTCACCGACAACAAAATTTGTATCTGAATAATAGCTCGTACCGTGTGAGAAATTAATCATTTACTAAATACCTCACTAATCACTACTGCTAACTTTTCAGCTAATCACTTGTATTACTCAATTTGCAGCTAATCATTTATACACAGACTCTTGTCTAATTGCCTAATTGCTTTATGTGCTTTCAATAACCCGTGGTTAGATCTTCCCAACTAAAGTCCTTTTCTATCCACAGAAACTGCTAGAAGAGGTGCTGGCCGAGAAGGATAATGTGGAGGATCTGAACGATAACTGTGAGCTGCTTATGGAGCAGAGTGCCTGCACTCGCATTCGGGATCAGACCATTGAAACTCAGGCCAACTACACCAAGCTTTTGACATCTGCCCAAGGATTGGTGGCCAAGATCGAGAAGAATCTGTCCGATCACACCGAGTTCCTTAACTACAAAAAGGAAATGGACGCCTGGATAGAGAAGGCCCAGCAGATTCTCAACGAATGTTCTACCGATGGTGATGCCGCTATAATTGCCCAGAAACTGGACACAGTCAATGTAAGTTTTCTAATAGAGCAAGAATGAAAATTGATTTCGATCATAATCGATTTCAATTCGATTCACTGAAATTTGATTTATTTTCAACTCTATTTTCTACGATTTCTATTTATAAATATTTCGGAGATCAAATGCATCAATTAGGATTAAAATACCCCCGCGCCCTCTTAATATATAACTTTATTTTTACAAATCCACAGTCTTTGGCTTCCCGTCTGCCCGAGGGCCAGCATCTCCTGGCCTTGGTGCAGGACGCCTACTCGAAGGCTTCGAATATCACGCCCGAGGACAAGCAGGAGAAGCTGCGCGAGCTGATGACCAAGGTGCGCGAGGATTGGGATGCCTTGGGTCTGGCTGTCAAGCAGAAGTTGAGCGATCTGAAGCAGGCCCAAAATCGTTGGAACGATTTTGCTGCCAACAAGGATAAGCTCGAGAACTGGCTGAACGAGACAGAGAAGACCATTAAGGTTGCTCCCGAAACTAAGGGTGAACTGAGCGAAATGAAGACATTGCTGGAGCGCTATAAGACGCTTGGCAATGAGCTCAAGCAAAAGGGTAGCGAGTTGGAGCAACTGCAGTCGGAGGCCCGTGATCTGGGCACCGAAGTGGATGCAGTGAATCGCCTACAGTCCCGTTGTGATAAGCTAAAGAATGATTGTTCGGCTCACATTAAGGCTTTGGAGCAGGAGATTGTCGATTACAATGCCTATCACCAGAGTCTGCAGGATGTGGAGAAATGGCTGCTGCAAATATCCTTCCAGCTTATGGCCCACAATTCCCTCTTTATTTCGAATCGCGAGCAGACCCAAGAGCAGATCAAGCAGCATGAGGCTTTGCTTGGTGAAATCCAAAAGTATCAGACCAATTTGGATGACTTGAATGCCAAGGGTCAGGCTCAGATTAGCCGCTATGAGAGCTCAACACCAACCATTCGTCCTGTAGTAGAGTCCCAGCTGAAGAATATTCAAGATAGCTACAACTCTCTGCTGCAGACCTCAGTGCAGATCAAGAACCGTTTGCTGGAATCGCTGGCCAAGTTCCAGGAGTACGAGGATACCCTGGACAGCATCATGCGCAACCTGGAGGCCTACGAGCCGATTATCCAAACCGAACTGGATGCTCCGGCCACGAGCCTGGAGCTGGCCCAAAACCAACTAAGGTGTGCCCAGGAAATGCAGAACAAGTTGAACAATGAGAAGTCTCGTTTGGCAGCTGCCGTTCAGGCCTGCGAAGCAGCCACGGCATCCATCAGTCGTCCCAGTTCCCCGCTGGAGACTGCCATGCAGGCCATACCCGAAAGGGAGCTTATTGTGCGCGCCAAGCTCGAGGATCTGCTGGATCAGGTAGGATTAAGGATTTGTTTATATTTCTATTGAATTTGTAGTTTTGTGAACACATTGTAGTTGAAACTTGAAACAGAAAAAGAAACGGAAAGATTTTAGTAGCTTATGGCTTTTAGATTTAAATATTTACATTCTACATTTCTACATTTACATTCTTAAATTGTAAATCCTAAAAATATTCTTTCTTATTAGTAGAGAAATTTATTTCAATATTTTAAATAAGTAGTTTCATTAAACAAATTTCATAGATCTTCCCTTTCTTTTTCTTTAAATTTTATAAAAACCTCATTTACCTTTGATTTGCTAACCAATGTTCTTTTTATATTAAACCCTTAACCATTCCCCCACCAACATACCAACTTCCCCACCCCAACAACACTGCCCTAACTTTTGTTGATTTGCCGCACTGTTGCCCCCGTAACTGTTGTAAAAAAAATGCACACACTACCCACAAAAAAATGCTATGCCTTGTGCTTGCCGCTGCCTAAAGAAACCGCCTCCAAAGACTCAGAGCTCAACCAAAGAGGATGAAGACGACGATGATGTTGAGATTCAGGTTGAGCTCAACGATGTAAACGAGGCGCTGTTGGATCCCATTGCCCACGAGCGTGTCAGCAACTATCGTCGCATAGTTCGCCTGAATAGCGCTCATGTGGGCAAGCTGAACGAACTGGTTGCTAAGGTAAGAGAGCAAGGACACTCATTAGGACGATCAGGTGGAGGGCTGCGCATGGCTATAGTTAATAACAAAGGCTTGTTTTGATATATGTAACCTTCTTAATTTAATTCAATAATTAATAATTAATATGCTTTCTTATGTCTAGGTGCAATCCCACTTGGGTGGCTTGACTGCATCCGTTAGCGAACTGGAGCAACAGCAGAAGCAGCGCGCCGAGCTGCAGGATTGGGTGAAGAAGCAGCAGACCTCAGTGTCCGACTGGTTAATGCGTCCCTGCAAGCTGCGTCCTGAGGCGGCGCAACAGGAATTGGTTTCCATGAACGATTTGTTGAACTCCATCGGTGACAAGAGATCGCAATTGATGTTGGAGATGACAGGATCATGTAAGTGATTTTTATATTTTTTCATGGATTATCATAAATGAAAATATATAAATATAAAAATATTTATCTAAGAGGTTTTTTTCCGGAATTAAATTTTACATAATCCTATAATTCTTCTCATATTTCCTATTATTAATGAATTATTTAATTTATATTTTATTATTATCTTTCTTTTTAGTAGGCGATGAAGACACCGATCTGGATGACAACATCGACAAGCTCGAGTCGGAGCTAATGGATGCCATTGCTAAGAAGCAGGCTGGCCAAAATGTGATCGATGGCTATCGCCAGGGAATGGCTGATGTCCAAAACTGGTTCGACAGCCTAATTAAACGCATGGATGTCCTGGATCGTGGTTCCGGCTTGAACTGTGCCCAGAAAACGGCAGCCATTAATGAGATCAAGAACGAATACGAGCTACAAGGACACCCGAAGATTCAAGAGCTCAAAGGCAAGGCCTCACAGGTGGCGGAGGTGATAAGCAATCTCGATGGCCAACAAGTTGAGGAGCAAATGAAGTCGCTGGATCGTCGCTTTGCTGATCTGGGCAAGCGCATCGATCGCAAGGCTCAACTGCTGGATGTGACCAACAAGGGTGTGGACGGAGCCAAGGGCGAGATCGATCAGCTCCAGAATTGGGTGAAGCAGCAGATCGAGGAGCTGCAGGCACCTACTCCGCTGGGTTACACGCCTAAGGATGCCGAGGCGCGTCAGCAGAAGATCAAGAGCCTGATGAAGGATGCCGAGGCCAAGCAGTCTCTGGCCGATGTGCTGGAGAAGCGTGTGGCCAATATGCAGCAGGAGCTAGAGCCCGCTGAATATGCACAACTGGAGTCCGCATTGCGTAATCTCAACACTGAGAATCGTAACTTGTCGGGCGTACTTAAGGCGGAGCTAGATCGTGCTCTGGAGGCCAGCAAGGCTCGCAAATCCCTGGAGAATGATCTGGACAAGGCCCGCCAATGGCTGAAGACTAAGATCTCCGAGGTGCGCAAGCTGCCAGTGTATCATCCTCTTACCTCTGCTGAGATTGAGAAGAAAATCCAGGAGAATCGAAAGTACGATGACGATGCCAAGCAGTTTAATGACAGCGTTTTGAGTGACGTCCAACGCCAGGCAGCTAACATAATGAAGGATTGCGATGGCCCGGATAAGGCTGCACTGCAGCAGATCCTTGATGAAATTGCCGCCGACTATCAAACCCTAAAGGATGAGAGCTCTAAGAGAGGCAAGTCCCTGGATGATCTCCTGCAGGGTCGCAAGGCCTTCGAGGATTCGATGAAAAAGATGGGCGATTGGCTGAATGAAATGGAGACGGCCACCGAGGGTGAGCTGCGTACCACAAGTCTACCCGTTTTGGAAGAGCAGCTGGCCCACTACAAGAAGCTACTCAACAATGCCGAGAACATGGGCGGTCTCATCAACGATGTGTCCGAACAGGGCAAGAGCATACTCCCTACTCTAAGTAATGCCGATAAGCTGAAGCTCAACGATGATATCAAGAACATGAAGGATCGCTACGGCAGAATCAAAAACACAATTGATGATCGCGTGAATAACCTGAACGATCACATCAAGAAGTACAAGGATGCCAAGAGCAGGCTGGCCGATTGCAGCCAGTTCCTGGGCACCATTCAGCAAAAACTGCGTGAGCTCAATCGTCCCATTGGCTCTAGAATCGAGGATGTCCAGGATCTGTTGGGTTCGTATGAGGGCATACTCAAGGAGCTCAAGGACAGCAAGAGCAAGATGGGTGACATGCAAATGGACGATTTGCCCGAGCTGCAAAGCATTCTGACCCAGCAGGATGACATGATCAAAATGATTGAAGATCAGTTGGCCCATCTCCGTCAGCTTCTCATGCTCCGCGAGCAGTTTATTGCTTTGATCAACGAGATTATTGCCTTTATCATGAAGTACACCGATGTAATCATCGATATCGAGAACTCCCCAGACAGTTTGGAGGATAAAATCAACAAGTACGACAATGTCATTGTCAAGATCCAGGAGTGCGAGGGTCTATTGGCCTCTGCCAATGACAAGGGCCAGAAGATAGCCTCCGAGGGCAATGCTGCGGATAAGAACAGCATTACCGAGCAGCTGCAATCCCTCAAGAATCAACTTCAGAATCTGCGCAAGGCAGTGGAGTCACAGCGCCAGAAGCATCAGTTGCAGCTGGAGTCGCACAAGAAGATGGCCGCCGAGCTCAGCGAAATTCTTGATTGGTTGCACAGCCATGAAGGTGAGGTCAAGTCCCGTCCTCTGCTGGATCGTGATCCCGAGTCCGTAGAGCGAGAGCTACAAAAGCACCAGACCCTCAGCCAGGACATTGAGTCGTATCTCAACAAATTCAACAAGATCAATGATGGCGTTAAAACTGAAATTGGCATGCCCAGCTCCTTGCTAGAAATGCTCTCCGAGGGCCGATCCCTGGTCTCATCCCTGCCTCACGAACTCGAGGAGCGTGAGAAATACCTGAAGAACAACCGTGACTCTCGCCTGGAGTACATGCAACTGGTGGCCAAGTTCAACGATTGGGTCCACGAAGCCGAGTTGCGCTTACAAAATAGTCAGCATGGCATCGACTATGAGCATTTAGTCCAGGATCTCGACGAGCACAAGATCTTCTTTGGCAACGAGGCTCCCATCCGTAATTTGGTGCACAAGCAGATCCAGGAGGCCGCCGACAAGATCTGGTCTTCCCTCAACAATTATGAACAGTCGGAGCTTTCCGCCGAGCTGGCACAGTTCCAAAACAAATTGACCAACACCCTGGCCAATGCCAAGACCCAGCAGAGTGAATTGGAGAAGGAGGCGGAGCGCTGGCGAGAGTATCAGCAGTCGATCGACCGTGTCAAGGCCACCATCGAACGCACCAAGTTCAGCGATGAGCCTGTCCAGAATTTGGCCGGTCTGCACTTTAATATCCAGAAGCTGTCCCATGCTATTGGAAATGTTCAGGTGAGTTTTGGGGAGATATAAAAATATATAGAAAAAATTTAACTAAATTAAGTGAAGAGTAAAGTAAATTAAGACGTAGAAAGGTCTAGTAAATTTTAAATATTTGTATATTAAATCTTTATTTCTGTAACATCAACATGCTTAATTTTTAAACAGATCGTAGTAGTTGCAACAATTATACCCTGGCAATTTGCAATTGGATTAGGAGACCGAATATTAAATCGATCATAACTCAGCAAAAAATTCATTAATTTCAATAAAGACCGCTTTTAGATTTTTAATAGGTTAACAAATAAACAAATTAATATTAAGATGTAATAAAAAAACATCCAAATTTATAATTTCAATAGAAATTGTATCCACTGATAAATTTAGAAAAAGGGTATATGTATAGATAATGATAAATGATTGAAAAGAAAATGAAAATATATAATTCTTAATAGAAAAAACCTACTAAAAATTCTACATATGTAGATAGTTGACAAGACCATAAGTTCTCAAAATAATCCCAAAATATCTACGCATATATTCACTCGGCCGCTTTGTTCATATAAATGTGCAACCGAAAGACCAGTTTTCCCCAAAAATGACACATTGCACAAGGATGTGCCACAAACGGAGAAACACACAACCAACAGCACCGAGCCAAGTGCGAATATATCCACTTGAGAGCACTTATGGCGTGTTGGCATCCAATCCAAATGCATTTGCTTTGCCGCTTTAATATACATACATACATATGTACATATATGTATCTCATGGTTTTGCCGGCCGGCAAAGGCAACAACACACTCACTTTCGATTGCACATGCAAGAGAACCTCTCCTCTCTTCCGGCTGGAGTGGCTCTCTCTTGCTTTGAGCTAATAGTTAAACTATTGAACACGCTATGTGTGCCTATTTGTTTACTTTCGTAAGCTTTTACCTTGAGAACTCATTAAACTTTTAACCTAGTAGTTGTCCGCTGCTGTATTTTTGCCGCTAGCTTATCGTTCAGCCTGTCAAACTTCCACTTTGATTATAATTATTCAAGGCACAAGCTCGAATTTTATGCTCAACAAATTCAACAAAATTTATATATATCAGCTGTTGTTGTTGTTATATGCCGACGTTGTCGCCGAACGAATTAAGCTCATGACATCATCGGCAACACTGTATCAGGCAACCAGTTTTAAGCCAGGGATGGTTAGGCAGCTTAGATTGTACAATGTAGCCTTTCAGGGATCACTGCAAAATATTTGTTTTTGAGCTGGAATAATTAAAAATATAAGTATTTTATAATTAATTATTATAAAATATTTTCCAAGACTTAAAAAATAAATTCTTGTTACGCTAGCAAGATCAAATATTTATTTTATGAGAAGAAGAATAGTATAGTAATATCGTAATAGTAAAACTATGTTTAATAAATTTCTAATACTAAATAAGAAAAAACAGGTTTTATTTATTTTATACAAGATTTTTAAGGGCTCTTTAACCTTCTGAGGCTAGGCTTAAAAAGTAAGACGTGACTCGAATTCGTGATTAGCTGGTATTTCTTAGAAAAAAAATAAGAAGGCTATGGTTCAAGTAAGCCATTAAATTTTTTAATTAATTTGCAAATTCATCATTTAAAGTTTAAAATCTAAAGTGAATATGATAAGAAAAATGCATGTAAAGTGTTATCTTTATTTGTTTTTGTTTTTTGTATAGCCCTGGTTTCTGGGTGAGATACTTTAGGAATGGCCGCAAATACATGTTAAGTGCTTCCTTTTTGTTGTATTTTTTGATGAGTGAGCTTTAAGAGTACCATAGGCCCTTGAAGGTTTTCCTCTTCCTCGGCTCCTCTCGCACTCTCTCTCTCTTCAGCACTCTACTCTCTCTTGACACACAGCTGTTTGGTTGTTGTAGCTTTTAGCTTGTTGTTGTTGTCGTTAGTTTGTAGGGCATGCCGGCTGGAGAGGCATTAACCAAGGTTTATGTCGATGAGAGAGAGAGAGAGTGACGTGTTCACGGTGGCGTATGCGTGATATGTGCGAAGCCCAACTCTGACCGCCCACGCCCGCCCAACAAATACGTATACGCATGGATGGAAGTATGTACATATGTATGTATATTGCCAAAAGTGCTGCCAAGTCGAAGAAAAAACGTGTTTGCCTGAAATCCGACCGGCTTTTTGGTTCTCTTCAGTCTCCTAAGAGAAACGAAACAGGGGAGAGCATCAGTAGCAATTCTAACTCGTGCTTATTTGCCTTTGGGGCCCGTTGGGGTTTTGTGTTGAGTTTGGTCGAGTTCACTTCCAGTTGAGACGTTTATCTGTGCGGTTGCCAGCGTGTTTTTGTTTTGTACTCGCAAATCGTGCATATATATATTATATGAAAGAGAGCAGAAGGAAGAGAGAGAGGAGCAATTGTTATAGCTTTGTTAAATTTGAATTACTCGTTTCGTTCGTCGCCGTTCTAATATATAAAATGCCATGTGCTTGAGGCAAGGCGCAAATTGAAATTCAACAACAAAAATACAAAAAAGCTAAGAAACAAAAACAAAGTGGCAAATAAATAGCAAATAAAATCGAGGCAAAAGCCAGATAGACATCAATATCGAAAAGCAACAAAAAACAAAAAGGCTAACGTCATCAGCCATTGAAATCTATAAGAGAAACCCAAAAGAAATACAACTAAACTAATAAAAAGCCAACAAAAGGAGGCTACACTTGAGGTGTGTGTGTGTGTGAGAGAGTGTGAAAAATCTATAAAATTTTATACGATTTAAGCAGGGCTTGTCTTTAGACTCTTTTTTTTTCTCTCAAAAACCAGGCATATGTCAAAGTTCAACAGAGCCAACACTTTACAAAATACATCGCCCTATTCAAATACTTAAATACTCGCTATAAGTTCTTACGTTCTTCATATATTTACTTAACATAACATACTTAAATCGCGATTCAGGAATCTGTGTTACATCAGACTCGAAAAGACATTGAAATCAAAATTGTTGTTTACAGAGCCAGACCAGCGACTTGACGCTCGTCAACCAACAGGCCCAAGCCCTTATCCGACAGGCGGACGCCCGCAATCGTCAGCTAATTGAACAGGACAACGCTGCCTTGAACCGCCTGTGGCAGGATCTGGTCCGCAGCTTGGAACAGCGACGTGATAACCTGCAACAGTTGGCCGAACACTGGGACGGATTCGAGAATAGCCTGCACGCCTGGGAAAAGGCACTTGGTCGCATAGAGGATAAGTTCCGAAATGTCGATCCAACTGTAAGATCGCGTCGTCATTTGGAAGATACGAAGAATGCCATTCAGGTGAGTTTTGAGGACATCTTTCAGGGGTTTTAAATGCCAGTTAGATTTTGTTTTAAATATAAAATTATGGGAAATTTTTAGAAATACTTTAAAGATTCACTTTTATTGGGGGTAATGACCCTTTAAGTAGTGTTATAAAAATATACAACTTATGGTTCATTAAATTCTTCTTCAATATATATTTTAAATAAATAAAATATTGGTCTTGTAATATGTATTTTTATAAAAGCGACAAACCATATCAAAAGTTAACCACGTTTTTTTTCTAGCTGTACGCAATCTATATTTGTATCTTTGTCTATATATTATGTATGCGGCAGTCATTCATTCTTTTAGTTTCGTTATGGCAAAACCGCCCTCCCTTGGGGGCTTATGTTTGTCAAATATTTTTACCAATACGCAACCATATGTAAGAGTCTCAGATATATATGTATAGGCATCAGCAGCACCATGCCGACATCAAGTTCATGGTCACGTTGGGGATTGAAGCTTGCGCTCTCTTAGTTTTAAGAGCCCGCTCTCTTGCTCTCTATGCTGAGCTTCATAGAAACGCTAAAAACCAGCTGAGCGGTGGCTCCAAAATTGATTTAATGACTGCGGACTATGTTGTGAATGATTAGCACACGGATAGCCACTAAATCACAGCAATCAACAAAAGAAGTAAACAACATTTAAACTTTCAGTTTCTTTGGACTTTTGTTTTTATTTTAAAACAAAAGAGAAGTCTAGCATTTGCACATTTACTGTATTATTTTAATGTAATTTTAAAAACTCAAGGTGGCAAGTAGAGAGAGAACGAGATTTACTAGAACCTGTAATGTATACTTTCGCATTAGTTATCAGCAATAGCAATGATTTGAATGTGATTTGCTGTTGGGTGAGATCATTGTTTAAAGCGATAATAGGCTGGCGTTTATATTCGATTTCTACAACTATAAATAGTACAAATATAGTTGCTAAAAAAGCCACAATGGCAGTCTTTTGAAGTATCATTTCAATTAAAGCAATTTTCAGCCATAAAAGCTAGGCCCGACCATATCGAACTAACGATGTTGTCATACATGTGCCGCCATATAAAGACGGATCCAGCGATAACGAACCAAAAAACAATAACAAATACTATCAAACACGAAGATAAACAAAAAGAAAAAACAAACATAGGGTTTTAATTCTGTCTTTCCAAATGAGACCATAAATTAAATTTATTTATTGTAGTTTTTTTCTCAGTTCAGATTTATCATTAAATTTAAAAACTTCTGCTCGATCGAAGCTAACCTCAAGCTCCAAAAGCTGGCAAAGTCAAGTCAACAAATAGAATGTTGACCTTCCGAAAAGAAACTGGTAATGAAATCGAAATTGAGGAGGCAAAAATATAGACAGAGAAGAGATAGCTAGAGATGAAAAATATAAATCTTATTGTTTCATTCACCAACAAATTCTTATTTCTTTTCCACAGGAATTACGTGAAGAGTCAAATCAACTTAAATCATCATATAAAGAAATCGAGGCGCTCTCTAAATCCATCCTCACATTCCTTGGGGAAGTACACAAACCCTCGGCGGAGGCCATACAGGCCAAAGTGGATAAGTTAGTGGAACAGCAAGCCAAGTGAGTACCCAAAACAATTACCAAAAACCCCAGATATATTACATGTTTAACTGAGCGTGACTTTGTGGTACCGAAAGGCAAAACAATACACAAACAAAACACAAAAGTTCTCTCTCCTCTGATCGAAACGCTTAATTCCGGAAATTGAATTGGCTTGCATATATTATCAGAGGCTGCCAAACTTGTTGCCCAATGAAAATTAATGCCAATTGAGGGAATTTAACTGGTTACAGTTGAATATCTGATCCCTGGATCAGCGCTCTATGTTTCTTTTCTGTTTATATTATAGTTTTATAGAAATTATTCTTAGTTTTAGTGAAATGTTTTGAGAAAGCAGTTTGTGTTGAAAATATTCTCCAGAACTCGGCTGTGATTCATTCAACGGAACCACTTAAAAGGGAGGCTCTTCATGCGTTCATAGTTATTTTTTTAATTATTGCTCTAAAAGACATTTTGTTGTGTGGCTTAGCTTAGGTTGCTTGACTTGTTCGGCCCTCGAAATGCCATCTTATTGTTATTGTTGAGCCGCAAAACTGACGTCAGACCAACTGTTACGCTTCGTTGTGGACGTTGGTTGGTGTTTTTTTGTTGTTGTTGTTGTATTGTTGTGTGCGCGTTACGTAAGCCGGTGCTTAGATGTATTTTTAACGTGTCTCTCATCTCTCTATTGCCCCGAAAAAAACATCAAGCCTTTAATAATAGTTCTGGGAATAGATTCTATAATATTCCAAGGGAAAACTCTTTATGGCTATTTTTACCCCGTTTGTTTTTCTTTTTTTTTTACTAGCAGGGGCTATCCCGTTCTTGATAGAACTGTGCCAAAGCTTCAGCCTTATCAAAGGCGATAGCGCAGACATTTCTATATGCTTTGTGCGCTTCCCGCTTCTGGGACTTGATAAGCGCCGTCCAACGAATTCTTGCGCCGTGCTTTTGCGGAAATACTTGATGTATATATGTATTTCTTTATTGTTGCCTGGCGCTAGAACAAGCTAAAATCTGTGCCAATATGCCAATTCATTCGTTGGCGTTTATTCTTTAACCGAATCATTCGAATTTTCTTTCGCTAATCACCAGCAGTTGTTGCCATCACGTGCCAAGAGCTGCCAGCAACATGCTGCCGCAACATTCTTAAATGTTGACTAGCTACAGAATTCACCACACCCGTCCATGATCACGTAGACACTCATTGGGTAGATCTCCCTTTTGGCCTTTCTTGCTGACACAATTTTCATGGGTATGCCCCCTCTTTTGTTGTGTTCTGTTGGTTCAGTCTATTTTGTTTTATTTTTACACACAATTTGTTGTTTTCTTGACAGCAGCAGCAGCGGCGGCGGTCTGCTGCCTGAATAATGAGCAGCAGCAGCTGTTGATATAATTTTTCCGAGCATTTCCCTTAAACCGCAATGTGCGTAAGTTTTTGGGAGGCTTAAAGATGTATATTTTGACGGCTGCCAAAAAGGTGACGTCGTTCATATATCAAATATGCATACTTATTTAATTGTTGACACAGTAAATATTTCTTTTATGAATATTTCCTGAAAGAAATTCACACTTAATTACCTTCATTTAAAGATTTGTCAAATGATACCTTTCTTGATTTATGGAGCATGAAATATGGTATGTGTGATCTGTTTCTTCCTTTAATTATTTTCTTATTTCAAATGTCAGTCTCCAAAAACTGAACAAATGAACTATGCCATCATCAGGCCAAAAAGAATGATCTAATAAATACCTCCAAGCGGCAGGCGGCATGTCATCGATAATTATATAGTCACAACTGAGATATATATCTATATTATATATCCTTAAAGTGCGACGCAAAAATTTCAATGCATTTACACACTTGAGATATAAATACAACATGGTTTCGACATGCAAAAATCTAATCAGCGAAAAGACATTAAATATTGCGTAAGCCTCTTGGGGATTTTATAATTTATTTCTAACAATTGCTGGCTTTTCGTGTGTGTCCGAAGTCAACAATTAACTTCATTAGCAAATAATTTTGATTTTTTTCATAAATTTAACTTGAAGATATTTCAAGAAATTCGCGAGAGAAACTGTTCTTCTCGCTGGCAAATAAGCAAAGTAAAATGTAAACAACTCTTGAAAATCATAAAAAAATGGAAATAAGTAAATAAAATGGCAAGTGAAAATGAATTTTTGCTTCGAGTCGTTTGGGTGACTTCATCGTTGAGAAACGTTCAAAATTAATAAACACAAAAAAAAAAGTAAAGGTAAACGACAGACCATGTGTGCAAATTCATTTAAATGGAATGGTAATTGAACTATGACTGAATCATCGCAACTTTTACTTTAGGTTACATTTTGGTTGGTTTTGTTTGCTGGCTGAATTTTTATAATCCTAATAATACATTAGGATTATAAAAATTCAGCCAGCAAACAAAACAAACCAAAATACAATCTGCAATTTGCATATGCATTTGCATTAGCAATCTGTCATTTATTAAAAAAAAAAAAAAGAGAAAATCAAAGGCCCACAACAGAAGCAAAACAAATGATAATAAAAACGTTGCCCAAATGAGGTAATCGGGTAATAATAAGTTTATTTTTGCCACTGTTAAGCGTTAACAGAGCGCTGTTACCGTTGGTTGTTCCATGCCGCCTGCCAAGCGTGCTGCTCTTGCACACTCTCCACTCTCTCCGCTCTCTCCCTCCCCACTCTCTCTTTAATCACAATTAATTATTGCCGGCTTTTCCTTATCTAAACCGGCAAAATGGCATTATAGCCTTATCAATCAGCTCTTTGCTTTTTTCTCTGGAATCTAGGAACCTCTCCCTGTCAGCCTTTATGGACGAGTTCGTTTGCTTTTAGCCCCGCTTTCAATGCCAAGCGCATTTAACAATAATAATTTTTTATTTCCCTCCTCTTCCCCCCTTTTATTCCGCTACCAATGTGTGGTGAGTTGGGGTTTTTAGCAGCTTTCGTTCTTTTATTTCCGTGCCGCCTTCGGGCACTGTTAACGATTAACGATCGACAGCCGACGAAAGACGAAGAGCGAGGAACTGAATAGTTTTTGTTTTTATTTTTTTTGGCAATTTTTGCGTGCGCCGCCAGCCAGCGAGCGTCCGAGAATATTTTGAATCAGTTTTTATTTAGAGTTAGTTGCAAGCGGACGTGCTTCTCAGAACTGGATGGCTGGAGACTAAATGAAAGAGCAAACGAACGAGCGACCGCAATACATATACGCATATTTTTAAATCAAATTAATTAACTAAGAAGTAGTAAAAACCAGAGAAGCAGCAAAAAAGCACCAAAGGCGCCCCCAAAGAGATTTTAAATAAGATGTATGGCAATGGATTTTCTTTTTGGACCAGCAACACAATGTCTGCTAATTTCTTTTATTTTCATGTTTAAAGTTTCGAACGCCGACTTGTGGATTACCAGGCGTATACGTAACGAGCGAAAGACAACACAGGAGTACCAAAAGAGTTCCTTTTGCAGCATCTGCTTGAGTTTCAGGAAAATTCAAGCGGATAGCTGGGAAGCGTCCAACAAGTTGAGCACACTTCTGCCTCCCGGCGTGAAACGGGGAGGTGTGAGAGTTGTCGCCAACACACACAGAGACAGCGGCAGCAATTAGAGATTCTAGCTAATTGTCAAGAACTTACGCACTTGTAGTTAACGTCGTGAAAAGCAAGAGGTGATTTCTTTTTTATGCGAAAATACTTGAATCTAAACGAGAGTTGTTAAGTGGTGGAGTAGCTACTCAAAAGACATGATTAAGTCATCGCACAGAAAGAGACCCGACCCCTCGTATGCAAAACAGTCGCCGCAACACCGGTCTGAGGTTTGAGGTCTGAGGCCTGCGGTCTGCCTGGTACTCATGCATACCTGTCAGGGTTGTTGTCAGGTGTGAGTGTTTTTTTTTTTTATTTAAAGAGAAAGAGAATACAATTCGTACGCTTAAAACGATGACGTAGTCAAGGCAACAGTAATAGAAATGCCGGAATGCTTATCATCGGCTAGGGCCTGATTACACATTCCTCGCTGTCCCATAAAAAAAATTGATCAAACTATGTTTAGTAACAAATTTTTGCGGCAAACGTTTTGCTAATTGTTTTTCTTGCGTATTCTTTCGTATTTTTCCGCAACACGCGCCTCTAGTTGCCTTTCACTTTCACTCGTCTCTATCGCAGCGGCATTTCTCGCATATTTTGCCATTTAAATTAGAGCCATGCACTAAATTTAAATCGTTAATCTGTACAAAATGGCAGCCGGCCGAACTGAAAATAGCGCAGAGGAAAAATAATTTTCATTTTGTCGGCTGCGATGGCGGCAAACCCAAACAACATTGAGAATTCACTCGTAGTTCGATATATATTTGTTGGGTGCGAAAAATGACGCCGAAATAATTCTGGCTGGTTTATAATAGTGTATCGTGTATTTCCGTTGCCTGATTTTGCTCAGATTCTTAACAATTAGATTTGAAAATGTTTTTTTCGGGGCAGTTCTCTTTGGCCCAAAGCCAAATGTATGTTGACCTGGCCTCATCTTAAGGCCGCATTTTAGTTTAGTTCTCGGTGGCTGTAAAAAGGGCAACAGACGAACGAAAGTTCCATTAACGAATCCGTCATTCCATGCCAAGTGCAAGATCCGAAACATGAGCGAACGAACACTTGTTTGAGTATTAATATTCTAGCTCTCGGCCAACAGGGCGTATGCGTCATGTGCTGGAAATATGGAATACGGAACGGAATTCATTGAATCTTGATTTGAAGCGATCCTAGTCATCTCGCGCTGACTGCAACGCCCCAAATGACGTCAGCTTGTCTGGGGCCAAAATGCACAAGAAATAATAAGACATAAATAAATGCGGGAAAGATTAATTTAAACATGCGCCGCCTTTAAAAATACACACACACACACAGGGTGAAGAAAGCAGTAATAACAAAAACAAGGTGTATTTTTAAAGTTGTGCGTGTGTCCAAGAGCAGCAGTTGGGGGAATATTTTGTATTTTATTTTCCTTTCGGCAGCTTTTAAGTTTTCTCTCTTTTCTGCCTCTCATTGAGATCAAGGCAATTTCGAATTATGAGCAATGTACGAAAAATCTTTTTCGAATTTCGAAAAATTGCTTTGCACAAGAAAATGTGCGCTCGCTCGCTCGAGGCATTTTCATTTAGAAAACTCTCTTGTAGCCGGACGGCAGCATTCATTTTCACGGAAATCTTCGCAGCCACAGCCCCGAGGCCAAAACCCAGTGGATTTTACACAGACATATATATATTTATATATATATAGCGATATATATATATGCGCATTGAAAACTTCAGCGTTTTCAAGAGGAATAACTTTTTCGCCCCCCAATATATCTAAACAGAGATCTTCGGAATAGAAATCTATCTATACCAGCAAGAACCGCGTGGTTTTCAAAGTGTCTCTCCATATATTATATTCCCCAGTCACGAGTCATTTATTGCCATTGAAATACCCCTCTTAACAAACCACTTCTATACTTTGCAGATTGAACGACACGCTACTCGATAAGGAGCAACAGGTTAGCAAGGATCTCGAGGAGATCGAGCAAGTCTTCCGCCGCATCTCGCAGTTGCAGGATAAGCTAAACGCTCTGCACGACCAGCTACAATCGGTTCACGTCTACGACGAACACATCTCGCAAACGGAACAGCTTCTGATCACGCTCAATAGTCAGGTGCAGCAGGCCGCCGAGGAGAGCAAATCCCTGGTGGCACAGACCACGGCCCAGTATCAGGCCAAACAGAATCAGCTGCCCAGCGACATTGCCCAAGAGTTCACAGCCCTCGAGCTACTCGCCGAGCGTGTCCAAGTGACCATGGAGACCAAAGAGAAGGATTTCAAGCGGGCCAAGACCGTACGCACCGAATATGTGGCCGGTGTGGACGAGGTGCAGCGTTGGCTGCTTCAGGCTGAGGTTCAGGTGCAAGAGCGAAGTCTCACCCCGACCCAGATGAAGGAGCTGCTGCAGCGCATTAATCACGAAATCACCGCCATCTACGAACGCTTCACGCTGGTCAAGACCAACGGACAACTGATCATCGAGAATTGTCGCAACAGTGAGGAGAAGACACTGGTGCAGACGACCATCGACCAGTTGGCCGCATCGCTGGCCCAAGTTCGGGGCTGGCTGGACGAGAAGAAGCAGGCGGTGGGTGATAGTTTGGATGCGTGGACAAGGTTCATGAACCTCTACCAGATTGTGATGTCTTGGGCATCCGAGAAGCGCACGTTCATTGACCAAACGATCGAGCTGCGCACTCTGCCCGAGGCACGCAACAAACTGAACGACTATGTGACGGCTGTGAAGAGTATTAAACCGATTGTGAAGCATCTGAGCGAAATGGACAAGGAACTGGAGCACATTGGCCAGGTGACGACTGTGGGCGATCTCAAGGACAAACTGCAGGAGGCCGAGGATGCGAAGATAACCGTGGAAGCGGTGCTGCTAGAGAGGGTAAAGTGATCACTCAAAACCAAATAAAAATTAAGAAAATTAATAATTTCTTCTCCCCCAATTTTCTTATCTTTTTACCTTAATAGAACTCCCTGCTGCAAGAGGCCTGTGAAGAATGGGACCAATGTGAACGCAAGATTAAGGATATCCGTGCCTGGCATGAGAAGACCAAGCAAAGCTTGGACTCCTCGCCACAGCAGAAGAAACCGCTGCGCGATCAGCTTGGCTTCTGTGAGAAGACCCTGGCCGATATAAATGTGCAGAAGACGAAACTGAGACTGTCTATTGAGAAACTAGAGGTAAGTATTACCGCTACGGCGGCATGGCTAATCGCTTGCTTACGTTCTCATTTGCAGGTTCATTTCCGCAATGGCATGGGCGGTGATCCGCGCCTGAGCGAGAATGTCGATGAACTGGTGCGCGTCCTCGACGGTCTAGGCGAGTTGGTCAAGGCCAAGTCGCAGAGCCTCGAGCAGACGCTTGCCCAGATCGATGTCTATCAGCAGCAAATGCAGACCCTGCGCCAGCGCATCATCCAGGAGGAGCAGCAGCTGCGCCTGGTGATGGCGCCCACGTACTTGCCGCACGATCGCGAGCGCGCATTAGCCGAGCAACAGGTACGTACCGTCCAGTCTTTGACCAGTTGTAGTAGACCCCGTTTAGCCAAAACCAGCTAGCAGATCAGTTGAGATATTCCCAGATATCAGTTAATGCCAGGAGCTCTCTAGAAAAGTCATTAAATCCAAGCCCCTTATTACTATCTATCTCATTCCGTCATTGCTGTGAACGATCGATCCTTCATTGCTATGAAAAAGAAACAACAACCAAACAGTTGACAGAACAACCAAACAAGTTATTAATCCTTCTCCACCCGAATACTTAATATATATTTCTTCTAAATAATATATTTTTGATTAATCTTTGAAATCGTTTTACCCATTGCGCTTAAATGTGTGCGGGTAGGTCCGAAAAAAAGAAAAAAAAAGTTGCACGGTGGCTGCGTATTTTATTTTAGTTTATTTTTAGTTTTGTTAAAATGGAAAAAACAATCAAAGCGCTTTATTATTATTTATTTATCTTCCTTTTATTTTTTTTTTTATGCGCCAAAATTCTATTACGTTTTTATTTTCGAATTGGTTTTATATCATATATACATTTCGCACAGACATGAAGACATTTATCATTCTCATTTCATCTTTGCGTTTCCTTATGCTAACACATTTCTCATCAACGTCTCTCACATACCAACCGTGCAGCTACCATTTCTCTCATGAAATTCATTTCCCTCTCATTGGAAAATACCCAAAAAAATTATACCTCATCATATACATCATATCAGAGCTTGTGGATCTCATTGTCACGTGCTTCGGCGCCCAAAAGTATTTATTTATAATACAGGGAAAAAATAAGTTCTTGTTGTCAGGGTTAGCCCGAATTCTTTTTCCAGACAGAATCACTTAGACTATTTTTAGAGCTAAAACGTTTTCCGCTGTTTTTGATGCTCGTGTAAACAAATTTGAGGTAGGCGATGGCCTAGCCATAGGATAAATCTCATAATACCCTACTTTTCTTAAGAGTATTTAGTTTTAAATATTAAAATCTAAGTTTACATTGCGAACTGTAATGTTGGCGGTAAGTGGCAAAACTTGGAATTCGATTCGATTTGGGGGCCGTAGCTAATCTTTGATGATATTAATTGGGTTCAGCTCTAGCTATGAGAACTTATTTTGATTTACCCTCACTAAAATCTCACCCATACACACAGTATAGTTGCGAAAAAAAAAAAAACATTAATAAGGTACAGTCATCACATTGCATTTCGTCACATACCAAAGCACAGACACACATGAAGCTTTGCTTAGTCATTTTACAAGGTTTTTATTTCTTTAAAGTTTTTTATTTTTATTAAATTTATAGTCAGCTTAGCCAAGCAGCTCTTTCTTTTTTCTATATACCTTTCTATCTATCTCTCTTTTTGGTATCTTAATAGCGAAAATCGGTTATTCCTTAATTTATGGTTACGGTTTATTATTTAGTATTTTATTTTTGACAATTGTGTATTTCTTTTCATCTTTTCTCTACGTAATTTTGTTGAATATAAACAAAAATCCTGGTGTCGTTGCGCTGAAAAAATCGAAACACAAATATGCAAAAAATTATTAAACACTCTCCATAAACATTATTCTTTACTAACACTATTTAAACCAATTAAAACATGTATTTGGGCTTTGCTCGCTTGCCTGATGTGCTACTTACTTACATAAAACCTGTGACTAATCCCAATCTGCTAAACATCTGAAAAATAACCCCATTCAAAACCCTCCAATAATGAACATAAACAAACATACACATGGGTACTGCTTACTTCTTCAATACAAATGGAAATATCGAACATGGTTAATGGTCGCTTTTCGTGTATCTATCCCATGGCGTATATTGTACTCGCTGCTGCCTTCAATTACCATAAACGAATCTCGATATATATGCTGACACATCTCTTGTATTTCTTCTCTATATATATATATATCTGCTCTCACGCCAACCATTCGAACAATTCTCTTAAAAAAACATGCACCATGTATACCTTAAATATAAACAATAGGCATGCCGGGAACGTGTCAAAAATCTGCATTCGAAAATAACTGCACGTAATGAGCGCATCAAGTTGTTAATACATCGCGGCACGCCGGACGATGCCAAGCTAGAGATTTAGGATGACGTACCGCCGTACCCTTACCCCTTAAGTTAAAGCCTATCTAGGACTAGATCAAAACCAAAGCAGCCACCCTTGGCGTCTTCCGTTTGCCATAGCTGCCGGTCCCTCTCTCCCTGGGGACACGGTGGCATTGGTCGAACTGTCAACTGCCGTCACTATGCTAATCAAAAATTAAAACATGACCCGTGTTTAAGAATATTTACAATTATATGACTACTCCTATTATAAAGAATAAATTAAATTATTGAATTATATATATATTTTTTTAAATGCAAACCCCAACGAATATAATTTATTAGGGAGCACAGGTACTTGTCTCTTAGGTAGCTTAGCTTTGTGTCCCCCCTTTGAAACCCCTGCAAACATATCAAAGCTAACGTTTTTGGCAAATCTTCCCCCTATCTCTCCCACTCTCTCTCTCACTCTGATACGTCGTGAACCATGATGAACAATTAGGCAATGCGAGAATCAATCGATGGCATGCAGCAAGTCTACGATGCGACCGCTCGAAAGTCCTATGCGCTGGATCCCCATTCAGTGGTGACCACTTCATCGACTGTCTCGTTGCTTATGAAGCCAACGGCGTCAGTGGGTCTGACCTACGCTGAAGTGTTGTCGGGACAAGCGAGTCCGGTAAGCGGCGGTAATGAACCTGTAACGAAATCCCGACCAGAACGAGACCCCTCTACGACGACAACAACGACCCAGCAGCAACAAACGAACCAGACCCAAAACCAGACAACTATTACAACCATTACCACAACAACCACGACTTCTAAACGTACGCACGGTGACGAATCCCAGGGCCAGGAGCAAAACGAGTTCAATGGCGGAAGTGGCACCATTTCCACCACGATTTACGAGCGCCAGCGCAAGAATACACCACCCAGTTTCACCACCGCGTCTTCAGATCTTACAGCAACCAATCCTAACACTCAGTTTATCGAGACCGAGCAGCACCATCATCAGAAGTTAAAACCGACGGTTAAGAAAACTCAACCTTCAAGGCCAGAACGACGCGGTCGTTCGCCAAGACGTCGACCCCAGGCACCGTCACCGCAACAGCCGGAGATTCAGGTTCAATTGCATCAGGAACCACCCCACCAGGAGCAACTCTTCTTGCCCATTGATGACCGCTCAAGATCTCGCAGCCCTATGTGGGTACCCGGTTCGACTTCCTATGCGGAGGTTCTTCGGGGTTTGGAACTGGAGCGTCTAAAGGCTGAGCAGTTGGCCGCTCAGGCCGTGCAAGGTCGTACAGATCTTACTATTCAGGATGTGGTGGATGCGAGCGTAGCGGCTTCCAGTAGTATCTACGTTCCAGAAGCTAAGCTACCGGAACACCCAATCAAGGACCATCAGCTGGATCAATACATCAGTGAAACCAGCGCAGATCTTACCTTTTCTCATTCTCAGCAGGAAGAGCAGCAGCAGCCACATGAACTGCAGCAGCCGAAACCCATCAGCAATTACGAAGTGCCCATGACTGCCGAAGAGATTGCAGCCACATATTTGCAGCCTGATCCACAGCTTTATCAGACAATGTACGAGAACGTGGCCGATAGCGGTCAGTGGGGTTACGTGACGGGCTCTGCAACGGAACCACAACAGCAGCAGCAGACGCAGCAGAACTACTACGAGCAGATAATGCAAATGCAGTATCCCATTCAGTATCAGCAAGTGGCAGTTCCACCAACGACAGCGCAATATCAGCTTTTAACAGGCTACTATCAGCCGGTGGCTCAGGCGGACAACTATTCCACTGTATACCCCGCAGAACAGAATCAAATCTACTACACCCAGCAAGCCGCTGACTATTCTCAGGAATACCCGCTACAGCAGCAGTCGGTGCAGCAGCAGCAGCCTCAGCAGGACTTCCAGCAAGAATCTGTAGAGCCGCAAACCTATTTGCTGGAGCCCTACCAGGTGGAGAACACTTTGACGTCGAGCTCTACAGGTAGCAGCGTGCTGGATCGCGTTGTTACCACATTAGCCTCAATTGTGCAACAGAGCTCAGAACCACTGACCACCAGCACCCAGCAAATCCAACCAGTTCTTGTGCCAAGCGAGCCGCCGCAGTACTATATCGAAGAGCATGTTCAAATACCACTTGCTGTAGAGCCTCAGGAGTTTGAGCTAAATGAGCCTCGACCTGATATTACCTTTGGCCAGTTTGATGTTGATGCTATTGAAACCATACCAGTGGATACGCCACAATCGCAACCTCCTGAACCACAGGTTCAACATCAACCCAGTGTAACCACAACCAGATATGTACAGGAAACCACTATTATTTCCAACCAGACACAGCCAACTGTGATAACGCAACAGACAGAGGAAGTCGCTGCAGTACCAGCAGATGTCCCCCAAGTCCCAGAGATATCCACAAATGTCGTTGTGCACCCCCGGCCTCAGAAGCGAAGCAATAAGCAAGTTCGGCCCCAGGATATTAGTACTGGCACCACTTACGCCGAAGTCCTTTTCGGTCTTCAGCACCAAGAACATCCAGGTTTCCAGCCATCCAGTCAGCAACAAACTCAAGTGCGCCTTACATCCTCGCCGCCATTGCAACGCAAGCCGGATCAAGCAAATTTGAGTAGTTACACTACTACTACCACCACAACAACCAAAACGATAACGAATCAGCACGCTAAACGTGTGGACAAGTCACCAACCTGGGAACGCAAAGAGGACAATTTTGAGTCTCGGACGTCGCGTACAAAAAGAACGAGAAATGAAACTCACCCTGAACCATTGCCTATTAAGCAGAGTACTCGAAAGGATGCAAAGACGGGTAAGAAGCCTCGTTCTCCCGACAGCAATGGTGTCTCTGCAGAAACCAAATTAGTTGCTGAAGTTGTACCATCTTATCCAGTTGCGGAAGAGAAATCAAAGTTACCTGAACCAAAGCCGAGAAAATCAAAGAAATCGAACAAGGTAGCTGATAGTGAGCCTTTATCTGTTATTGAGCCCAAACCTGAACCATCTCCAGTACTTCCTAAAAAAGAGAAAAAGCTGGCTTCACCAGTCTTGGAGAAAAAGGTAACAGAAGTCGTGACAACTGTAATTGAGACAGTTGTTGAACCTGAAGTTCAGCCAACTCCCGCTTCCTCAAAGAAAGAAAAGAAGCCAAAGCCTGTGAAAGAAAAGGATACTCCAAAAACAGAAGCTAAAAATGTTGAAGTCACACCAGTACCTCCTACCAGGAAGGAAAAGAAACAAACCAAATCGGTTGTGGAACAAGAGCTGGTAATCATTAAGTCTGATGAGCCCGTCATCGAAGAGATTACTGCTCAACCCGTTGCAATTCAACCAAAGGAAGAGGCTCGAAATGATAAGGATCGTTCTGAGGTGTCTAAAAAGGAAAGAAAACGTGGCAAGGTTGTTGTAGAACAGGTTGCAGTAAGCACTGTGTCTGATGAGCCTGTTGTCGAGAAGGAGATTGTTCAACCTGCTGTGATAGAGAAAGTCGAAATTGCGCAACCAGCTCCTATTTCAAAGAAGGATAAGAAGAAGACAAAGACAGTTGTGGATGAGACAATTCTCAATACCATATCGGTAAAGCCTACCATTGAAAAGGAGACAGTAAAACCAACTGTGATTGAAACAATCGATGTAGTTGAGCCTGCCTCGGAAAGAATTTCCGAACCCGAAGTTCCAGTTCCAGTTCCCGTGAAAAAGGACAGAAAACGGTCCAAGAAGGGAACGTCCCGGGATGAAACAACAATAAACTTCGAACAGGTGGAGTCTACTCCTGTTGTTACAAGTAATGTCGCAGAGACTCTTACTACTACTGAAGTAATTAATTCTATTTCTGCTGTTGAAAATATCGAGTCCTCAAATAATATTCCTGAAATTATCGAAACTCCCTCTGTCGTAGAACCAGCAACGACTGAAAGTGTAATTATGGATAGTAGCGAACCTGTGGTTACCACATCGACTAACACGATATCAACAGAAAGTGGAACCACAACAATCACAACGCGAACAATAACAAAACACATTACCAAGCGCATTGTAAAGCGAATTGTTGATGGCAGAGAGGAAATTGTTGAGGAAGATGTGATTGACGACTTGCCCGAAGAGAACATTTCTGTTGAGCAATACAACCTCCCACCGGTGGAATCCGCGGCTAGTGATGTACCAATTGATATTTCCGGATTTTCGACCACGCAGGACACGATCGTGCAACAAGGTTCAATAACCAAGACTGTAATTACCAAAACCAAACGTATCCTGAAGCGTATTACCGAAGATGGAGAGGAAATTGTCGAGGAGGTTTTCGAAGATGAACCTGAAGTAGAGCGGGATGTAACTATGTTACCAACCACAGTGCTGACCACGACAGAAACTACGATCGGACAACTTCAACCATCTCTGAATGTAATTGAGGATGTTGCGCAAATTGTAGTCGATGAGGTTTTGAAGGAAGCCGAGGAAATAACACAAACAAATAAACAACCTGAGCCCGAGGTATTGCCTCCAGTCGTAGATGTACAGGAGCAGAATAAGCCACAAAAACCTTCAAGAAAGGATAAGAAAAAACAAAAGAAATCGGAAATCAATGCTCCTATTGTGCAGAAGGTAGAAGAAATCGTTGAGCCGCAACCCCAAATAGAATTTACAGAGCCCCTGAGTGTAACAAGTGCAACAACTACGGATAATAAACCTACTCTGTCGTCTGATGATGGAGGCCTTGTCAAAAAGACAGTTATCCGAACAACCAAAATTGTCAAAAAAATCAACAGTAGTCAGCAGGAGAGTCAAGAGATGTCCTCTTCGACGTATTCAGATGGACCATCGTCTCTGGGTTCCTGCGAGGAAGCCATTGAGCCTCCCAAAATTGAGAAATCGGAGACAAATAGCCGGGAAATAACCGATGAGGGTGTAGTCAAAACAACTAAAACCACGACAACTAAAACCATAAAATCTCCCAAGATCGATGAAACCCAATTGGAACCTTTATTAGATGTTTCGACTGAAAATAAACGTGTTCCACAAGCAGTTGTGGAGGAGCCTGAGGAAGGTGGAGTGATTAAGACAACCATTGTCCGAACCACAAAGATTATCAAAAAGATTTCCCAGGAAAGTGAAAATATCAGCGAAACCAGCAGCGAAGCCGATGTTTCTTCCCTACCCCTTGTTGAGACAATTATTCAGGATGCTCCGATTGTGGCGGAGTCTGTTACAACTGAATCGAACAGTGAGGGCATTACTAAGACTACAACTTCTCGAACTACGAAGGCGGTGAGCAAAACGGCAGTGAGCGAGAGGGTGGACGAGTCTCTTCATTTACCGGAGGTTCCTGTTATACCGGTTGGTATTGAGGATAAGTTCCTGACTACAACAAAAATTATTGAAGTTCCCCCAATAAAGTCTACAGTTTTGGACTTTATTGCTGCTGAAAGCTCTCCAAAACTCGGAGAAGTAAATGCTCAGCCTGTGGATGCTCCTCTTCAAGAAGAGGCTGTTTTAGAATCATCCGCTATGGAAACTCCTGTGCCTAAAATCGAGTCTTCTGATGTTGGTGATGTTGTAAAGACCACATTTGTGCGAACAACAAAAATTGTAAAGAAGATCTCTCAAAACGTGGAACAAGAAACCGTTGGTGAACTCATTGATGTTCCTGAGAAAACAGAACCTGTGGTGCCTGTCGAGGAGACCAGTGGTGCTGTGACCAAGACGACAACCGTGCGTACGACAAAAATCGTGAAGAAGCTGAATGAAGATGGCGAAACAACAACGGAACAAACAAGCACTGCAAGCGAACCAGTGACAGTGCGCGAAGCTTCGCCAACAATTTCGGAAGTGCCTAGCGAATCTTCAACTACATCTAGTCAAGTCGATGGCGCTATTATCAAGACTACCACGATACGAACTATGCGCATCACCAAGAGGGTAACCAACGATGGACGAATACTTCTGACGGAGAGCGAGACACCCGGAGATGTGATAGTGACTTCGAGCATCGAGATGCCCGAACTGAGACCTGTTAGTCCGGCTGTATCGTCGCGCACGCCCTCTCCGTCGGTCACACCTAGCACCGAACCTAGACTAGAAAATCTAGGTGCAAACATACACTTAGGACTGAGGGACAGTCCGTCAGGGGTAAAAGTAGTTGGCATTGAAACTAGTACCATTCGGTTGCCTCAGTTGGGTGAACAGCAGTACGAGGACACCAAGACTAATGGGGACATTACCGAGACAGACAGTATTACCACTACTACGACGACTACCAGGAATACGATACTAACAACGACACAGCGACGGAGCTTCGAAACGGAAGATGGCACAAATGTTCTTTTCGTGGGAGAAGGCATTGACGGTGACTATCCACCTGGTACAGTACAAAAAATATCCCTAATCACTCATGAAGAAAAACTGAAGACACCTATCGTGAAAATGCATTTAGATTTTCCTGAGGTTAGTCTTCGGGTGACTGAGACTGTGACCGAGAATGTGGAATCCCTGCAGAGATCGGCCGAGAGTAGCGAGAATTCCGTGATTGTTGTAGAATCGCTCCCAAAACCTGTAGACCCCATACCCCTGCCTGTTGTAGACTCTACCCAATCAGACGAGCTGGTCAAGATCATAGAAGGCCCAGCAGAAGAAAGTAGTCAATCACTTCCCCCTGCTGAGTTGAGTCCAGAAGAGCAGCAGTTGTTTGAGGATATTCAGAAGAAACTGTCAAAGAAAGATAAGAAGAAGCGCCCTGCAATTCCCGAAGAGTTTATTAAACATGAATCGGTCCCCGTTATAGCAGAACAAAGCCTAGGTAATCATGCTATTAATGCCCCCTCTGTAGTTTTTGATAAAGAGATTCTAATTGAAATTTCTAAACCCTTAGTTAAGCAAGAATTTGTAGCAGAAAACATTTCTAAGAAAGAGACTATTGAGCAGATCAAGGAAGATATTTCTTCAGTATCTGAAACTGCTCCAGTTTTAGTTAAGGAAGAAGTTCAGGCTGAAATTCAACCGAATGAATCTGAGAAATTACTTCCAAATATTTCTCAAGATGTGTCTCTAATCTCTACTGTCAAGATAATTGAGCACGCTAAAGCAGATATTCTTTATCAAGAGACGTTAACCCCAGTTTCTGAAGTCGTCCCTGTTCCTCCTAAAGAAGAAGTGCAAGTAGAAATTCCATGTGCAACTCCGTCAAGTCCTGCTCCTACTAATCCTGCTAATCTATTTGATCCTGCCAAACCAAGCGTATTAATTGCTGAAGCATTTGTGGCTAACTCGGTAAGCACTTTAAATACAGTCATACAACTTGAGAAAATCTCTCCCCTTGATAAAATATTTGAAATTCCTAAATTTGATATACTTAAACTTAACACTGCTGAGGGAAATTATCACATAATTAATTCTAAGGTTCAGGAAACCACAACAGTTGAAAATAAAGCAAATGATACTTTGTCCCCAAAGACGGTAAGCTTTGGCAACGAAACGGAACCTGTAACAAAAACTTCTCCAGCTTTTTACAATTTTGAGGTTCCTAAATTTGACATTATTTCCCTAAAAAAGGCTGAAGCTTTACACCAAATAGTCGAAACCTCAGTCGGTTCAACAGAAACTTCGCCAATAAGTTCGTCTCTTGAGGACGTAAAGATTTCTCAATCTGAACCGATAGTTAAAGATCAAACTTTAAATGAAATAAGCTCCATTACAACTGTCACCACCACAAGTGTTTTGGATGACCCGATAAACTTCTCTAACGGTGAAGAAACTGTACAAGAAACCCCTCTGGCTCCGTTTAAGGAGACAGAACAGGTTCCTGAGGACACCGAGGTGGTCACAATTCAACCTGTCGTCGAGAAAGAACAAATTCCTGAGCCTCAAAAGGAGAAGGTCACAGTTGTTGAAGAAGTTACCAAGTCTGAGCCAATTGTAGAAACCGCTGTGGATGAAACCAAGACGTTTACTACAGTCACGACCACAACAGTAACTACCGAATCAACTACAGAAACTTCTACTCCTACGGAACCCAAGAAAGTTGAGGAACTTGAGAAGAAACCAGAGGAACCGAAGAAACCTGCATATGCCGGTCTGCCTGTTGATGATTCTTCCAGCTCTTGGATGGATGTCTTGGATGAGCCGATGAACTTCTCTGACGATGAAGAAACTGTACAAGAAACACCTCTGGCTCCGTTTAAGGAGACAGCACAGGTTCCTGAGGAAACGGAGGTCGTCACAATTCAACCTGTCGTCGAGAAAGAACAAATTCCTGAGCCTCAAAAGGAGAAGGTCACTGTTGTTGAAGAAGTTACCAAGTCTGAGCCAATTATTGAAACCGCTGTGGATGAAACCAAGACCATTACTACAGTCACGACCACAACAGTAACTACTGAATCAACTACAGAAACTTCTACTCCTACGGAACCCAAGAAAGTTGAGGAACCTGAGAAGAAACCTGAGGAACCGAAGAAACCTGCATATGCCGGTCTGCCTGTTGACGCTTCTTCCAGCTCTTGGATGGATGTCTTGGATGAGCCGATGAACTTCTCTGACGATGAAGAAACTGTACAAGAAACCCCTCTGGCTCCGTTTAAGGAGACAGCACAGGTGCCTGAGGAAACGGAGGTCGTCACAATTCAACCTGTCGTCGAGAAAGAACAAATTCCTGAGCCTCAAAAGGAGAAGGTCACTGTTGTTGAAGAAGTTACCAAGTCTGAGCCAATTATTGAAACCGCTGTGGATGAAACCAAGACCATTACTACAGTCACGACCACAACAGTAACTACTGAATCAACTACAGAAACTTCTACTCCTACGGAACCTAAGAAAGTTGAGGAACCTGAGAAGAAACCAGAGGAACCGAAGAAGCCTGCATATGCCGGTCTGCCTGTTGACGATTCTTCCAGCTCTTGGATGGATGTCTTGGATGAGCCGATGAACTTCTCTGACGATGAAGAAACTGTACAAGAAACCCCTCTGGCTCCGTTTAAGGAGACAGCACAGGTTCCTGAGGAAACGGAGGTCGTCACAATTCAACCTGTCGTCGAGAAAGAACAAATTCCTGAGCCTCAAAAGGAGAAGGTCACTGTTGTTGAAGAAGTTACCAAGTCTGAGCCAATTATTGAAACCGCTGTCGATGAAACCAAGACCATTACTACAGTCACGACCACAACAGTAACTACTGAATCAACTACAGAAACTTCTACTCCTACGGAACCCAAGAAAGTTGAGGAACCTGAGAAGAAACCTGAGGAACCGAAGAAACCTGCATATGCCGGTCTGCCTGTTGACGATTCTTCCAGCTCTTGGATGGATGTCTTGGATGAGCCGATGAACTTCTCTGACGATGAAGAAACTGTACAAGAAACCCCTCTGGCTCCGTTTAAGGAGACAGCACAGGTTCCTGAGGAAACGGAGGTCGTCACAATTCAACCTGTCGTCGAGAAAGAACAAATTCCTGAGCCTCAAAAGGAGAAGGTCACTGTTGTTGAAGAAGTTACCAAGTCTGAGCCAATTGTTGAAACCGCTGTGGATGAAACCAATACCATTACTAGAGTCGCGACCACAACAGTAACTACTGAATCAACTACAGAAACTTCTACTCCTACGGAACCCAAGAAAGTTGAGGAACCTGAGAAGAAACCTGAGGAACCGAAGAAACCTGCATATGCCGGTCTGCCTGTTGACGATTCTTCCAGCTCTTGGATGGATGTCTTGGATGAGCCGATGAACTTCTCTGACGATGAAGAAACTGTACAAGAAACCCCTCTGGCTCCGTTTAAGGAGACAGCACAGGTTCCTGAGGAAACGGAGGTCGTCACAATTCAACCTGTCGTCGAAAAAGAACCCATTCCTGAGCCCCAGAAGGAAGAGGTCACTGTTGTTGAAGAAGTTACCAAGTCTGAGCCAATTGTTGTAACCGCTGTGGATGAAACCAAGACCATTACTACAGTCACGACCACAACAGTAACTACTGAATCAACTACAGAAACTTCTACTCCTACGGAACCCAAGAAAGTTGAGGAACCTGAGAAGAAACCTGAGGAACCGAAGAAACCTGCATATGCCGGTCTGCCTGTTGACGATTCTTCCAGCTCTTGGATGGATGTCTTGGATGAGCCGATAAACTTCTCTGACGATGAAGAAACTGTACAAGAAACCCCTCTGGCTCCGTTTAAGGAGACAGCACAGGTTCCTGAGGAAACGGAGGTCGTCACAATTCAACCTGTCGTCGAAAAAGAACCCATTCCTGAGCCCCAGAAGGAAGAGGTCACTGTTGTTGAAGAAGTTACCAAGTCTGAGCCAATTGTTGTAACCGCTGTGGATGAAACCAAGACCATTACTACAGTCACGACCACAACAGTAACTACTGAATCAACTACAGAAACTTCTACTCCTACGGAACCCAAGAAAGTAATTGTGGTAGAAGATCGGGTGACCCAAGTTGAGAAATCTCTAGAAGAACCTATCGATACTTGGTCCAGTGTATTAGAGGACTCTGTTCCCAATACTGGAACCATTGCCTTCACTTCGACATTGTCAGCGGATGCCCCTGAGTTTACTCCATCTTATTTAAGACACACCTACTCAGATCAGACTCATACCTTCCTTGCAAATGAACGAGTCTACAACGAATTTATTCCAAGGAATAAGACAGATCAAGTCATTGTGGCACAACAAAAGCAAAAGAAAACTAAGACACCAAAACGCCAAAGTAAGAAGGCCGAAGTCCAGGCAGATGTACCACCAGTCAAACCTAACCAAGAATCAATAGTTGCAGAACCTGTTGAGTTAGTAGAGGAAGTTGAGAATGTTTGGATAAAGAACCGTGACGGAAAATCGTATGCCGATGTCTTACTCAACTCAGGGGTAATAAGCGAAGTTCTTACAACTTCAGAGGTGCAACAACAAAAAGACACCAAATCCGATACAGATAATGTTCAGACGAAAACTCAACAGCGTAAGAAAAAGACACAGGCTGAGAAACTCAAGCCAGTTGAAAAGCCAACTAAGCCTTCTTCACCAAATATTGAAAGCGACAAATCTAAATCAAATAGCGATAGCGAACAGTCCAAGCCTACGACCGAAAGCGAACTGTCTAAACCAACAACAGAAAGCTCAAAGGAACCGTCTTCCGATGAAAGGGAGGTTTCAAGTACTTCCGAGTTGACCTGGTCAGCTCTTGTACGTAGGCCAGGCGAATGGTCTGACACAACTGTAATAAAGAAGGAAGTTACCCACTCAACTGTTATTACTGAGGACAAGCCTCGGCACAAAGAAAAGGAGGAACCCAAAAAGTCCACAAAGGCAAAGAAATCAAAGAAGTCTAAGAAACCAGTTGTAGAAGTAGTCACTACTACATCTGAAGACGAACAACCTGATCCTTTACCAGTTGAGATGAAAGAAACACCTGAACCAAAAAAGAAGGAAAAGAAAGAACAAAGCAGTGAATTCTCTTGGGCATCACTTGTAAAACGGCCTGGCGAATGGATTGATAACACGGTTTCACATATAAAGTCTGCTGTATCTACAACAACCGAAGTAAAAGAACCAATTAAGACAGATCATGTAAAACCAGAGAAACCCAAAAAGCTAAAATCAAAGAAGAAACCGGAAAATAAACCCATTCGAATTACGGAGTCTGAACCCGAAATCAGCAACGAATCGGTGGAGGAAACTGTTGTAATTGAACACGTTGAAGCCAAAAATCCGGAACCTGTAAGTAGCACCGGAAACGCTTTCTCTTGGGCCTCTCTTGTTAAAAAGCCTGGTGAGTGGGTTGATGATATTGCTGCTCGTAAAAAGGCTGTTGAATCCCCGATTGAGGATCGCACAGAAGAAATTCCACAGCGAAGAGAGCGCAAAGCTCCAAAAACTTCTAACAAACCTAAAACAGAAATTACCAAGCATAAATTCAAAACTGAGAAGCACGAACCTGAAGTCATCCAAACATCTGAAGAGAGCGATGTTGCTGAAGTAGTCCAAAATCGAAATGAAAACACAATCACTTGGGCTAAAGTGGCTAGTCAAATTGATCATATGACCGATTTGCCGGCCAAGCCTAAGAAGGATATCAAGCAGAAGCAATCTGAGCCTTTGAAACCACAAGTAAAACGTGATCGTTTTGAAAAATCTGTGAAAGAAAAACTACGAAGCATATCCCCCGAAGGTGTTCAGGGAAAGAAGGGCGTAAATTCTTGGGCTAATGTTGTTAGTCACCAAACCAATGATTTCATTGATGCGGAAAGGGTCAAGCAAGTTCCAAAACCAGCAGTGAAGTCGCAGCCAAAAACCATTGCTGCTCCACAGTTGGTGGAACCTTTGGAGGATATTGATAAACCTCAAAGGTCATGGGCCGAAATGATTGATGATATTCAGGAAGACATTGTTATTGAACAGAAATCTTGGAAGGAACTTATAGAGGACGAAGTGGAAATACCTCTTCTACCTGAAAATGGGGAGGAAGCAAACATCAACAAGATAATTGAAACCATCCAAGAATTGAAAGTCCCGAAAGGAAAGAAAGAAACCGTACAAGAAACACCTGTGGCTCCGTTTGAAAAGAGAGCACAGGCTCCTGAAGAAACAGAGGTGGTCACTGTAAAAACTGTCGTCGAGGAAGAACCAGTTCCTGAGCTACAGAATGTGGAGGTCACCGTTGTTGAAGAAGTTACCAAGTCTGAACCAATTGTTGAAACCTCTGTGGATGAAACCAAGACCATTACTACAGTCACGACCACAACAGTAACTACTGAATCAACTACAGGAACTTCTACTCCTACGGAACCCAAGAAAGTTGAGGAACTTGAAAAGAAACCAGAGGAACCGAAGAAACCTGCATATGCCGGTCTGCCTGTTGACGATTCTTCCAGCTCTTGGATGGATGTCTTGGATGAGCCGATGAACTTCTCTGACGATGAAGAAACTGTACAAGAAACACCTCTGGCTCCGTTTGATGAGACAGCACAGGTTCCTGAAGAAACAGAGGTGGTCACTGTAAAAACTGTCGTCGAGGAAGAACCAGTTCCTGAGCTACAGCATGTGGAGGTCACCGTTGTTGAAGAAGTTACCAAGTCTGAACCAATTGTTGAAACCTCTGTGGATGAAACCAAGACCATTACTACAGTCACGACCACAACAGTAACTACTGAATCAACTACAGGAACTTCTACTCCTACGGAACCCAAGAAAGTTGGGGAACTTGAAAAGAAACCAGAGGAACCGAAGAAACCTGCATATGCCGGTCTGCCTGTTGACGATTCTTCCAGCTCTTGGATGGATGTCTTGGATGAGCCAATGAACTTCTCTGACGATGAAGAAACTGTACAAGAAACACCTCTGGCTCCGTTTAAGGAGACAGCACAGGTTCCTGAGGAAACGGAGGTCGTCACAATTGCAACTGTCGTCAAGGAAGAACAAATTCCTCAGCCTCAAACGGAGAAGGTCACTGTTGTTGAAGAAGTTACCAAGTCTGAGCCAATTGTTGAAACCGCTGTGGACGAAACCAAGACCATTACTACAGTCACGACCACAACAGTAACTACTGAATCAACTACAGAAACTTCTACTCCTACGGAACCCAAGAAAGTTGAGGAACCTGAGAAGAAACCTGAGGAACCGAAGAAACCTGCATATGCCGGTCTGCCTGTTGACGATTCTTCCAGCTCTTGGATGGATGTCTTGGATGAGCCAATGAACTTCTCTGACGATGAAGAAACTGTACAAGAAACACCTCTGGCTCCGTTTAAGGAGACAGCACAGGTTCCTGAGGAAACGGAGGTCGTCACAATTCCAACTGTCGTCAAGGAAGAACAAATTCCTCAGCCTCAAACGGAGAAGGTCACTGTTGTTGAAGAAGTTACCAAGTCTGAGCCAATTGTTGAAACCGCTGTGGACGAAACCAAGACCATTACTACAGTCACGACCACAACAGTAACTACTGAATCAACTACAGAAACTTCTACTCCTACGGAACCCAAGAAAGTTGAGGAACCTGAGAAGAAACCTGAGGAACCGAAGAAACCAGCATATGCCGGTCTGCCTGTTGACGATTCTTCCAGCTCTTGGATGGATGTCTTGGATGAGCCGATGAACTTCTCTGACGATGAAGAAACTGTACAAGAAACACCTCTGGCTCCGTTTGAAGAGACAGCACAGGTTCCTGAGGAAACAGAGGTGGTCACTGTAAAAACTGTCGTCGAGGAAGAAGCAGTTCCTGAGCTACAGCATGTGGAGGTCACCGTTGTTGAAGAAGTTACCAAGTCTGAACCAATTGTTGAAACCTCTGTGGATGAAACCAAGACGTTTACTACAGTCACGACCACAACAGTAACTACTGAATCAACTACAGAAACTTCTACTCCTACGGAACCCAATAAAGTTGAGGAACCTGAGAAGAAACCTGAGGAACCAAAGAAACCTGCATATGCCGGTCTGCCTGTTGACGATTCTTCCAGCTCTTGGATGGATGTCTTGGATGAGCCAATGAACTTCTCTGACGATGAAGAAACTGTACAAGAAACCCCTCTGGCTCCGTTTAAGGAGACAGCACAGGTTCCTGAGGAAACGGAGGTCGTCACAATTCAAACTGTCGTCGAGAAAGAACAAATTCCTGATCCTCAAAAGGAGAAGGAGAAGGTCACTGTTGTTGAAGAAGTTACCAAGTCTGAGCCAATTGTTGAAACCGCTGTGGATGAAACCAAGACCATTACTACAGTCACGACCACAACAGTAACTACTGAGTCAACTACAGAAACTTCTACCCCTACGGAACCCAAGAAAGTTGAGGAACCTGAGAAGAAACCTAAGGAACCGAAGAAACCTGCATATGCCGGTCTGCCTGTTGACGATTCTTCCAGCTCTTGGATGGATGTCTTGGATGAGCCGATGAACTTCTCTGACGATGAAGAAACTGTACAAGAAACACCTCTGGCTCCGTTTAAGGAGACAGCACAGGTTCCTGAGGAAACGGAGGTCGTCACAATTCAAACTATCGTCGAGAAAGAACAAATTCCTGAGCCTCAAAAGGAGAAGGAGAAGGTCACTGTTGTTAAAGAAGTTACCAAGTCTGAGCCAATTGTTGAAACCGCTGTGGATGAAACCAAGACCATTACTACAGTCACGACCACAACAGTAACTACTGAGTCAACTACAGAAACTTCTACTCCTACGGAACCCAAGAAAGTTGAGGAACCTCAGAAGAAACCTGCATATGCCGGTCTGCCTGTTGACGATTCTTCCAGCTCTTGGATGGATGTCTTGGATGAGCCGATGAACTTCTCTGACGATGAAGAAACTGTACAAGAAACACCTCTGGCTCCGTTTAAGGAGACAGCACAGGTTCCTGAGGAAACGGAGGTCGTCACAATTCAAACTGTCGTCGAGAAAGAACAAATTCCTGAGCCTCAAAAGGAGAAGGAGAAGGTCACTGTTGTTAAAGAAGTTACCAAGTCTGAGCCAATTGTTGAAACCGCTGTGGATGAAACCAAGACCATTACTACAGTCACGACCACAACAGTAACTACTGAGTCAACTACAGAAACTTCTACTCCTACGGAACCCAAGAAAGTTGAGGAACCTCAGAAGAAACCTGCATATGCCGGTCTGCCTGTTGACGATTCTTCCAGCTCTTGGATGGATGTCTTGGATGAGCCGATGAACTTCTCTGACGATGAAGAAACTGTACAAGAAACACCTCTGGCTCCGTTTAACGAGACAGCACAGGTTCCTGAGGAAACGGAGGCCGTCACAATTCCAACTGTCGTCGAGGAAGAACCAATTCCTGAGCCCCAGCATGTGGAGGTTACTGTTGTTGAAGAAGTTACCAAGTCTGAGCCAATTGTTGAAACCGCTGTGGATGAAACCAAGACCATTACTATAGTTACGACCGCAACAGTAACTACTGCGGAACAACAGAAACTAGAGTCTCAAGAGAAACTTCAGGAATCCAAAACAGCCGTTTCAGCCGTTCCAAATGTTTGGGAACGGCATTCTTCTTACGCAGACGTTTTGAGGCATACTGTTGACTTTATTGACTTAGAAAAGAAAAATGTGGAAATCCCAACTGATTCAAAACCTACCAAGAATTTAAAAACTGTAGAACCAAATCTAATCGTTGATACCTCAAAAAAGACAAAAACTAAAAAATATGAAACTTCAGAAAAAATCGAAGAACCAAAGAATATTTCTTCGGATGAAAGTAAAACTGTTTATGATGAAAAACCGAACGTTGAATATACTTCATGGTCAGCACTCGTAGACGAAGACTTAGTTGAAAATGTTGAACCGACTCTGCCAAGTGACACTCTGTGGTCTTCTGTGGTCCGACAAGGTGCCAAGGAACCATTTACAAAAATAAGTCAGGAAGTTATTCAAAATGTCAGCGAAAATCAAATATCGGAAAAGCCAGGGGATTCATTAAAATCATCAGGTATACAAGACTTTATCAGCCAAGAACAAATATTCTCAACTGCGGTAAATATCAAACCTAATAGGCAAAAGGCAAAGAAGGAAAAGAAATCTAAAGTGCAGCAACATGCTGAGCCTGTTGTAGCAGTGACAATAGTTGAAGAAAAGTCTCAAGAAGCTCAGGATATTAACTCAACACCAGCTGGAGATGCCTCATTAAAACCATTATCCTGGGCCTCTATTGTTTCGCAACCGACAGAAATAACTACCAATGTATCCGAAAGTCATATATCGCACGAACCTGAGACGCAGAAACCTGTAGAAACTGTGGAAGAAAAGCCTAATAAGACAAAGGCAAAGAAGAACAAGAAATCGAATGTGGTAAATCCTGTTCTTGAAACTGTTGGGAAAACCATTGTTGAAGTCACCGCAGTTGAAACTATCGAGGAGCCCTCTGAGGAATTCAAGCCTGAGCCAAAAACAAAACCAGCACCAAAACCAGTCCCTGAAGAAGCCCCGTCTCAGCCATTGTCATGGTCTTCAATTGTTTCGCAAACCACCGAAGTCACTACCGATGCTATAACCTATAAACCTGAACTGACGAAGCCTGTAGAATCTATGGAAGAAAAGCCTAAAAAGCAGAAGACGAAGAAGGACAAGAAACCTAAGATTGATATTACTTCCGAGCCAGTTGTGGAAACCATTGTTGATGTGACAGCAGTTGAAACTGTTGAGAAGCCCATTGAGGAATTTAGGCCGGAGCCAGAGCCAGAACCAACACCAGCTTCTGAACATGCCCCATTGCAGCCATTTTCATGGTCTTCTATTGTTTCGCAAACTACCGAAGTCACTACCGATGTCATCAGCAATGAACCTGAACAGTCGAAACCTGTAGAATCTGCGGAAGAAAAGCCTAAAAAGCAGAAGACGAAGAAGGACAAGAAACCTAAGGTTGATCTTGTTCCTGAGCCTGTTGTGGAAACCATTATTGAAGTGACCACAGTTGAAACGGTTGAGGAGCCCACTGAGGAATTCAAGCCGGAGCCAGAACCAGAACCAAAACCAGTCTCTGAAGAAGCCCCGTCTCAGCCATTGTCTTGGTCTTCAATTGTTTCGCAAACTACCGAAGTCACTACCGATGTCATCAGCAATGAACCTGAACAGTCGAAACCTGTAGAATCTGCGGAAGAAAAGCCCAAAAAGCAGAAGACGAAGAAGGACAAGAAACCTAAGGTTGATCTTGTTCCTGAGCCTGTTGTGGAAACCATTATTGAAGTGACCACAGTTGAAACGGTTGAGGAGCCCACTGAGGAATTCAAGCCGGAGCCAGAACCAGAACCAAAACCAGTCTCTGAAGAAGCCCCGTCTCAGCCATTGTCTTGGTCTTCTATTGTTTCGCAAACTACCGAAGTCACTACCGATGTCATCAGCAATGAACCTGAACAGTCGAAACCTGTAGAATCTGCGGAAGAAAAGCCTAAAAAGCAGAAGACGAAGAAGGACAAGAAACCTAAGGTTGATATTGTTCCCGAGCCAGTTGTGGAAACCATTGTTGAAGTGACCACAGTTGAAACGGTTGAGGAGCCCACTGAGGAATTCAAGCCGGAGCCGGAGCCAGAACCAACACCAGCTTCTGAACATGCCCCATTGCAGCCATTTTCATGGTCTTCTATTGTTTCGCAAACTACCGAAGTCACTACCGATGTCATCAGCAATGAACCTGAACAGTCGAAACCTGTAGAATCTGCGGAAGAAAAGCCTAAAAAGCAGAAGACGAAGAAGGACAAGAAACCTAAGGTTGATCTTGTTCCTGAGCCTGTTGTGGAAACCATTATTGAAGTGACCACAGTTGAAACGGTTGAGGAGCCCACTGAGGAATTCAAGCCGGAGCCAGAACCAGAAACAAAACCAGTCTCTGAAGAAGCCCCGTCTCAGCCATTGTCTTGGTCTTCTATTGTTTCGCAAACTACCGAAGTCACTACCGATGTCATCAGCAAAGAACCTGAACAGTCGAAACCTGTAGAATCTGCGGAAGAAAAGCCTAAAAAGCAGAAGACGAAGAAGGACAAGAAACCTAAGGTTGATATTGTTCCCGAGCCAGTTGTGGAAACCATTGTTGATGTGACGGCAGTTGAAACTGTTGAGGAGCCTATTGAGGAATTTAGGCCGGAGCCAGAGCGAGAACCAACACCAGCTTCTGAACATGCCCCATTGCAGCCATTTTCATGGTCTTCTATTGTTTCGCAAACTACCGAAGTCACTACCGATGTCATCAGCAATGAACCTGAACAGTCGAAACCTTTAGAATCTGCGGAAGAAAAGCCTAAAAAGCAGAAGACGAAGAAGGACAAGAAACCTAAGGTTGATCTTGTTCCTGATTCTGTTGTGGAAACCATTCTTGAAGTGACCACACTTGAAACTGTTGAGGAGCCTACTGAGGAATTCAAGCCGGAGCCAGAACCAGAACCAACAACAAAACCAGTCTCTGAAGAAGCCCCGTCTCAGCCATTGTCTTGGTCTTCTATCGTTTCGCAAACTACAGAAGTTACTACCGATGTCATCACCAATGATCCTGAACCTCAGAAACCTGTAGAATATGTGGAAGAAAAGCCTAAAAAGCAGAAGACGAAGAAGGACAAGAAACCTAAGGTTGATATTGTTCCCGAGCCAGTTGTGGAAACCATTGTTGATGTGACGGCAGTTGAAACTGTTGAGGAGCCTATTGAGGAATTTAGGCCGGAGCCAGAGCCAGAACCAACACCAGCTTCTGAACATGCCCCATTGCAGCCATTTTCATGGTCTTCAATTGTATCGCAAACTACCGAAGTCACTACCGATGTCATCAGCAATGAACCTGAACAGCCGAAACCTGTAGAATCTGTGGAAGAAAAGCCCAAAAAGGAGAAGACAAAGAAAGACAAGAAACCAAAGGTTGATCTGGTTTCTGAGCCTGTTGTGGAAACCATTGTGGAAGTGACTGCAATTAAGGAACCGGTTGAGGAACACATTGTCGTTAAGGAAGTCAAGCCTGCGCCGGAACCTGAATCTACAACAGTCTCTGATGCCCCTACATTGTCATGGTCATCAATAGTCTCTCTGACAACTGTTACGGAAACTCAAAAGTCAAGTGTATCACAAGAAATGCAAAAAACTCAAGGCATTCACGACTTCGTTACGCGGGAGCAAAATTTCTCAACGATTGTTAACGATAAGGCGAAGAAAACGAAACCCAAAAAGGAAAAGAAATCTGTGGAACCAATTCAACAGCCAAGCTTTGATTCTGTTTTTGTTTCTGAAGAACGCATACCCCAAGAACAGCCAAAGTCAGTTTCTGAGCCGTTACCTGTACAAACCTTATCGTGGTCATCAATTGTCTCGCATAATATCGACTTGACTCCAACGTTTACTGAATCGCTTTCCAGTGACTCCGGTGATTTAATTTCAAAACCTCAGGACCTACCTCAAGATCGGGAAGTCAATATTTACGTTGCAAAACCTAAGAAATTACCTAGAAAGGAAGCTTATCAAGAAATTATTGATACCTATGTCTACGAGAAAAAACCAGAAAGTGATCGTATTTCAGGATCATCAACACCGGAGTTTAGTATCCAGTTGCCAACACCTGCCAAACCATCAGTTTGGTCATCATCAGAGACCTACGCCGAAGTAGTTAAAAAGTCTGGCTACACCGACAACACTAATATCAAATACAAGACTGTTGAAGTGGCTGAACCAAAGGCGATTGAGCGACAGCCGATTGCTCCCGAAGTGCATCCCCAAAATGTTCTGGAATTCCCCGACCCTGTTACGCCTTTAAGCTTACAAGTTAAAGTCGACGACTATTCCGAAAAACCATCCCAGTTGTCATGGAGAGAGCTTATAGATGAGGATGATATGGATCCTACGGATTCGTGGTATCAAGAAACAATTGTACAAGAATCAACTAAGAAGGAACCAGAACCTGAAAGACGTTCGAGAGGCAGCGATAAGCCAATAATACAGATAACAGAAGTATTATCAGAGATGAAACCGCAGCTTGAAAGTGACCAAGGATTTTTGGAAATCACTTCGAAGAAAAGAAATCGGTCCCGTTCTCGCTCTCAACAGTCGCAAGTTTCAAACTGTGATGAGAAACCGAAAAAGAAGAAGTCGAAGCAGCCAAAGCAAAAGGCACAAGTAGTTCCATCCGTAGCACCGGTTGAAACCCTTCCAGCAATTGAAATCCCCAGGGAAAAAGAGTCATTCGATGAGAAACCTAGTATTCCTGCGGTGAGAGATCCTTCTCCTGTCACTGCTCTTGCTCCTATCACTTCTGGTATGTCGTGGGCCGCTATAGCGGCACATAATGTACCCCAACCGGCACAGCAAATTCGACTTCTTGAAGTTGAGACCAAGGAAACAGTACTAGAAGACGTAAAGAAACCATTCATGTCGCATACAGTTAGCATTCCTCTCACCCTCGAAAAGCCTGAACCGAAAACTAGGAAGTCTAAGCAAAAGTCAAAGCGCAAATCACCATCTGAAGTTTTGGATTTCACTAATGCTGAAAAATCTAGCCATCAAGTGATAGTTTCCCAACCTACTCAAATAAAGCCAACTGTCGAACATTTTGAAACAGAGAATAAAAACCAAACTCCTTTGGCGCCTTTTGTTGAACCTCGAGAAGAAACCGTGGAAATTGTCGTCGAAAAAGAACCCATTCCTGAGCCCCGAAAGGAGGAGGTCACTGTTGTTGAAGAAGTTACCAAGTCTGAGCCAATTGTTGAAACCGCTTTGGATGAAACCAAGACCATTACTACAGTCACGACCACAACAGTAACTACTGAATCAACTACAGAAACTTCTACTCCTACGGAACCCAAGAAACTTGAGGAACTTGAGAAGAAACCAGAGGAACCGAAGAAACCTGCATATGCCGGTCTGCCTGTTGACGATTCTTCCAGCTCTTGGATGGATGTCTTGGATGAGCCGATGAACTTCTCTGACGAAGAAGAAACTGTACAAGAAACCCCTCTGGCTCCGTTTAAGGAGACAGCACAGGTTCCTGAGGACACCGAGGCCGTCGCAATTCAAACTGTCGTCGAGGAAGAACAAATTCCTGAGCCTCAAAAGGAGAAGGAGAAGGTCACTGTTGTTGAACAAGTTACCAAGTCTGAGCCAATCGTTGAAACCGCTGTGGATGAAACCAAGACCATTACTACAGTCACGACCACAACAGTAACTACAGAATCAACTACAGAAACTTCCACTTCAACGGAACCCAAGAAACTTGAGGAACTTGAAAAGAAACCTGAGGAACCAAAGAAACCTGCATATGCCGGTCTGCCTGTTGACGATTCCTCCAGCACTTGGATGGATGTCTTGGATGAGCCGATGAACTTCTCTGACGATGAAGAAGCCGTGAAAGAAACCTCTTCGGCTTCAATTGAAGGCGTAGCACTGGATTCTAAAAAGTCCTTGACACCTTTGGCACCTTTTGAAGAAGTTTCTGACACTGCAGTACCTCCAAGTGATGCTGATCCGTTTATTTGTGAAACATCTTACTGGTCTGCCACACTTAAGCCCGGACAAGTATCTACAACTGTACCCACAACTGAATCATCAACGGATGTGAAGGAAACTACTTCAATTTCAGTAACCATTCCTATTGATGAAGTTGTTGAAGAAATTGCCGTTAAATCACCAACTGACCAGCCTACTACCTGGTCGGCAATAGTTCAAACTGAGACGAAAATCTTTCCAGCACCCGAACAAAAAGATGAAGTCAAGACTTCGCCTGATTGGTCCACCGTTGTAGTGAGCAAAACTACCGACTTCCAGGAGCCCAAGTCTCTTGAAGGTGTCGAAAACTCGCAAGAGGTGACAACAACTACGACCACTTATGTGACCACAACTGTAACAACACATAAGGATGCTCCCATTGTAGAGGAAGAGCCGTCAGCAACATCCTATGTCTCTACAGTGGTAACTAGCCATACAAATGACCTCGCTTTGAACACTATACCAGTTGTTGAATCGACTATTGAATCCAACCAACCTGAAAACCTCGCCGAAAATCTGTTCCGCGAAGGCTTTATCCTGCGTCCTCAATACGACTTGTTGCAGGGACAATATCAGCAATTGCAGGTGGTAAGCATTCCGGAGGAACCGGCTCCACTTGAGGTTAAGCAGGAAGTTGACACACTAGATGATTATGTGATAATTGAACCCGAAGCTATACCGCAACTTAATTTCGAAATTCTTGCTCTTAATCTTTATCTCGATCAGGGTAATCTTCTGCCCAAATCGCGTATAGATGTTGATAGCATTAGCCAGGTCATTAAGCTCGAAACGCCAGCTGAGGCCATTGTAAAAACAGAACCAGTAGTTCAAGAAATCAAGGTTATAGAAACTCTTGAGGTAGAACCCATTGCAGAACCTTTGATTGAATCCCTCCCTGCTGTAACTCTTATTCCTGAACAATCACAATTCCCAATCGAGCCCAGTAATCTTCTCTTGCATCTTAGCCAGGACGATTTCGTTAAGTTAATCAATCACTACAGGCACACGGCAAACGAAGCTTTTGCTTTGCTGCCGGGGACAACCACAGACAGGACGAACGCTCAGGAAACTCAAGACGATAAGCATAAGACTGACAGCATTACAGAAACTGTAGTGACAACCACGACGACCACGATTACTGATCGCGTTGTAGAAAAGACTGAACCAGAAGCATCGTCATTACCAATCATTCCTACCGCCCAACCGCCGGCAGAACCAACACCAAGCAACCTCGATCAGCTGCGACTGAATCTGTATCTTGACGACTGGCAACCAACCGGCGTCGAAGCAGATTTGTCAGACAATTCGATCGACAGACTGAAACGTGCTGATTCTGCCAGTGGAGAATCGGAACTTGACAAAGACAAGAAACTGCACCAACCCGATGTGACTGGAAAACCCGACAAAGACGACCATGACAGTGACGATGACGACGACGACGATGACGATGATGAGGGGGACAAGCCGACTGTGCCTGAAATTCGTAAGCCCAACGATGACGATGATAAACCGAACGATAAAGATCCTGGTAGCGGTAGTAGTGGTAATGTGACCCCCACACCCGAGCACGATGCTCAGCAAGGTCAGAACCGTAGCTGCTCATCGGAATATAGGTCCGCGGACCTTCCGGGCGGTGTGGGACACTGGCGGGATCAGAGTACTTATCTGGCTTTAGAAGCCGAACAGCCTCAGGTGAAATTAGGAGATCAATCTGTACTAACCGAAACTAAAACCACAAGCCCCGTCCCCTCTGTTCAAGCCCCTGAAACTAGCCCCAGTACCAATACCAGTCCCCTAAACGTTGCAAACGCACTAATCCAATTGGCAAGCGCCACAACTCACACGCTGACCGCCAAGGCGAACGCAGCAGCAGCGGCGACACAAGCAGCAGCGATGGTAGCAACCAGCGCTCTTTTGCCAGTTGCCACAGCCGTAGTCGATAAGCTAACGACGACGAACACACCAGCGGAGGAGCAACCAGTTGCGGCACCAGCTGCAGCTACGGAGATCACACAGCCGACGGCAGCAGCATCACCAATTGTTGCTGTCGCAGAGCCTGAGGTGGCACCAGCATCACACACCGATACGACAACAACCAGCTGCAGGGAGGAGGAAGAAGTGGCCGCCGCCCCCACTGACATTGGGGAGGTGTTAAGGCGTACCACAACAACGACCACTACCGTTACGACAACAACCACAATTGAAACGCCTTCGACAACAAGCACCACAACGACAACAACCACAAGCAGCAACGATCTGCAACAGCAACAACGCCAGAAGGTGAACATCACATTGAGCCTTCGTTTATTCATAATTTTAATTTTTGCAGCTTTTCTGTGTGGTTTCGGTATTTGTTCATGGCTTTTATACGGCAATCGCTCGTCATGCTGCGGTTGCTGCTGTGCCCAGGTCCCGGCCAACAACACATGCTGCTGCGGCCAGACATTATCGCTGGCAGCGGGCACAGATCCCCAGTGAAGTTTTGGCCTGGGCCTGGTCTCAAAACAGTGGCAATAAACTGAGGCGATTGCCGAATTACTAACGTAATTTAATTATCAAAAAAACATGTTTGATTTCTTAATGTTTATCATTTCTATTTTTATTATTTTTGTACTGTATGTGTTGTTCTTGCTAAACGCATCCAAAAGCCTTATGTTTTGAGTTTGTAATTCCAAATAGAAGCACCCTAACTTAGTCATATAGAAAAATGTAGACTTGATTTACGTTAAGTTCCTTCTACTAATTGATATTAACCTTTGTAAAAGCCCAGTAATAATCACAGACTACTAATGGTAGTGAGATATAATTAATAATAAAATCTATATTAACCAACCTGCACGTTTTTAATGCTGAGCTGACTTTTATACCCCAATAGTAGTTTTCTTCGCAGATTTTTCACACACACACAGCAGCACACACACGATCACGCACCGAGCACACACACGCACTCTTCCTGCCCCGCACACACACGCACTCTTCCTGCCCCGCACACACACAGTGCCCCCACAACTACAGAGTTCCCAAATGTGTTCCCTTATGTGTATAGCACTTAGTTATATATACGAGTTCATTGTCTTGCCTACCGCCCAGCCTCCTATTGCGAATTCTTGCGTGCAGAGCATGTTCCTCCCTGCCACGTCTATAAATACAGCCCGGATCCGAGGCGATCCATGCGGTGCAGGCCTGCTCGAAAATAGTCTCCCGTTTATTTTACAATTTTTAGTCTGCAATGTGCAATGAAGGCGTTGAGTGTTGAGTGCAAAAAATAAGCATTTCAAGAATCTAAATGTTGTGTGTCAAAGTGTGTAGAAATCGGACCTAGATCTGAACAGCAGTATTGATCATTAATGAGCAATATCTATAGATTTAATTGAATATAAATAGAACCAAAGTAAGTTACAAGCATTGCCTTCTATTTTTCAACTTTTTCCTCAAAACAGGCAGTCATTCCTTTTTTTTTTGTGGTACTTTTGTCTATACGCCTACCTCATAGCCATTTACAACTAAGACTATTATTTATGCCATTTGCATGTTACGTTACTTTACCTTTAAAGAAGCTAAACCTAAGAGCTAGAGTTATTTTTAAAAGCATTCCCGAAAAAAGACTTCATGCATTTGTATGGCTGTGCATCCATTTATAAATAAAATAAATAAAAATAAATATTTATTTAATACTTTACTTACTCGCATGTAAATATGTTGTAAGCCGGCAACAAATATTTACATCAATTGCGTTAATTAGCCTTTTTTTTTAGATGGAAACTTGCAATTGTTTATTAATATTGACACACTTTATACACCATCTCCATCTCCCCAAAAAAACAAAACACTTTGCAAATCTATAGGAACTAATTGCGCTAGAACTCGACGAACTGCTACAATCGCTCTCAAGCGTCGAGGATGGCATCGCGAACATGAACCAGAGCAGCTTGGAGGGCATGCTGCAGGGACTGAAGGTAAACAAAATTAAGCTAACGAATAACATATATGCATATTCCGAATGCATGTTTTTTTTGCAAACTGGCAACCAAATGTAACCGAAGTAGCTAGAATTATTTTTAATGAACATACTTACACCTGTACATAATAATGTTTTATAAACGATTAATGGATGCTGGCGTGTGTCAGAGATTTTTAATAACTCAATCGCATCACTCCATACAGAATCGTACATTCTTTTGTTTAAATAGGTTATTTCTCTAGTCAGAAAACAGTTTTTGTTAGTGTTGTCCAGTTTTGTAGTTGCCGAATCCTTTGCTGTCACAATATATTGATTTTTGTAGGCCCAAAATGCCCAGATCAGTATCACCAGTGTACAACTAGCTTTGTTTCGAAACACATGTCTAAAGAGCCCTCTATTTTATACACCAAATGTTTAGCTAATCCAAAGCAATCTCGAAGTACACGAAAGGGACGGCAGCCAGCTGAAGGCGCAGGCCAAGACCCTGCCCACGGATCCGGCTACCGAACGTTTGCTCAACGACACAGTGGATCGCATTGACTTGCTCCTGCGACGCACCCAACAGGGTATCACCATGATAGCGGTATAATGATTTTGATATAGTTTTTTTCGACCTTCCTTATTTATATAAATTCTTGATTCCCCAGAATGCTATGCATGGTCAGAAGAAGCGACAGCAGGAGATCGACGAGTACCAGCAGCATCTCCTCGAACTGGAGCGCTGGATCATCGAGGTTTCCGCTGAGCTGGCTTCCTTTGAACCCACTTCGGACAGCACCACCGATGAGCAGGTGCTCAAGTCGCAGGTGGAGAGGAGCCAGCAGCTGCTGCGCACTCTCAAGGATCGTCAGCAGTCCATGGATGATTTGGTGGAACAAACCCGCCAGCTGCAGTCGCATCCCGATGTTGCTCCCTTGGCCGACACGCTGATGGAGCAGCTGCAGAGCATCATAACCATACTGCGGGAACAAATCACAGTGGCCACCAAGCGTATCTTTACCATCGAAAAGCGCATTGTGGACCTGAGAAAGGCCAAGAGCGAGGAGGCGCAACGCCAAAGAGTTCTGGCCGATTCCCTGATCAAGCCACCAACGGAGGCAGCCTCTGAATCCTTGGAGTCCAATGAGGAGAACACCATTACCTCTAGCTCTATGCCCGAAGAGGAGATCAAACCAACACCGACTGGTGTGTATGTAGAGACCCAGACTTCGCTGAGCCTAAACCAGGCTCCAGCTCCCGTGGTGACCACCACTACGGTTGAAGCTCAGACCAGCTTCAAGGAGCCCCCGCCTGTGGAGACCGCCGAGGTGGCCCTGCAAACGCAGAAAGAGCGTTCGCCGACTGAGAACATTATGGTGACCCAAACAGTGCAGCATGGCAAGGAGACCATTCAGATCGACACCACTCGCAACCAGGATGTGCCTGAAGAACCAGAAGATGTGCAGATCGAAGCTCGCTATCACCAGCGTCCGCAGGGCGATGTGGAACGCGCCACCGAGCTCATCTTGAAGAACGTGCCGCAGGCATTCGAAACCACTTTCGTGGAGCCGGATGAGACGACCACAGAAGTGGTTGTGGGACCCGATGGCACCAAGCACATTGTGCTCAAGAAGATCGTGACCCGAACTCGCCAGCAGATAGTGCAGCAGCAGCAGATCAGTTCCATCGAGACCATCAGCGACTCGGATGGCAACATTGAGGTGCAATCCACGGGACAGATTAATCTGGAGAATGTGCACACCAGGGACACCAAGGCTGATCCTCAAGAAGGCAGTATCCAGACCGTTGTCACTCAGCAAACGCGCGGTGCCTTGGTGGACGCCTCTCAGCCTGAGGCTGTGATTCTGCAGGAGTTTGAAACGGAACCCACAATTGAGACATTCGAAGAGGTTATTGTGCCGGGCTCCCAGTTGAGCGATGTGCAAACCCAGGGCAGCATACGAGCTGTGGTCCATCAGGTGACCCGCAAGGTTATACGTAAAACGCGAAAGATCATAAAGCGCGTTGTGATAATAGATGGCAAGGAGCACATCACCGAGGAGGTGGTGGAGGAGCCCGAAGAGGTGGAGATAACCGAAGAGGAGACGGCACCGCACATCAATGTGAACATTGTAAGGACTGTGAACGGCAAAGTGGTGTCTGAAGAGGAGTTCCAGCGCTTGATGCAGGAGCAGGAGTCTGGCGGCCTGGTCATCGAAGAAGTTGCAGCAGATCCGCAGCAACAGGTATTTGATATTGAGTCTAATCAAGTCACCACCACCACAAGAACAACAGCAACCACACAAGAACAAGAACAGCCAGAACAACAGACACCACCAACAACAACAACAACAACAACAGAAACGATTGAAAAAGCACCTGTAGAGTTGCCAGCACCTCAAGTAGAAGATGTTGAACAACAACCCGTAGAAGTTGCCACTACCAGTCCCGTTCATGTTCCAGCAGCGGATGTAGCTGAACCCCAAGACTCCCCACCAGCAGCCATTGTAGATGATGATGAGCCGCAAGTGGTTGAAGATATCAATGAAATTTGGCCACTGGAACATCATCTAAAACCCACCAACATAGACTTCTCCCAGCACACCGAAGAAATTGCAGTCACAACTACAGCAGCGCCAGAAGCCGCCTCCATGCCAGTGGAGGAGATCTGGCCCACAAGTCCAGAGACAGGCAACTCTTTGTCTCTGGAGCAGTACGTATTCGAGCCACAATCGCCGCCAGAGGAGACCACGAAATCTGAGGATGTGGTGCAGCAAGAGACTGAGACTAAGCCTACCACTGGCAGTATTACCATAATCAAGACCACAACTACCATCACAAGCTCCACTGAACTGCCTGAGGAAACCATTGTTCCAGCTGAGCCTGTGTCCAAGCCCAAGACTGACACTGAGAGCTTCCTGGAAGCTGAACAATCCCTGGCTGCTGCCTTAAAAGAACAATCTTCAACGCCAGCTGTGGATATCGTGGAGCTACTGCCAGAGGAAATAGCTCCTCTCGAGGTAAAGGAAGCGCCTGTTACTGTTGAGATTTCAACCACCAAAGTAGTGGAAACTCTACAAGAAGCTGAACCAGTGAAGTCTGCAGTCACTGAAGCTACTGAAAAGACTGAACAAACGCCTGAAGAACCCATCACAGAACCAGAAACAGTTCCTGCACAAACTGACCTGCGGGTGGCCACCCAACTCTTTATCTCTGGCGAGGCCGCATCTTCACTAGCTCCGCAGAAATCCTTCCAAATCACCGCTCCCTCCCTGGAGGACAATGGTGCTGGTGTGCTAAAGGTTAAGCTGGGCAAGGAAGAAGACTCTTCAACCGCTCCAGCTACTGGCAAGGTAAGCATGACCATTATCGAGACTGCAGCAGCTGCTGCTCCGGTCGTTGCTGCCGACGCCAAGCGGCGTCGAAAGAAAAAGAAGAGAAGAGATACTAAGCACGACGACGATCTCGAGCAAGAAGAACTTCAGCCGGAGGCTGTAAAAGAGCCAGAAGTTGAGTCTGATCTGCCCGTTTCTCCAGAGGATTCCCCACGCGACCAAGTACGCCATGAATCCATTGTGGAGATCAGTGCCGATAGCGACTTATCCAGCATTGAAATTGACTCAAAGGTCAAGGTGGTGGAAGATGCCCTCGTTTCATCGCCCTCAGAGTCCCCGCGAGCACCAATGGTTGAGTTGGTCATACCCACAGAGGTCGTGGAGCTGGCTTTGGTTGAGGATGAAGAGCAGCAGACCACGCCGCGGATTCCTTCACCCATTGAAAAAACAGAAGTCGAGCAGGATATCAAATCCGTGCAGACCTCTCCAGTGCATCAACCCACGCTGGATGAGATAGGCTTGCAGACAAGCCTGGAGGTGCAACCCGATAACCAGGAGAACGAATCCCAGACCCTGATTGTGGAGATTGCAGAGACTGAGGCACAGACCACGCCGCGCAGCGAAGAGAAACCCGAGACTGTGGAGCTTTCCACTACCGAAATTCAAACGGATGTGAGTGGCCAGCCGGCCGAGACCGTAGAGATTTCCAGTCAAACCACTGTGACCACTACTATTGAAAAGGAACTGCAGACCACGCCCAAGGATTCGCCTCGTGCACCAGAGTCAGGCAGCAGCGATGTGGTGGAATCTTTAGTACAGGATTTGGTCAAGGATATGACCACGGATTTGCCAGTGCCCACCAGCGAACAGTCGACGGGCACAGAGACAACCACAACCACTGAGATTCATGTTCAGACCACAACGCCAGAGCCAACGGAGCGGATTGAGGTCGTCAAGCCAGAGACGGTTCATGAGGAAACTTCAACTGTGGAATTGGTACAGGTGGCAGATGGTGAGATGCAGACAACGCCTCGTGGCGATCAAGAGCAGCCTGCCTCTCTCGACGACAACTCTTTGACGGCCACTTCGATCACCATTTCGGAACCCTACGAGCTGGAAGTGAAGACCACAGTGGCCATTCCTGCTGATTCAGATGCCTCGGTGGCTGAGCCCACGGTCTACGAGTATACCCAGACCATGCAGCTGCCCAAGCAGGACAAGAAATCCAAGAAGGACAAAAAGAAGAAGCAAAAGAATGTCCCTGAAGTAGAGCAGCTGCAGCAACAGGTTCCAGAGGAGCCGCAAATCAGTGTAACTGTGGAAATTGCACCCGAATTGCTGTCCGAATCGGGCATTGTGGTGTCCACCAACCAGGAAATTGAAGAGGTGCCACATGTCACACCTGTTGTGGAGGAGACCATCATCGAACCAGAAGAAGACGGAAACAAACCCACAAGAGTGCAGCTGCAAATAACCAAGACCACTGTCTACGATGAGTATCCCGATCTGCCAGTTCACATCACCGAGCAGAACAAGGTGCTCATTGCGTCGCAGCAGCAGCAACCAGGCAAGCGGTCTGGAGCCGGACCTACTTCATCGGCGGTGACCATTGAAGAGGTGAGTTCTCCCACGGAAGAACTGGTGGTGCCCATTACCCCGGGACCGGACAATTTCAGTGAAGGACCCAGCAATGTGTGGTTTAGTGCCACCACCAGCGTGGACAAGACACCCGTGGAGCTTTCCCAGGCTCTGATCATGAGCGAGAGCTTGCAGCATTATCCAGGACAGCAGAAGCAACCTATCCTGATTTCAGCAAAGGAAGCCATTGGAGATCGCATTAGCAAACTTAAACAGTCATCACCACAGCAGGCTACTCCCCTGAGCAACGTCCTCCACCTGGCCACGCTTTCGGAGCAAATTAAGGACCTGCCCACGGAGCAACGCATGCTGGAGGTCAGCGAAGGACTCCAGGATCTTGATGCTGCCATCAAAAAGGGCGATAAGACTGTTATCCAAACCACCGTTATCACCGTCATCGAAAAGGTATCAACATGGCTGGAGACCATCGAGTACCGTGTGTACCTCATCCGCCAGAACTCCAATGAAGGACCCTCAGAAGAGAAATTGGACAACTATAACCAACTCAATGAGGAGCTGCAAACCATCAAGCAGAATGTCAGCCAGTTGGAGCGACAGCTGTCCCACGCAGAGCCACAGTTGCTGCAGTGCGTCGATACTCTAAAAGAGCACGTGGATGCCGTGGAGCAGGTAACCCAACAGAACCAATCTCAGGATAGCAATGACCTGGACAAATGGCACAGCTTTGAGCTTTTGCTAAACGATGTATCTTCGGTGCTGGCCAATCTCCAGCAAAGTTATGATCAACTGGTCAACCAGGAGTATCCCCTATCCGCTAAGCTCACCCAACTGGATGAGCTGGAGGGTCAGCATGAGGCAGCCCAACAGCAGCTGGCACATCTTTGCCAGAAAGCCCGAGCCTTCCAGCGCGATTTCCCTGGCAAAAAGATGCCGCAGGATGTGCACAATGCTTTCGAGACAAGCAAGAACATTGGCAACAACATTCAGGCGGAAAGAGATCGTCTCCTGCAGTTACAATCTCTGGCGGAGGAGTACGAGCAGACCCTCAAGGAGTTCACCAATATTACAGTTCTGGCTGATAAGCTAGTTGAGAGCCCCATAGTTTCCAGTTCCCTGGAGCAGCTGAACAACGAGGTGCAGAAGCAGCGCAAGTTCTTTGTGAATCTTAGCCACTGCCGAGCCATGTTGGAGTCCCTGGAGGAGAACATCGACAGTGAAACCCGCGAGAAGCACTCCGAACTGCACAAGGAGCTCTACAACAGGGCCACTATACTCCTAGACAAGGCCTCGGAGAGATCTTCCAAACTAGTGCAGGCTGCCTCCCGCTGGACTGTCCTGGAGAAGGGCATGCGCGATGAGTTGCAGTGGCTACAGGTGGCCCAACAGCGAGTACCGGATCTGTCAGCCGTCACATCGGCGGACTACGATCAGTACACCACACTTTACCAGTCCCTGAGCAATGATATTTCCCATCATTACGTGAAGATGACGCAGCTTTCTGGAATAGCCAACAAATTGCAGCAGCTGGTCCAGGCCCCCAATCTTGTGGAGGAAACAAACGAAGCCCTAATTGTGCTTCTCAAGCTTCGCGAGGAGGTGGCCCTGTACCTGCATCGCCTGCTGGTCTTCAAGGAAATCTGGGTGCAGTACGAACAGCAAACGGATAAGCTGGAGGCCTTCGTTCGCGAGGCTGAGCAGGAGCTGCGACAAATCCAGATACCTGCCCAACCCACCCAACAGCCCATCGAGCACATGCGTCAGTTCTGGGAGATCAAGGCCCGCTTCGAGCTGCATAACAATGTGCGAACCGATGCCGGTCTGAGCTTTGAAAAGTCCCTGCAGGTCATCCCCCTGGCCGACGAGATGCTTCAGCGGCAGTTCCATGCCCAACTGGAGGATCGCTGGCAGGCCGTGGCCCAGGCCATCGAACTCATTCAACACAACATTGTCGAGTGCCTGTCATCGGAAGATGTGCCAGCGGATGAGAAGCTCAAAATGGTGGAGCGGGAACTGCAGGAGATCTACCTGACCATGACCAGCATGAAGGGTGTGATCAAGAACGAGGAGGAACTGTGTCTGTACATTGAGCGCGTTCAAGTGCTGCGCACACGCGTGGGCTTCATCGGCAACGAGCTGGGCAGGATTGGTCTGCAGGAGCCTGCCATTGAGCCGGAAAAGGTTGGCGAACTCTTTGCCCTGTCGCACAAGATCAGCACCCAGATAGCCGAGGAACTGGAGGGAGCCTCAGTGCTGCGTGAGCAACTGCAGGCCATCCAGGAGGGTATCAGCAACCAACGAAAACACCAGGCCCAGATCTCTGTTATCCTAGATGAATGCGAGGCTGCCGAGCGACAGGGAGCCGATGTTCTCGAAAAAGCCGTTGCCGATTGCCAGGGCGTTGGTGAGGAGCTGGTGACCAGCTGGCAGGAGATCATGCGCATCCGCCAGATGCTGCACACCCTGCCCATGCGCCTCAAGATGTCCGTGTCGCCCGTTAAGCTGGAGCGGGATATCTCCCAGCTCCAAGACGACCATGCCTTCCTCGAGAGCAAGTGCACGAATATCATGGGCATCTTAAGGAATCGTCTGGCCGTCTGGCTGCGCTACGAACGCCAACTGGAATTGGTTCACGGTTCCGTCCAGGAAACCGACTTCATGATGGAACTGATTCGGGTCCACGGCCAAGTGGACTACGAGCGCCTGCGTAAGGCCACGGAACGTTTGGAGGTGAGTGTGTGTTTTTCCTGTAACAGAATTTTATGACTTTGTTTACGCGGTTTTCTGTCTCGCTCGCCGCTACCTGCTGAGAGGAATTTTCGCGAGCTGCCTATCGCTGGCAGAGAAAATTGGCTTCAAATAGATAATTTTCCCAACAGCCGTCAGTCATGCGGTGACATTTGAACCTTTAAGATTAACTCGCAAATTTCGAATTCCGAATTTTATTTTAAAAAGATTTTAAGTTTCACTTATTTAAAATTAATTGATATAAATTTGTTTCTTGGTAAATATGGGTAATAATTAATATATATTTAAATCTATTTTAATTTTTAAAATATCAAAACAATGAATAATTATAAATAATTAAAACTCCGCCTGCAACCCGCGAAAGCAGAATAAAAAGCTAAAGCGGCTACAAAACTTTACCCAAGCTTTTTCGTAAGCTCTTGCACGTACGTGGTGCTCTTTACGTAGCAAGTTTTATGCCGTCGCCAGTTGCCGTTAGCTTCGAACCGAGCGCGTATCTCCCGTCGCGTCCGGAATACCATAAAATATATATTATAAACCACTAATCCATCGCTCTTCGACTCACATCGCAGGGATTGGCCGGCGATCTACACAACCGCGAGCAACTGATCGATGAACTTAAGGGTGCCGCCAAGCCGCTGATCGAGAGCTGTGATGTCCAGATTGTCGAGCAGATAGAATCGGCCGTCCAGGAGGCAGTGGTCGCCTGGAATGATACCAGTGGCAATCTACAGCAGTTACGCACACGATACCAGAGAGCCGTCGAGCTGTGGGACAAGTACCGCAACGCCTCAGCGGCTGTCAAGAGTTCGATTGACCAGCAAATGGATACGGTCAAGTCCCTAGAGCAGCCATTGGATGCCCTGCAGCACGCCAAGGTGAGTTCTAGAGTATGTAATTTCCTACATGCCGTGACACATCGAGGCAACGTGTCGTATAAGTGATGGGTATCGCGTGGGTGTCGTCTGTGATGCCGTGTTGTGTACGGTGTTAAATCCCAAAGGAAACTAGGAACTTTTGATTGCTATAAATAGCTACTTCCTGGCTGGGTTACCTGATATATTCCGGAAGCTTTTTAGAACAGGACACAGGTCTGTTCCGCTGGCCAGGTGGGCGGACTATTTGATTTTGGCAGCCAACTAACACGGCAATGTGACGCTTTAATTGCCCTCCAGGGAACTCGGAAAAGCCAGTAATTACATTGATTTTCCTCGTAGTAGTAGTAGTACACTTCCTATCAATTTTGGGCGCGTCAATGTAATCGGTTTGTAATGGGAAGTATATATATATGAGGTAACTTCTCGGTCTGTGTGTGTTTGTGTCATAAATTATGCTTTGGTAAATAAACCCAAACGTACGATTTCTTTTTTTGGTATTTACTTAAAAAATTAACGCATACTTCGTCGTCGTTTTGTGTTTATTGATCATTAGGGTCATTATATTATAGGCCGACGACTACGACTTTGCTGTAATTATATTTTCGGACAGGCAGGCCGGCAGGCAGCCCAGCCAACTGTCATTTCACATGGAGAGGAGAGTTTATCAACCCGGGCATTCATTCGTATTATATTATTTGTACACATCGCAGCTTTATCAAGCGAACAGAGGCAGCAGGGAACAGGTCCGCAAAATGCCTTGAAGATAAATGTAAAAAACAACAAACCAAACAAATCTAAATTCTTAAATACTATGTTGGATATTTCAATGCCATTTTCAAAGCCCTTAGTGGCTTGTTTGCTTATGTAGCGGCAAAGATAAAGCATCGGCAAATACTTGCCGGATGATATCATAGGGCACACACTATGATCCGTCCCTTAATTCTCATTTCGTTCTGCTCTAAATTGGGGAATTTATTCGTAGAGTAAAGTATAGTGACCTGTTTTTTTTTTCAATTTGAAAACGAAAGTGTGCGCTCGACAAGCAGCCCTAATTACAATTGCCGAGCAGCAGGGAAATGCACTCGACAAAGTGCGGCACGGCAATTGATAAGGGTCTCTCGGACCAACCGAATGAGAGCGACCGACCCCCGGCCGGCTTGAGCTAAATACTTGCCGACATCGAAAAGTTAAATATAAACAAGTGACATTTTGCCAGACATCGAAAATAATTGTTTTGGGATTCTAGGGGCTAGCTACAGATGTTGTTTTTTGGTGTTTAGTTGGTGCTTCGTTTATGTTTTTTTGAATTTAGTTGGTGTTTAGCCAAACACCGAATAAACACCAACTGAACACAAATTTTTATTCCGTGTTTAGTTGGAAAAAAAAGATACAGGAAGGTGTGGGTATGATTATTATATTTTATTATTTAAAAGCAGTAAATTAACATTCCAAAGTAATTTTATATTTTAGAATGAGAAGATATAGCATTAAATAAAATATTTAACAAAAGAATTCTATTACTATTTTGAAAGTTTAATATTTAAGCCGCCTGCTTTGGCGACTTCAGCTTCTTTTTAAGGAAAATACATGTCTTTGTTAATTATTTGGCTATAATGGCCTCAACCCTGAGCTTCATTAGCTAACTCTCGCTTTATCTTCGTTCACACAGGTATGCCAAGATAGCCTAAGCACCCAGAATGACAGAATCTTGGAGCTGCGTGACATTGTGGCCAAAATAGCCGCCGATGTGGGTCTAGATGCCTCGGCCCTAATGCAGGGCGAACTGGATGCTCTGGGTCAGCGTTTAGCCGAGTGCAAGGATGCCATTACCACCCTCGCAAATGTGGCTGAAACGCAGGACAAGGAGCGCAAGGAACTCGATAAGGAGGTGGCCCTAGCCAAGTCCTACTTCAACAATGTACAGCAGGTAAGTCGAGCAGGAAACAAATTAATAAAATTATGGATGCACCCCTCCCCCCACACCGCACAGCTGTGGCCCAGCCCCCCTATCTATCGATTATAGCTCCGAATAGATGGATATTTGCATATGTTAGTTCGGCTTTTGGCGTGTGGAAATTCCCACACAAACGAATCTCTATTTACCGGCAATTTGTATTGTTGCTTTCGCTCTGTTAATCCAATACGAAGGACATGCTATTTTAAGTGGGTTAAAAGTTGAAAAAGTTTTTTTGTGTACTGGTTACTACTACCAGGATACAGTGGTTCCCCCTCTCGGGCTTCTCATTCTTCATTATTGATTGATAAGAGGCGTCAATACATGTGCTCCGTGCAAATGGTTGGGCGGTTGACATAAAATCGTAATTGACACTAGCTTTTGCGAAGGAAAGTTCAATATTTTATGGCCATATGGATATATAATGAGATGGTTCTAGTTTTGGAAGGACTATTGTTATGGGTTTGGTAGTTGGGAAAACAAGTTTAAGGAGGATTTTAAAAGAAAGATGAATAGTAAGGGGAGGAATGTGGAAGCTATAAATAAGACTTTTTGATGGGTAAAGAAACAGAAAAGTAAATTAAAGAATATGAAAGTGACGTTTAATAAATTGAATGCATTTTTAAAAAAATATGATTAATTATTTCAATTTCTATTAATCTTTTTCATAATTGTATTGTTTGGTTTTTAGAAGATTGATAAAATGTTTTACATTATTTGATTATCCATTAATAATTTAAATTCTAAATATATATAAATTCTAGATGTGAGTTAGGAGCTGTCTATATATATATATTATTATTTTATAATTTTATTCTTAGCTTTTAGAAGCTTTATAAATTAATTTAAAATCTGTAACGATCTCTTCAAGCATTAAAAATCGTTTGGTAGCTTAAATTTCCCATAAACCTCGCTTCACTGTGGTCTCATTTGCATGGCACATGCCAACCAGTTTTGGTTCCACTTCCTCCCTTCCATCGCCCACCCACTGGTGGTACTCCCTCCTCCAAAGCTTTAGACAATTGAAGTTGGTCAGAGCCGCCAGAGCGCGTGTCGTTGTTGGCATGAGGTCATTGCCAGTTAGAGGAAAGAGTTGCAATGTGTGCAGAGTTTGATTGTTATTGTTGTCGAAGCCATGCAGGGGACAGACAGACGGACGACGACGACGGCAAGCGGTAACTGGAGACATCGGAGCAGCCGTATTAGGGTCAGGCCAATTAGCAATGCACAAAGAATATTAATATGAAACTGACCAGAGGGAGATATATAGTATTAATGTGATTTTTCTCTCCCTAGGACATTGCTCGCGAGCCACCGCAAAATCCCAAGGAAAGCGAGGAGCAGTTGACCGCCCTGCGAGCCCATCTCCAAACTTTGGCCAGAACAGAAGAGCAACTGCGACAGCTGAAGGAGCGCCAGCAGAAGAATGAAGTGGCTCCCTCAGTCTCTGGAGCTGATGACGACGGTATACTGGAGGTTCTAGCCATGTGGCAGAAGATATTCCAGGATACATTCCAGGAGTACCATCGCTTGTCCACGCGTCTTGCCCGCAGCCAGAACAGTTCGGAGGCCTTGCGTCTTTGGAGACAATATCTCCAGCATGTGCAGTCCTTCCTCTCCTGTGCCATTCCCGAGGATTACAGCAGTCTGAGGGAACAGCAGCAGCTGTGTGCCATCCACCAAAACTTGCTCATCTCGCAGCAAAGTGTGCTGGCCGAGACGCCACTGGAATCGGAGCTCTCCGAGCAGTACAAGGCTCTGACGAACCTGCACAATGAGACCCTCTCGAGGATTATGCAGCGCAATGGTGAGCTACAGCGGCGGGTGAGTGGCTGGAATGCCTATCGCCAGCAGCTGGATGCCCTTTTGGACTGGCTGCGTCAGCGAGAGGCAGAGCGAAATGGCCTACAACTGCGTTACATACACCTGAAGCGAGTGCCCCACCTGAAGAACCGCCTGGATTCTATGATCCAGCAGCTGGACCAGGGAGAACAACAGAGCAAGGTTCTGCAGGAGCAGCAGCAAGAGATGGCCAAGCACTGCGACGATGCCCTGGCCACCGCCATGCGCATGGAGCAGGCCAGCATAGGCCAGCGTATCAATAACCTACGTGCGGCGCTCAAGACCTGGCAGGGTTTCCTCCTCCGCGTGACCCAACTCTCGGAGACTTACGAGCTAAGGGTGCAGCAATTGCAAAAGGAGTTTGGAGCAGCCCAGAGGCTGCTGGATTCGAATAGTGAAGAATCTGCACTGCCCACCCAGCCGGCGGCCATTGAGCAGCTGCTGGGAGCCTTGCGTTCCCAGAGAGTCCAGCTGGGCGCCCAGGTGCCCGCTCTGGAGAGTCTCACTGTGACCCAGGAGGAACTCAAGGAGTGCATCAGTCCGCATGACATGAAGACCATACGCCAAAGGAACTGGCTGCTCTGGCAGCAGCACGCCGATCTGGACTACCAGCTGGCTAACCTGATAAACTCCATCGAGGAGCGTCTGTCTCTGCTTTCAAACTACCAAATCCGCTACGAACGCATCTCCCAGTGGCTGCAGCGCCTGGAGCATCGTGTGGACCAGGATGCGGATGTCACAGCCTTGTCCAATCCTGAACAGGCAGCCAAGCAGCTGGAGCAGCAAATCAACTCTGAGCTGCAGCTGCGCGACAAGGAACGCGAGTGGCTTTTGTCCACTAGTCGGGAACTCCTCACGCTGTACTCGGAGCCCGAGGTCCGAACCCAGGTCCAGCAGCAGAGCGATGCCCTCATCGATCGCTGGCAGCGCCTGAAATATCTGTGCAAGCAGAAGGCCACCAAGATCGGGGAACTCAAGATGACCTTGCTCCGCTTGGAGGAGCGCATTATCCTGATACGCTCCTGGCTTTTCGAGGTGGAATCCCAACTGGACAAGCCGCTGAACTTTGAGAGCTACACCCCCAATATCATCGAGGCCAAGCTGAAGGAGCACGAGCAAATACAGCGCTCCATTGAGCACCACAGCAGCAATGTGGGCGAGGTCCTGAATCTCGTGGAAATGCTGCTGAACGATGCGGACAGCTGGCGCACTCAGGTCAACACCTCCGGACTGGCGGCCTCTGCTCAAAATCTCGAGCAGCGTTGGAAGAACGTGTGTAGCCAGTCGGCAGAGCGCAAGGCACGCATCCTGACCACCTGGAATCTCCTCCAGCAGCTGATCAAGCTCACGGCCGAACACAAGAACTGGCTGGGCAAGCAGGAGAGTCAGCTGGCGGGCTACGAGCGGGACCGCAAGTCAAGCAGCAAGCAAAAGCTGGAAGAACGCCAGAAGGAACTGAGAGCCAAGCTGGAGGAGCTGGAAAGCCAGTCGGTGAATCTGCGCCAGCTGGAGCAGATCTACGCCAAGCTGACCTCCAGTGCCGGCGTGGAGCCAGAGAACATCCAGAAGCTTACGCTGCCCACCAAGGTGATGGTGAGCATGTGGCGCCAGTTGACGCCCCGCTGCCACGCCCTGCTAGATGCCATTGACAAAGACGCCAAGCTGATGCGTGAGTTCAACAATGCCCAACAGGAGGCCACCAACTCGCTGAATGCCATACAAAAGGCCCTGGAACAATTGCCCAGCGTGGAGGACCAGCAAAACTCCAAAGCAGAGCCAAAAGTGGTGCTTCAACGCCTGGAGAGCCTAGAGAAGAAGCTGCAGGATGCCCAGCAGCATGTACAGCAGGCGGATAGCTTGGCCCAGGAGGCCAAGGCCAGGACCAAGGAGCAGCCACAGCACAAGCAATTGCTGGAACTGATCACCGCCTACACCACCCTCTGGCAGTCTGTGCAGACCCGCATCGTGACCCTCAAGACCACTTGGCTGGCCAGAGCCGCTCAAGCAGCTGCCGCCGCATCTCGTGTTGTGCCTGTGAATGAGGCAGCCAATGCCGCTGTCCAGGTGAATACCCTGTCTCAGAGGAAACTTCGCCAGGCCCAGCAGATGCAGCGTGAGACCTCCATCACCGCCAAGGATGCCTACATTATGGAACTGCAGACAGCCATCACGGAGTGCCAAAATAATCTGGATGAGCTGCAGCGCACGGTGGCGGACAAGACCCGCAAGCCGGGACCACAGAAGATAGCCAAGCTGCTGGGCAATGCCCAGTCATCCACGGAGCTGGTGAAGCATCTCAGCCATTTGCTGCTCACCGAGTGCCAGGCGGACAACCAGTCCGCCCAGGTGGACACCGTGGCAGAGCTCACGTTGCGCTTTGACACATTGCAGTCGCAGTGGAAGGCGCGACAGCAGCACGATCAAAATGCAAGGTAGGTTTTACCTTTTTTTATAAAAATATATTTATATATTTCATGGGATATTTTATCGCAAGGTCTTGCTAAGCCTGGGGTATTTTTATACCCTTTATCATAATTATTTGTCATTATTATTTCAGTCAGAAGCTTGCAAAGCAGTGAAGGAGTCATTTCCGACCCCATAAACCATATATATTCTTGATCAGCATTAACAGGCGCGTCTTTGAAGCCATGTCGGAACAAAAAAAAATTTTTTTAATTTTCCAAAATTTCAAAAATTGATAAGGGGTTACATCATTAAAATTCTCAAAAATCGACAAAATTTTTAATTTTTTAAAATTTTTTAAGATTTGTTAAACTAGAAAAAACTAGCATAGAAAAGCTTTCCGAATTGAATTTGAGGCTTTTTTGACTTATTTATGGCATTTTTTAACATAGATTTTTCCGAGAATTTTCATAATAAACATGTTTATGGATTTTTTTTAACATTTATTAGGGTTTAGATCATTAAAGTTTGAACAATGAGCGCAATTTTAACTAGCACAAAAATAGTTATCAAAGTTCCAAGTATTCCAAATTTAAATTAATGAATTTGTGATAAATTTTAATGTTTATATACTTATTTTTATGAGGAGTCAAAGTGGCATGCCTTAAAATCCTTATTTATTCTGTGTCTCAAATACTCCTAAATCAACAAATTAGACACGAACGGCATCCTGTGTAGTTAATCATATTACAACAGATGACTTGTGTTTGTGGTCAGTAAAAGTTAAGTTAATAGTAACTTAAAGATCAAATATAGTATATACTTAATTTCTAGATACAGTACCTTAAGGTCTATATCCCAACTTAGGCTTAGCAAGCTCTAGATCTTATTCGGTTTACCGAAAGGCATTATTTCCCTTGGTGTTTTGGGTTTGTTTTTTAACTAGCATATTACATGTTTTATTGCCTTCCATCTCGCTGTTGCCTACTCCTCTCTCGCTCTGTCTCTCGCTCTCTGTCACACACACACGCATTAAACACAACCCACAAAAACTTACCTACGCCTAACTCGAACCTGCGCATTCACGATGACACTCGCCAGGTGCCACCTACCTGCATCCTACAAGTACAACTGCATACAGTAAGTGTTTTCTACCTGAACCGCATTAACCGAAGCGGGTGTAAGTAGCTCCCACCTCCGGCTGTTTTGTGTTTTGTGTGGCTTTCCACTAGACAAAAGCTGGCAGCGGATCATCCGATGGCTGCCAGTCTCCAGGGTGGAGCACAGCAAACGGCGGTGGTGGGGAACTACCTATGCTACCTGCTTGCCAAGCTGCTTACTAAAGCCTCAATTTCCAAGGACTTTGGGAAGGCTTTGGCTTAGGCAAACATATAAACATAACTCTATTATCATCCAAGTTGAGTCTGTGTTCCAACACTGAATCAACTAATGCTGTATGGAGTCACTAGATCTTTGTGTGCATTGTGTGCATTTTTTTTATAATTTACTAATTATAAATACTCTTTACTTATTCCACCCTTTCAGCGAGGTCGGCCGTCTAACGTGTCCGCTCTGCACGCAGCGTAACTGGCAGCAGATCGACAACGATCTGTGGCGCCTGGAGCAGTGGCTGCAGTTCGCCGAGAGCACCCAAAAGGCCCAGTCGGCTCCGCCCTCGAATATCGAGCTCCTTGAGGATGTCACCCAAGATCATCGCGAGTTCCTCTTGGATCTGGAGAGTCACAAGTCCATTATCTCGTCCCTCAATGTCGTCGGCGACCATTTGGCCACTCACACCTCGGATACCGAAAAGGCGCGACAACTTCGTTCGCGCCTGGAGGCCGACAATGAACGCTGGAACAATGTCTGCATAAATGCCACCAAATGGCAGGGTCTGCTCCAGACCGCTCTTATGGGCAACAGCGAGTTCCATCAGACCATCGATGAGCTGGTGGACTGGCTACAGCGCACCGAGCAGAACATTAAGGCCTCGGAGCCTGTGGATCTCACCGAAGAGCGTTCCGTGCTCGAGGCCAAGTTCAAAAAGTTCAAGGATCTGCGTGCCGAGCTGGAACGCTGCGAGCCGCGTGTGGTGAGCCTGCAGGATGCGGCCGATCAGCTGCTGCGCGAAGTCGAGGGCTCACAGCAGCAGTCGCAGCACACCTACGAAAGGTAAGGTGTCCGGTGGGCCAGTTCCGAGGGCGGAACGAAACGGAATCGTGGGTGCCGCTTGAGCTTGTAGTAGGGATTCGGAACTGAAAGGGAGTAGTTAGTAGGGCGGAAAGCAAAATGGATTTAATTTAGTTTTATTTTGTAGTTATTTTTTGGTTTGAAATTCATTTTGATTAATTTTAGTTTTATTTTTTCAATTAGTTTTGATAATACCCTTATCCTAGTTTGTGGGCTTTCTTTTAGTTTATTATATAGTTTCTAGTAGCATCTGTGCTTTTTCCATTATCAAATTATCAAAATTTTCGGCCTTTATTGCTTGCCTCTTGTTAACATTTCAAAACTATATTTTATATATTTTAAATATAGTTTATATATTTGATACATTTTATGTATTTTATATATAATATATATTCTTCACATTTCACAAATACTTTTGTAACTATAAACATTTCAAAAATTATATTTCCTCTTTCCACAAAATTATACTAAAACTGTTTGTAAAAACAGCTAAAAACCTTTTGGAATTTCCCCAACCACACATCCCTTCTTTAGCCTCTTAAGAGGACCTCCAAACCATCCACACTTATTAAGTAGAACTTGTTTTTTCAGCCTTATCTCTTCTTAAGTTATACAAACTCAATCGTACCGATCTCGAACATTTGTTTTTGCCTCTACACAAACACTTTTGTGTTGCTGTTTTTGTTGCGTATTTATTATATATTCTTTTTTGTGTTGTATTTTTTGGTACTCAAAATTCTTTCGTCCGCCCATTCTAACCCCTCATCCAAACTGACCTCCCCAAGAGCCGTTGCAAATGTTTTAAATGCTCCAGAACCCTTTCCAGATTGACCGATCTCCGCCTGCGCCTGCAATCCCTGCGCCGCCTAGCCGGCATCTACATAGTCAAGCTGGGCGCTGTTCTGGGCTACGAGGGCGACTCTCTTGGTGTGCCGCTGCACATGTTGTCGAGCGAGGTAAGTGTTTCAATTCCCTGGAGGTGATTCCTTCAGATTGTCCTGAAAAAGTATATTATTTGATTTGTTGATTTGTGAGCGCACCCGAAGTAAGTGAATCCAATTGGACAAGTGACGATGAGAAATTGTTTACGGAGAAACCCTTTTGATTTCGTTTTATTTATAATTTATTTTCGTTTTTCTTTTCCTTCTTTCTTTGTGGCAATTCTAGCTTTTGGATAATACTACATTATCAACCTCTTCCATGCAGGCCGCCGCACCCAACACAGAAAATGCAAAGTAAATATCTAAATAGAAATTAATTTAAGTTTAACACAAGCAAAAAGTAGTTTGTTTACCTTTTTTGTTAGAGCAACTTGTGTGCACTTTATAGTAAAAAGAGAAGAGCACATAGTTAGCCCTCTGTAGTTGCATGTTATTTTCCATTTTATTTCTTTCTTGGATTAATTTTTACTCTTCACTTCCTTAGCAACACCGATGGCGTCGATGCTGTCGATGGCGATGTCATCAATACCACGGTGCTGGCGCGCAGTGCTCGGTTCCTAGGCCGCGTTGCCCGTGCCTCCCTTCCCATACAGGCGCTCATGCTGCTGCTTTTAGGTGTGGCCACTCTGGTGCCCCAAGGTGAGGACTACACCTGTATGTTCTCAAACACCTTCGCCCGCAGCCTGGAGCCCATGTTGTCATATCCCCACGGTCCGCCGCCCACCTAGGCTAGTGGCAGCTCCTGAAAGAACAAACCCCTGACCTACCCTGAACATTAACAGAACTAATCGAGAGTGAAGAACACAGATAACCCAATAAGAAATGCCTTTTTGTAACTAAATTCCTGTAAAAACGATCGCACCCAAGTGCGTGGGAAAAATTCAAGAACGTTGTACATTTTGTGTGTAGTTATCACATTTTATAATTGTATGTAATTTTATAATGATTTAATAGCTAGAGGCATTAATAAATCAAAATTAATTTGTACATAACCCAGACAGACTCGACGAGAAGAACAAAAACACTATATGAAAATGAAGAATAATGAATACAAAGAAACTACTAAACGAAAACTAACGAAACCCTTTTGTAAAACGATATATACATTATACATATATATTTGCACAGCAAACAATTTATATATTCATATATATACCCAACATATATGATCCCAAACTATATAAAGAGAAACCCCAACATTTTGTATATAAAAGAAAAAGAGATAACTAAGCTTAAACGAAATCAAAAAATACGCACACGAAAATTTTACTCATTGACGCACGTTGATTATTTCTAGAGAAAGCTCGGTGGCAGCCAGGGGGATTGTGCTCGGAGCTCTGCAAATTTCGTGGAACATTTTTGCAGGAACCCGAACACAACATCCTAGCTACCATCCATTGGCCTGAAAAAGATAAAACCTCAAGACAAATCATGACCCACATAGACCAATCGTCCGGAGAGCTATTCGTCCATCGTTGTGCCTTGTGTATTGCCCGGCCTTTCTCCCAAATTCAAGGCCGGGCTGTCGATGAGTGGCAATGGTGACCGTTTAGACTTCTTCGGCATTTAAAGCCACCTTGCTCAAGGATAATTCTGCCCCATGGCCAAGCTCTCTCCCAAGGCCAGGGGTTAGAAAGGAATTTAAACCGTAGTAGTAGACCCGCCACAGGTCTCTCTAAACACCCGTTCTGATCCTTAAACTCGAACTCTGGCAAACGGTGGCTAGACATTTCAAGCATTCCTGATACTCATTTCCAAATTACCATAGACATTGTTTAACCCAGGCCAATCCTCTCTAGATATAAGCGACGTGCGTGCCGCGAGCATTGAACAAAACGAAGCAAGTGTCCTATGCCGGTGCTAAACCAACCAACAAATTTTCTATATAAAAAGAAAAGCTGTAAAATGCGTATACAAAAATGAAATGAAATTTAAATAATGAGAAATGAATGAAATGAAAAACAAAAAAGAAAAATCATTAAAAAAAAATCGTAAAAATGCAATTTGCATATATAGACAAGTGGCGTTAGTCCATCCAGTAAAAAAGTAACCTATTTTGTTGTTAATATTTTTTGATAAACCCTAATTATATATACCTTTGCCTTATACTTATCCAACTTGTTTATGACTATTTTTTATTATTTAACGCCTGAGCAATTATTGAGAAAAATACATACATTTATTTATTAGAATATATGCGATTTATTATGTATTTAATTAAGTTTGATTTAACTGTTAAATTTGTGTAATCTGCTGCTTCTATCTGGTTATTATCAAGCCACGCGCGCCGTTATCCAGTTAATATAATTTATGTAGCATTTTAAGATTTCCTTTCTTGTGAACAACTGTACCTTTATATGCATTATGATTATTAAAGAAAAATTACAAAATAATTATAAAGTATTGTATTTACGGAAATTGGGCTGATTTTAAGAATTTTATAGTGTTTTTTACGCAGTTTTTATTTAAGGGGGTCTTCTCATTGGGCAACTTTTTTTTTTCGATTTTTTTTTTTTTGCATTTATTTATAGCTTGGGATGGTGTGTATATGTCCCCAAAAGGATTTTTAGAAATTCGAAATACTTTAGAAGATACAGCCTTATTTGTGAAGCAAGTTCTTCGCAAAATGAGCTTTTTTTCAAACTTCAAACGCGTTTATCTCGAAACCACGTTTTTCGAACTGGCGGCCATGATATCTCCAGTTCAACTCAACCGATTTTCATGAAACAAAGTGGAGTCGACGCAGAATTGTCACCATTCTCGGGTGACGGAACAGATTTTTTAAAAAATTTTTTTTTATATTTTTTTTTACATTAAACTACAAAAAAAAAGCCCGAAATCGAATTTTTTTTTTAAATGGCCGCCATTTTGTTTAAAAAAATTTAAAAAAAATCTGTTCCGTCACCCGAAAATGACATCAATTCTGATTATAACCCCGTTTTTATTTTTCATTTCGGACTCTCTGGAGACCCTGAATCGTGGCCGCCAGGACGACACCTTTTTTTTCGACCACCATGTTTGAAGTCTCATTACTCTTTGAACAACCCTCGTATCGAGGCAAGAACAACTTTTTTAGTTACTTTGAACATTTTTGAATTCAATAAATAAAAAAAGTTTCCAATTATTCTTTGCGTTTTCAAATAAGAATTTTTTTAAAAAGGGTCCAAAAAACGGCTTTTGAATGAGAAGACCCCCTTAATTTTTGAATATAGTGGAAAATCAGCAATTCCTGGATTTCAGCAGCAGCAGAAGGTGGATTTACTGAGTTGAGATAAGCAGATCTGTGGCAAGACAATAATCGTTTGCACTGAAGTAAATCCTCTTCTACAAACTAAGGCGTGCCAAAGTTAGCCTCCTTTCTTTTTATATAATATCCTGATATCCTTCAACCTCTCCGTTCCTTAAAATCCAACCAAATCCCTCCCTTCAGGGTAGCCATAAAGAAGGTGTTATCTATCTGATCGTCCGAGCGGGTCTTGGGATTAACCTTGATCTCAAAGTGGCGAACGATCTCCACAAGTGCTGTCTTGATCTGAGTAAGAGCAAAGCGCATGCCTGCAAGGAGAGATATTTTCATTTATAGTTGATTTCCCCAAAAGCCCTTTACCCACCTGGACAGATGCGAGGTCCATTGCCAAAAGCCAGGTAGACACCTCTTTCACGGTACTCCTTGACCCCACCATTTGCCTCCAGGAAGCGCTCAGGCTTGAAGGAATCCGGATTCTCATAATACTGAGGATCGTGGTGTATAGCTTTCACTGGTATGGTGACCACATCGCCAGGATTTGCCCGCAACGTGACTCCATTCTTGTTGACAAAGTCGTAGGATTCGGTGACCTTTTTGCGAGCAGCAACTTGCGGCGAAAACAAGCGCAATGTTTCTAGGAAATATTAGAGTTATTATTACTAAGATAAAATAAAATATAAGCCGGCTTCTCTCACCGTGGAGGCAGGCTTCCAGATAGGGCAGATCGGTCAGCTGATCAAAGGTAAAATCTGCATTTCCTATTTCCTGCAAGACCTTTTGCTGCTTCTCTGGATGGCGTGCCAGCATCAACAGGGTGTGAGCCAATACCATGGCCGTCGTCTCAAAGCCGTCCGTGAGCAAGGTCATCGTGTGCGTGGTTAACTCCTCAGTGTCCAGGCCCTTCTTCTCCTGCAACTGCAGCATGTAGTTGAGGAAGTCGTCGCGATGTTGTGTGGGCGAGGTCTGCCTCAAGGTGATGCAGCGCCTGATTATATCCGAGAAGAACTCCACCGCCTCCTTGTTGAAAAAGGCCACGCTGTAGAACTTGCGTATTGTTGGCCAGAGATTGGCCAACATATTGAAGAAGATGAACCCAAACGAGGAGTTGAAAACCCGCTGGGTCATTCTGACCATGGGCGTCCGCGTGTCCCCGAAACTCTGAGCGGAGATTCCCAGGACGCAGTCGGACACCACTTCAGTGGTGTAGCAAAGAGAAAGCTCCATGGCATCCAGTCCCTGTGAGGTGGCTATATTTTGCTGACGCCGAATAAAGTCCACGAACTTTTTACAGACACTTTGGGAGATGGGATAGACGGCCTTGACCTGGGGGGGGGATGGGAAGCTCTAATGTAAGTCTAAAATATAAAAACAAATCCAGAAGAAAGTACATTCTATAACTTACTCTATTCGGCGACAATCCTGGCGTAATTTCCGACCTCTTCTCTTTCCATTCATCTCCCGTCAGCAGAAACGGGTTATTTCCCAGGATCTTGTCCGTCTTTTTGTCCAACTAATTTTGAATATATGAGCTGCAGATGTGGCTTCACCCATTAAAACTATTTTTACTTACGAATTTCTCCCATTCATTGTTATGAAAGCTCCGAAAATCAGTGGCATAAATCTTATATATATACTCCGGACACGTAACCAGTAGCTGTGGCACTCGGGTGTTGAACACACCCACTATTTTGTCCGTATCCTTGAACTGCCTGCATAAGGACCTCTGGTTTATGCCGAAAATATCCAAATATGCTTAATGCACTTACTCGTAGATATCATCATAGTCGTAGGCTATGTTCCGCCTGCGAGTGAAGATGCTGGGAAAGCTGCCAACCAATGGCCAAGTGGGCGCCGTCCTGATTCCTTTCTTCCTCCAGTGATCAAAGTTCCAGGTGAGGAACCTATAGATCAGCGCCAAAAGGATGGCGATCGAGGATAGTGCCCATCCAACCGGGTCCATCATGCCACAATTATTCGCAATCGCAGCCGAATCTTAACTAAACCGAAAAAAGGAATTCACAAGAAATTTATATTTTGCGATAACATTTAACATTTATAGTCTTGTTTTTCTTGTCGCATTAGGACACGAGGAACTAATCTTCCATTCGAGATTCACCCTTACTCGGGTCAAGGCTAAATTCGCGAAATTCATGGTTAAATCGCGATTTACTCTCTCCAACTTTCTGCTAGCAACGAATCCAATATCGAACTAGAAAGTCGAACCAAGTTCGAGTTTGAATGAATGTTTTTACATACCGAATGTATGTAAATATGCTTGAGTCTTGGCTAAAGAATAATGTAGAAACTAATTTTACGCATACTTACATAGAATTGTAAAAAAAAATGTTCTTGGTGTCAAATTGTTTTTGTTGTACAAATGTGTTGTTGTGAATATGTTGTTGTTGTTGTTCTTGTTGTAGACAAGGACAAGGGTTCAATTTCAACATTATTAGTATGAAAACATCAATACTTAAGCCTACTAAAGGGGGGATATACATGTAAACCTAAATTTTTTTTGGCAAATTTTTTTTTTGTTTAAAAAATAGTTTATTACTTAAAGAATATACTGTGTAAGTTTCATCATCGAATTCCAACTTTAAGGGCCTCAAATTAAGTATGCAAGCAAAGTATACAAGTGTTAACGTGGGCGCATCAAAAACTTTAAACGTCTTTTTCTCAGCTTCTAATTTTTGCATTTCTGCCTATGCTATGGACACGATTCAGAAAAAACTACGTAACATATCGGAGTGAATCAAATTTTATTATGATCAGCATGAAATTATCTTCTATTTGAACCTACATGGTTGTTATAAAACTGAGTATTACTATTTTTTAAGAGGGTGGGAAGTGAAAACTGATCACCTGAAAATGGCATTTTTTCCTTCAAATCAAAATTTAATTTTTTTGTCTTGATTTCTTTTGGGTTTTTTAGGTTCAAATAGAAGATACAGGTGTAATGAATACAAAAAAAATTAGTTTACGGGTTTTGGACAGGAATTACGACCCCATTCGTGTCCATAGTACGGCAACTCAAAGCTCGAGGCGCTACGGCATATGTTCCATAAATCCGCCATTTTGTAAAATATTGTTAATAACTAATTTTTTTTGTCATCTCTGATTCTACTTTTAACTATATCCAAAGTTTCACAACGATTGCTTGACTATTTCTTATAAAAAAAAATTCACGAAAAATGACAAAATTTTGACCGCTTACATGTATATCCCCCCTAAAGGCAGAAGAGGGACTATGAGAACAATTTTTCGTTTTAACATTGCGTTAAATTATAATTAAATTAAATTTAAATTAAATTAAAATGAAATCAACAACTTTAATATCTTCCCCAAACAAATTTAATGCACCTCTTCAATTGTAAAACAAAGGCTTCTTATCACACCCTTGAACCAAGGCAGTTCCTAATTACCAGTGTTGTTTGTGTCTAGCCAGAACTGCATCAAGAGAGAGCCGTTTATCAATTAAGTTTTGTTGGGGCTTAACGTGGTCTCAATTAACGTAGATCAACTGAGTGCCAGCTCCTCGGTTCAGTTTGCTTTCGACTGCCCTTGCGACCGGTTGTGTCATGTGTCCCATCTGCTGTGTGCTGCTCTCGATTGCCGTGCTCTTGGCACTGGTCTATGTGTTCCTCACCTGGAACTTTGACTACTGGAGGAAGCGAGGCATTAAGACGGCTCCATCATGGCCATTTGTGGGCAGCTTTCCCAGCATTTTCACTCGCAAGCGGAACATCGCCTACGACATAGACGATATCTATCAGTGAGTGCAATGCAATTAATAGATAAATTCGCTTGCTTTTTGCGTTTTACGGGCAGACAGTACAAAGAGACAGAGAACATAGTTGGTGTGTTCACCACGCGACGGCCACAGCTGCTGGTTATGTGTCCGGAATTTATACACAAGATTTATGCCACCGACTTCCGGAGCTTCCATGACAACGAACGCGGAAATTTCGTGAGTAAAAATAGTCTAAGGATGTATAGACTCAGGTACATTATATGGTTTTCTTCCAAAATAGGTGGACAAAAAGGTGGATAAGATCCTGGGAAACAATCCTTTTGTTTTGAAGGGGGATGAATGGAAGGAGAGAAGGACAGAGATCACGCCTGGCTTGTCCCCGAACAGGGTTGGTTACAGAAAATTAATATTTCTCTTCGATAATGAAGTATCTTTCTCTTTGGAAAAGGCTCCTTTTTATTTGGAATATAATAAGTTTATCTTATGAGTTTTCTATTAAGAAACATACATTAAAATAATTTTATTCCATAGATCAGGGCCGTGTATCCTGTGTCCCAAAGTGTCTGCCGAAAGTTTGTGGATTACATCAAGCGGCAGCAAAAAATGGCCACCTCTCAGGGACTGGATGCCATGGAGCTCTCTCTTTGCTACACCACCGAAGTGGTTTCCGACTGCGTCCTGGGAATCTCCGCTCAGAGTTTCACCGACACTCCTACGCCTCTAGTGGGAATGATTCAGCGAGTTTTCAACTCTTCCTTTGGATTTATCCTTTACAGCGTGGTAGCCAACCTCTGGCCACCAATACGCAAGTTCTATAGCGTGGCTCTGTTCACCAAGGAGGCTGAGGATTTCTTCTTTGACATCATGAGACGCAGCATCGCTTTGAGGCGGGAGAAACCGACGCAGCAACGCGATGACTTCCTGAACTATATGCTGCAGTTGCAGGAGAAGAAGGGCCTGGATACAGTGGAGTTGACCTCGCACACAATGACTTTCCTTACGGATGGATTTGAGACTACGGCTCTGGTGCTGTCTCACACTCTGTTGTTGCTGGGACGACATCCAGAGGAGCAGGAAAAGGTTCTGAGGGAAATTGGGAAGGCAGATCTGAGCTTCGAGCAGCTGTCTGAGCTGTCCTACCTGGAAGCCTGCATTCATGGTGAGAGAAACTAACTAACTAAACTTAAACTTAGTACTAACTCTAATATTTTCTAGAAACATTGCGTTTGTTTTCGCCGCAAGTTGCTTCTCGCAAACTGGTAACCGAATCCTACGACTTTGTGAACAAAAACGGAGTCACCTTGCGGTTGAATCCTGGGGATGTGGTCATAGTACCCGTGAAAGCTCTGCACCATGATCCACAGTATTATGAGAATCCGGAGGCCTTTAAACCTGAGCGTTTCCTGGATGCCAATGGCGGCGTGAAGAAGTACCGGGATATGGGCGTCTATCTGCCCTTTGGCGATGGACCGCGTATCTGTCCAGGTGGGTTTGCCTAAGATAAATAAACTAGAAGATTAATTAAACCTTTTTTTCTCACAGGCATACGTTTTGCTCTCACTCAACTCAAGGCAGCTCTTGTGGAGATCGTAAGGACTTTTGAGATCAAGGTTAATCCCAAGACACGCTCCGATGATCAGATAGATGATACATTCTTTATGGCTACCCTAAAGGGGGGGATCCGGTTGGATTTTAAAGAGCGCCAGTGAATTTTATTAATTTCAAAACAATAATGTTAAAAGGGACACATAAAAAGTATAATTTACTATATTTTAAATAAAAACAAGAAAGAAAGCTAACTTTGGCCAGCCAAAGTTTGTATACGTTTGCAGGTAACAATTAAAATATATCATAACTAAGCCAAAAATGCATTACTTTCGATTCGGAAAGCAGTTTTGTGTTAGTTTTTATTAATTTAAAAAAACTGCATACCAAATTTAAAATTTTAAGAAATCAAAATTTTTGGCAATTTTTGCTAATTTTAATGATGTTACCCCTTATCAAATTTCGCAAAAATTGCCAAAATATCGATTTCTTCCGGACATGTCTAGAAAGATTCCCCTGTTGATGCTGATCAAGAATATATATACTTTATAGGGTCGGAAACGTCTCCTTCACTGCGTTGCAAACTTCTGACTGAAATTATAATACCCTGCAAGGGTATAACAAGAAAGGAAGCTAACTTCGGCACGCCGAGGTTTGTATACCCTTGCAGATTGGTTTCGATTTTTATATTATAAATCTATAATGCTAAAAACACTCACAAAACAGAGTTTCATTAAATTTTACCTATACTTTGAATTAGAATTTAATTGCCAAATTTGAATTTGAATTTAACTGCCAAATTTGAATTTGAATTTAACGACGATCAGTTTCAGTGTGCCCAGGTGCAGTTGTAAAATACCACCTAAATTTGGATTCAAAAGGTTTGAGTCTCCGCTAACATGCGTCGGCTCCTAAATGGTTTGGAACTTGGACATTTTATAACAGTTTATACCAGTTTTCAGTCGCTTGCTGCTGATTTCTGTTCGCCGGTTACCCCAATTTGGGAAACAGGCAATTTGCATGGAAATGTTCGGAAATTTGGATGGGCTGCTGTAGGGATGTTGTTGTAAAAAGGTTGTTGTTGCCATAAGCTGTTGTTGTCGGCAACAAATAGGTATAAATACATAAAATGAAATATAACAGTTTATACCAATTATTATTTTTGACCAAAAGTTTTTATAACAGTTTATACCAGTTTTCAGTTGCTTGCTGCTGGTTTCTGTTCGCCTGTTACCCCAGTTTGGAAAGCGGCCAATTTGAATGAAAAGTTTTGCTCACTTGCATCAGTGATGCTCATCTTCATCAGTGATGCTCATCTGCATCAGTGATGCTCATCTGCATCAGTGATGCTCTATTGGGACAAAATGCATCTCTATCTGCCAGTGATGCTCAACTAGCTATTTTGCATTACTGGGACAAAATAGCAACTCTCTAACTGCCAGTGATGCTCATCTAGCTATTTTGCATTATTGGGACAAAATGGCATCTCACTAACTGCCAGTGATGCTCATCTAGCTATTTTGCATTATTGGGACAAAATGGCATCTCACTAACTGCCAGTGATGCTCAAAATGGATTCTCACTAACTGCCAGTGATGCTCATCTAGCTATTTTGCATTATTGGGACAAAATGGCATCTCACTAACTGCCAGTGATGCTCATCTAGCTAATTTGCATTATTGGGACAAAATGGCATCTCACTAACTGCCAGTGATGCTCATCTAGCTATTTTGCATTATTGGGACAAAATGGCATCTCACTAACTGCCAGTGATGCTCATCTAGCTAATTTGCATTATTGGGACAAAATGGCATCTCACTAACTGCCAGTGATGCTCATCTAGCTATTTTGCATTATTGGGACAAAATGGCATCTCACTAACTGCCAGTGATGCCCATCTAGCTATTTTGCATTATTGGGACAAAATGGAATCTCACTAACTGCCAGTGATGCTCATCTAGCTATTTTGCATTATTGGGACAAAATGGCATCTCACTAACTGCCAGTGATGCTCATCTAGCTATTTTGCATTATTGGGACAAAATGGCATCTCACTAACTGCCAGTGATGCTCATCTAGCTATTTTGCATTATTGGGACAAAATGGCATCTCACTAACTGCCAGTGATGCTCATCTAGCTATTTTGCATTATTGGGACAAAATGGCATCTTACTAACTGCCAGTGATGCTGATCTAGCAATTTTGCAATATTTGATGTTTTTTCCATTGTCCACCGCAAGAATGCCCTTCTATTGAGCCTGTTTAAATTATCCCACCAAAAAAAAAAAACCGCATCCTCCTCATAAGTCAAAAATAACAAATTTTTAAAGGTTTTTATTTACTTCAGCTTTAAATAAATAAAAGAAGAAAAGGTGAGGTATGAGAAAATGTCGGAGGTCGTTTCCAGTGGTTTCGGCTCGGTCTTGGTGGCACCCTCGTCGTGCTGCCCCAGCACCTGGTCCGCTTCTGCTCCTCCTCGTCCTGATCCTCCTTGCCAACGCTCTCTGTCTCGCCATCGGCATCCGCTTTGAGTTCCTGGCAGCTTCCTGCAATTAAATTTAAAAAAGGATAGTTTTTGGGAAAAAAAACTAATATTCAAAAAATCATAACTAAGTCAAAAGTGCATGAAACTCAATTCGAAAAGTTTAGTTAGTTTTTTTAGGAGAACTTATTCTCATATTATTTGTATACCCTTTCAGGGTATTACAATTTTAGTCAGAAGCTTGCAAAGCAGTGAAGGAGTCATTTCCGACCCCATAAACCATATATATTCTTGATCAGCATTAACTGGCGCGTCTTTGTAGCCATGCCGGAACGAAAAAAAAAATTTAAAAAAATTTTTCAAAATTTTAAAAATTGATAATTGATCATTAAAATTCTCAAAAATCAACAAAATTTTTAATTTTTAAAAATGTAAAATTCGGTATGCAGATTTATTAAACTAAAAAAAACTAGCATAGAAAAACTTTCCGAATTGAATTTGAGGCTTTTTTGACTTATTTATGCAATTTTTAAACTTTGATTTGTCAAAAAAAATACTATTTTAAAATATGGATAAATTCCTTTTGAAGAACTCAAATATTTGCGGTCTTCTTGAAGGGGTATATCATTTTATTAATAAGAATATATTATATTATAAGAAATAAGAAATAGAAAATAGAAAATTATCGATGTAAAGAATGAGTTTATTCAAGGGTTCTTAAGAATATAAGAGGTCAAAAAAGCATGTGATCATATATGTATATTCCGATTTGCAATTAAAAACCCAACTTATTAATATCATATTTCATTATAATTTATATTGTATAATCATATTAATAATTATGATCGACCTTCAGCCCTTTAATACAAATGCAAACAGCAAGGGCATACAAACATCGACTACCCAAAGTTAGCTTTCTTGCCTATTATCACCTTTAATTTGCCCAGAAATAGCCTGCCAAGTGCTTGGCCCTTGATCTTGATAGCATAACCGAGTCTTATCGCCAAAATGAAACCCGGGCAGTGTGCTCATGATGGGAAACATTATATGTACATCTGTGGCGCTGGCAATTTGATCAATTTGTTTACTGGGTGAATCCGCCCAGCTCCCACAGCCCACTGCCACTTGACTGACATCAAGTTCAATTGGAATCACTGAGGTTGCTCAATTGAGCTTCAGTTGGTTTTCATCCGCGTTGCCGAACGGTTGTGCCATGTGTCCGATTACCACAGTTCTGTTCCTGCTGGTGGCCCTCCTGGCCTTGATCTATGTTTTCCTCACATGGAACTTTAACTACTGGAAGAAGCGAGGTATACCCACGGCCAAGTCATGGCCATTTGTGGGCAGCTTTCCCAGCATTTTCACCCAGAAACGGAACATGGTCTACGATGTGGATGATATCTATGAGTAAGCTTATTTGATTTAATTAAGAATGGTGATAATTTAAAAATTCCAGGCAGTACAAGAACACGGACAGCATTGTGGGAGTGTTCAACACGCGGATGCCACAGCTTTTGGTCCTGAGTCCCGAGTACGCCCATCAGATATTTGTTACAGATTTCAGAAGTTTCCACGACAACGAGATGGCCAAGTTTGTGAGTTTTAGAAGATTAACTTAAGCTCTAAAGATTATTTCAAAAAATTTCTATGACAGACCAACAAAAAGGTGGACAAGATCCTGGCCAACAATCCCTTTATATTGACGGGTGAGGCCTGGAAGGAAAGGCGTGCCGAGGTTACCCCAGGACTTTCGGCCAATAGGGTGAGTTGAGGCTAAGACCTATAAGTTTAGTTTAAAATAATAAATAAATAAGGCAAGGTCATAAATTGTATAGAAATCGTATTGATAAGGCATGCACTAAATACAGATACATTTAATACATTTCATTTGATTGTATCGTATCTTATCATTAGCACTTTAAGTGTTTTTTTTTTATATGCCTAATCAGTACAAGTGCTTTGAGCTACAAGCAAAAACAATATTTTATTACTCATAACTGTTTTTCTCCAACCTACCCCAAAAGGTTAAAGCCGTCTATCCTGTGTCACAAAACGTTTGCAAGAAGCTAGTTGACTTTATCAAGCGGCAGCAGCGTATGGCCTCCTCGGAGGGTTTGAATGCCAAGGATGTGTGCCTGTGCTTCACCACCGAGGTGGTGTCCGACTGCGTCCTGGGCATCTCCGCGCAGAGCTTCACTGACAATCCCACTCCCTTGGTGGGAATGATTAAGCGCGTCTTTGAGCAGTCCTTTGGATTTATTTTCTATACCGTAGTAGCCAATCTTTGGCCTCCGATTCGCAAGTTCTACTCTGTGGGCCTGTTTGCCAAGGATGTTGAGGAGTTCTTCTTTGACATAATGAAGAAGTGCATCCAGTTGAGACGGGAAAATCCAGTGCAGCAGCGCGATGACTTCCTCAACTATATGCTGCAGTTGCAGGAGAAGAAGGGATTGGATACTGTGGAGTTGACCTCGCACACGATGACTTTCTTGACGGACGGCTTTGAGACCACAGCCCAGGTATTGTCCCATATCCTGCTTATGCTGGCGCGCAATCCCAAGGAGCAGCAGCGATTGAGGGAGGAAATTGGTACAGGAGAGCTAAGCTTTGAGGAGTTGAGTGAGCTGCCTCTCATCGAGGCCTGCATTCATGGTTAGTTTTCCACACAGATCAATCCTATGAACCCTATCTTCAAAGACTTCTATTTCTCTAGAAACTGTGCGAATTTTTCCACCTCTCCTGACTGCCCGCAAAGTGGTTACCCAGCAGCATGAGTTTGTGAACAAAAATGGCGTGAGCGTGAAGGTTTATCCCGGAGATGTGGTCATCATTCCAGTCAACGCTTTGCACCATGATCCTCAGTACTATGAACATCCGGAGTCTTTCAAGCCAGAACGCTTCTTGGAGGTTAATGGTGGATCCAAGAAATTCAGGGATCAGGGCATTTACTTTGGTTTTGGCGATGGACCACGCATTTGTCCAGGTGGGTAGCCTTGCTTTAGGGGGAGTCACAGCCCTTAAATAATATTCATCTCTTTGCAGGCATAAGGTTCGCCGTCACCCAAATTAAAGCAGCTCTGGTGGAGATCCTAAGGAACTTTGACATCAAGGTTAATCCCAAGACCCGTACTGATAATAAGTTCGATGATACCTACTTTATGGCTGCTCTTAAGGGAGGCATTTTCCTTGACTTCACTGAGCGCCAGTAGATCCTGGACATACGAGTTATATTGATTTTCTTTATGTAAATTCCCCAAATTATAAAATTAAATTTTACTACTTGATACACCGGAAATAATACTTTAATTTTGTAACAAACTACCACAAAAAACCCCTTTAGTTTGTTGTTTAGTCTCTACTCAGTGCTAGTTGCACAAGGGGTAGCACTTTGATGGAAGACAAATCCGCCAGAATGGCCTCAATGTTGTCCAGCGAGGCCACCTGCATGATGCTTTCCTTACGGAAGCTTAAGATGATGATGGCAAAGAGTGGCAGGATCTCAAGGCTATCAAAGCCCAGTATCTGAAGAAGATATGGGAATATTAAGCATTGAAAATGGCTTTCTATTAGAACAGAAACCTACCAGGTCCCAGAGAACCAAGAGCTGATCAGGTGGCAAATGTCCTGAAAAGGCACGCATCAGCCACTTGAAGACGACCCGCAGGCTGCAATGGTTGGTTAACAGGTTATGAAAAGGAGTTTTAAGAAAGATTCCTAACATCTACTCACGGCTGTATCTGTAACTCCCGAAAATGTGACCACAGCTGCGGCTCGTACGTCTGCAGCAACTTCTCGAAGAGCAGGCACAGACTCACAATGCCCTGCGGATGCGTATTGATAGTGGTCAGGCGATGGCAGTAGCGAATGTAAAAGGCCCGAAACGTATAGTACAGATTCACTGGAGAGTCGTACAAATAGCAAAAGGGGGCGGCAAACATGCAGATCCCATGAAAAGGCACCACTCCCGACGGAGGACCCTCGTAAGTCTTGCCCTTCACCGGAAATGTCTCGTAATCCACACAGCTTCCTATGTCCGTGTCGCGGGAGAAGCAGAGCAGCACCTGGTAGAGCACATCCTCAAAAACAAAGTACTGGTCATCGTTAGAGGCCGTCAGTTGTATGTCCTTAAAGACCAGTTTGTCCACTATGTGATCCGTGGTCCACACAGCATTACGCAGCTTGTGCCAATAGTCAATGTCCTGTGGGGTATATATTTGGGTTAGTCCTTCTATAATCTAGAAAATACATCAATCTTACGTAGTCGTGTAGCTTACTGTCCAGCACAGAGGCCCAGAGAGCTCCCCTGTAGGGAGCAGGGGTGCAGCCTTTCTTTAGGAACTGCTGGCACATGGGCGCATGCCTGCCCTCCAGAATCCGCTGGCATTGTACCGTGAGATCCGGCACTCCCAGATAGCTGTCACTCCGCAAAAGATCGGCATAATGGCCGCGCAGCTCGAAGAGATTCTTCACCGGCAAGGCTATGTGCGAGAACTCCCACTGGGGGATTTGGCTAAAAGCAGACCATAATTTAGCTTATCATATGGAAATGTATTGTCCCTACTTACTCTGTATTTTCGGTGGTCTTGGCGGGTCCTTTTAGCGAGAGCAGCACCTCCAGCAGATCTTTTGGGGCATAGACTGGTCTGTAGTTGGCCAGATCTAGGGATTATGCTTTAGTGGGATGTATGTGGCTTTCACCTGAAGTTACCCACCCATATTGTAGTTGCTAAGTTCGTTCCACTTGGCCATAAAGTCCTCGCGATCGGCGCTAATCCTGGGCTGTCCATGCAGAGGGACCTTCAGTTCGGTGCACATGGCATTCAGACTTTTTCGAACCCTACGATCCCAAAGGACTCCTGCCCTCTTCAAGTAGCCAAGTGGATCACTAACGGTGGGTTTCTGTGAAACAATTGGCTTGTCAGTTTCCGTGTCAACAGTAGGTTCTACTTTAAGAGTCATTAAAGACTTGGATTTCCAGATCATTGAAACCTCCATTATTAAAATAAGAATGCTTCAAGGATAAAAGTCCTTTTAATAATTCTTAAGACTAGTAACTGAAGCTATTTTTAAATACATAACCAATAAACTTAAGTAACTTTTCCATATTAAATCTAATAGGAAATCAGCTAGAAACGATGGAAATAGCCAAGCACACTCAAATAATTTAAATTTTAGTCAACAAAAATAAACAAAACATGTGTCTTTCTTTGTGATTTATAAATAGAAAATATGAATTTCTAAAAATAAATTTAGAAAAGTAAAATTTAAATAAAGAAAAAGTAACACCTCCATTTATCAATTGTATCAGAAATTGTATTTAAAATATAAAACCTTTACCCACCGATGTCTGTTTATGGGTGAGCCCTTTATCATCCGTCTTGGTGAGCCGGCTACGGACCAGGTTATAGACAATATTCCGGATCTCCGTCTCCAGTCCGGCGCCCTTGATGGCGTCCTCGAGGGTGTTGCGCATGTCGTGGGTATCCACATTCGGGCTGCACACGAGTCGCTGCAACTCCTTGTAGATGGGCTCATAGCACTTGGTGTTCTTGATGGCCGCGATTACCTTGGCGGTCATGTGATGGATGCTGGCATCCTGCAGCTCCTCCATACCGAACCGTAACCTCAACCGCTCTGTATGAGACTCAACCACTTACTAATCACCGTTCCGATTAGCTCGAAAAAGTTGGGCGCTCCTAACAAACGTTTTCATTTGACTTTTATCGATCAAACTCGGTCGCCTGCTTTGATTTGAAGTCGAAGTCGAGTCAAGTCGAGTAACTGCATCCATTCTCCGGCTGTCGTCGCTTCGTAGCGACGGAATGCAAACACTTGTTTGTTCGGAACAGCTAGTTTCGCGTTAGTTTCGCTCGCCGCCCCTCGCAACCGAAAATTCCATTATGTTTTCGTTTCAAATGAAAACCTAAAGGCGCGTGAAATTGCTTTCTATACTTTGCTTTTTGTATATGCACATATATACTTTCAGGGCACCGCTGACTGTAAGTGGCGGCAACTTTTTCTTGGCATCTGTCATCTGCTACCAACGAGTTGTTGACGTGGCTGTCACGGTGGTGGTGCTGTTGCTCCTCTGGGCCAAACTCACCTGTTCCTCACCTTATGTACAATACACTGACGAATTCTTGTATCTATAAATTCTTCAGAAATCTTAAAATTATATTTTCTTCAACGTAAAGCCCCTTTTTACTTAATCTTATATCTACAAATTCTAGGGAAATCTAAAAATTATATTTATTCCTCCTACCCAGAGTTCCTTTTCTATTTTTCTTTTGCTTCAATATTTTTTATTGGTTATAATCATGGTGTTATAACATATTTCTGCTACACTTTCTTATTGTGCCGTTTTATTGTCAAAAATCCCACTTAGGACCTAGGAATTCGTCGATTATGTAAGTTCTGTTTTTAAATTCGCGGCTCAGATTCATATGGTTTACGCCCATTGCATAAGGTGGAAAATAATTAGTCTCCAAAAAGTAAAAGCCCCTGGCCCTGCAATCCAAACAAAATTAGAATTTTTATAGTAAATAATCTGGTAGCTGTACTAACTCCGATCGTACGTAGAAGCCCATCTGTTCCACATCCTTACTGGGCTGGCACTTTCCATTCAGAAAGCTACTGTAGTTGGAACAGCCGTAGCCAAAAAAGCCCAAGGGCGAGGCAATGGACTCCGCGTAATAAGTCACGGCTCGGTTGTGGTAGCAGTAGTGGGTGGTTACTTAATCAAATTAAATTTAGTAAAATTTAATTTTAGCTTGGAAATTTTAGAGTAACTTACTCTTGCTGACATCCCCGCAGTTGGGCTGACTGATGCCCATGTTCACGTAAAAGTCCACGTGACCCACTGCCTCTAAAAGGCCAAGCATCAGGACATCCGTGTGAATGACATCCACGAAAAGGGCATCGGTGGAATCCAGTTTATCATCTTTGTCGGTGCCCAGAAAGAGTGGCTTGGCCGGATTTAAAGCGGTGATGCGCTGCAGTGGCAGGTTCTTAGGCATAAAGAGTCCGGTAAACCCGGCTACATGGGCACCCAAACCGAAACCGATCAAATGCAGATCCTCATGGGCCACCAGACGTTCGCTAACAAGCTTTTCCAGTAATTGGGCCAGGCAACGGCCCACGAACTTGGCATTCCCCACTGCCTGCGAGTAGCAGGGTTCCACGGCCAAGTTTGGAAAGTCCGGTGAGATCACATGGTAGTTCTGGGAAGTAAGCAGGAGGCGCAGCTGATTGTTGGGCAATTTGTCGCGGTTACCATGAAATCCATGAACTAAAACTTTTAACTGTTTTCGAGGTAGAAATCCTGAATCGCTTAAATTGTGCAACCACAATTGTTTTCCCTCGAGGATAGTGTTTCTGTGGAGATATATGGTACAAAGCGGTCTTATTTTTTCACTTTTTTCTTACGTGTAGAACCAAAAGGTAATGTTCTCATTGGGACATGTTTCGTCCTGAAGGGCAAAGCAATTTGCTTCCTCCTCTTCCTCATAGACAGCGTAAACGGTTTGACATGAAATGCCTTGACAAGGGTAGATAATCGAAATATTAAATGGAAAATGGACCAGAGTTACCTATTAAAAGCAAAAGTTTCCAGACTTGCAACATGTCTTCCGAAGCCTTGGAGGTACAAAAGAGGTCTAACTTTTATTAGAAATTTAAATTTAAGCCAATGCTAACCTAATTAGCATTGCTTAATAGGATTACAAATGCAGAAATAATTTTGAATTGCATTAGTTTTGGACTTAACAGTTATTAGCTTCGAAAGTGGAACTGTTGTATAAGTTGTAAATAAGGTTTATTTAGTTATATTGTAATAAGTGAGGAAGTATTTAATTCAAGTCATAAAAAGGATACAATTTTACAATTACTTTTGTTGTAGAAATCTGTGCTTTCCAATATGAAATTTGCTCTTCAAATTTAAGCCTAATATTTTTATTTCTCTCTCTTAATCCAAATTTCCCAAAACTCCTTTACCATAAATCATATAAAAACAGAATCACTTATAAAGAGTTTTCGCCTGGGCCCCGAATACAATTCGTTGTGGTAATTACGTCGTAAATCTAGCCTTAAATTTCATGCCACCAAACTGTCAGCATCCGAATTAGAACTTGTGCCACGTCTCTGTGGCCACCTCCACTTGAGCTATTTATATGAGGAAGCACACATTTTGAGAATTATGCAAAAACAATCGAACTGTCGTCGGTGTGTGAGTGCACTCAACCCGTTCCCTAAGCCCCCTCCACCCCACCTGTCGCGGGACATTCCAAAAGTGTTTCACGTTTTGTCATAAATAATAAAAATCAAATGACCATCAAAAGTTGCGGCGGCTGCTGCCTGCCTTTTGCCTTTGGCTGTTGCCAAAAAATGCCGCCGTCGCCGGAAGGTTACACACGGACAGAGAACGAGAACCCAAGTCCAAAAAAAAAAAACCCACTATTGGCCTGTCGTCCATCTCGCCCCTGATGTCCATTTGCCAGTTTGAATGCCTGTTTGTTTGTTTTAAAGCAAAAATATAAAACCAAATCAACATTTTTGCGCAGAAAACAATTTGCGCGACGCAACTAAGGCTGTGTGCGTGTGTGGTTAACCGCAGTAGTAGGAGGAGCAGCAGCAGCAGCAGCAGAAGCAGCGGTAGCACCAATGAGCCTGTGGAAGCCAGCGGAGGCATCTGGCCCACTCATGATCATATGGACAAAAATTGCTATAAAGTACTAAAAATACAATTACCGTGAGAAAATCGCGCTGATTTTGTGACTGATTGTGAAGACGTTTATAGTCGATTTTTAGTGACTGACTGAGTGACCGACCGACCAGGCAGGCGAGGGTGTATCTGTATCTGTATCTGTATTTCTATCTGTATCTGTATCTGAGTCTACTATCTGTATCTGTGTGGCCCAATATGGATGCTGCTGCTCTTTTGCATAATTGTGGCGTGCGCTGTGCGCTCGTTTTTCCGGCTGCCAGCGCCAAAGATGATGGAGATGACGTCGCCGTTCTGCCGCCGACCTTAGGCATCAGCCGACACCGAACCCCCAAAAACCGATCCCGATCCCAGTGCACCTGTAACACTTTGATCTGATTTAGATCAGCGCGTCTGGCCAGAATCAGTCTCCGCATCTGCCTCCGCCTCCGTCTCCGTCTCCGCCTTCGCCTCTGCCAGGTCGCATTCCAATGGCTGTTAATAAAGTGCTTTGCCGAAAGGCAAACCAACAATAACCGATGGATTTGGGATGCCTCTGCCGCTGCCACCGCTGCCGAGGTGTACGCTGCGTATGAGTGACGCTTCCACTAAGCGAAATTTGTTGTTTATAAATAATGATCTTGGCCAGGCGATCGGTTTAGTGCGCGCCCGCAGGCCAACGCAGTTGGAACGCATTGGAGATACTCGGTACTCGGACTCGGACACGGACTCGACGCGTTTGTTCGCTCGCAATTATTGTCGCTTGGCCAACACACGGATACTGACTGATACTCGCATACAAAATGGTATCTATCGCTGGGAGAGATTGTGCAATCGTTGGTGGTGGGCTAATTTCTGGTAACCGCAGGAGGACGACGAGAAGATGGACATCATGCGCAAGGCATTCCAAATGTTCGACACACAAAAGACGGGCTTCATCGAGACCCTGCGCCTGAAGACCATCCTGAACAGCATGGGTCAGATGTTCGAGGAGAGCGAGCTGCAGGATCTGATCGATGAGAACGATCCGGAGGACACCGGCAAGGTAAACTTCGATGGCTTCTGCAACATCGCCGCCCATTTCCTGGAGGAGGAGGATGCCGAGGCCATACAGAAGGAGCTGAAGGAGGCCTTCCGTCTGTACGATCGCGAGGGCAACGGTTACATCACCACCTCAACGCTCAAGGAAATCCTCGCCGCCCTCGATGACAAGCTATCCTCCAGCGATCTGGACGGCATCATTGCTGAGATCGATACTGATGGCTCCGGCACCGTGGACTTTGACGGTTGGCTGCCCTTTTTAGTGTGTGAAATGCGTGAAATTAATATTTATTTCCCCTCTTCGCAATCGCAGAATTCATGGAGATGATGACGGGCGACTAGAGGAATCATGTTTGCTGACGAACGGGATAAATACCAACCAATATAGAACGAAGCTTTTGGGTTTAATAATAATTTTTTATTATTTTTAAATAAATTAACTAAACGCTTTAATACAAACTCTAGTTCTTGTGGTCTGCGCGCAGTAATAATGAAACAGAAAGAAACTAAACCGAACTGAAATATCGCCTTATAGATACACATCTAACTAGCTTACACTACTCGTTACTCGTTGCTCTTACGGGCTAGCGATTACAGTCTAACTCTAGCTTAAACAAGGTTACTCGATGTAAGAACGATAAGAGATAAGTTACACGGTTACAGATAAAGATACATAACATATATAGTATTTACAGAATCGCTTATAACGACAATATATAATTTATATATACTATATATGATTAGTGGCCTATAAACATCTTGGCTATTTACAAAAGGGGGAAAACAAAAAAAAAAAGAAAAACAAAAGGAACCGTGCTTCTACAGGTTCTATCTTTATATCTCTAAGATGCAAAATAAACTGCTTATATAGAGAGGGAAGATGGGGTCAGGCTGGGTGTCCTTCTGTCTGTATTCTCCTGTCTTTACACTCGTGTCTTAAGGCAACTAATTCCATGGATTTTACAAAAGGCAGCATTCAAAGTCTGTGTTTACTTAGAGACTAAACACAAACAAAACACATAATTACATATGAATATATGTTGCATGTGGGTACTTAATTTGTAACGTTAATAAAGCGTACAAAAGCTGGCACAGAAACAATATTTTATGTTACATTTAAATTTCGATTCCGATTGATTTTAGTTTGATTACTTATGTACATAAATACATATACATATATATATATATATACTCCCTATATATTTCTCAAATAGTTAAAGCATTTTTCTAACCAAAGATTTTGCAGGGAAGCCATTTAGCTCCTAAACTCAACTTAAATCGAGGCTTTAATCCTAAGCTCTAGCCTACAATCAGTGCGGCGATTAAAGTAATCGGTAGAATAGGCACCTCTCGAGGATGATCCTCCGCTCAAGTACAGGCTGCTTACGTCTAAGACCTAACTAGAGGAAGTTCCAAATGGAACAACAAGGCCACTCTTTCCTCCAAACAAAAAACACAAAAAACTAAATGCAACTTAGGTCAAACCTAGAACGGCGGGACTCTAGACAATCTTCATGGGCACATCGATCAGGCAGTCCGTCTCCAGCCGCCCCAGCGTCTTCTTCACACGCAGCGCCGTCAGCCGGACGGTGGGATTCGGGTGCCAGCACTCCGCCATGATCTTGGAGACGGTGGCCAGTACATCATCCTCCAGCCAGCGTGATGGTATGGGCGGCCGGAAGCCCTTCACGCACACCACGGCGTGCATGTCCTCGAACGTGGGATCCGAGGGCACCACATCGTGGTAGGGCAGGGCGTAGTCCTCGCAGGTGGTCGTCTTGGTCGAAATGGGTGTGTAGCAGCGACGAGCCATCTCCCACAGCACCAGGCCCACCGAGTACATGTCCGCCCGCTTGAATTCCTCGAACTGCTTGGGATCCAGCTGCTGGCTCAGCACCTCGGGGGCCATGTAGCGTCGTGTGCCCACACGGGGATTCTGGGCAATATGGATCACATCCAGTTCCGAGTTGTACTTGACCGCCAGTCCAAAGTCAGCAATGGCACACTGACCATTCCTCTTCACCAGTATATTCTTGCTCTTGATGTCGCGATGGGCAATCGCCGGTTTGCCAGGGGTTCCAAAGATCTCGTCGTGCAGGTGGGCCAAGCCCGAGGCCAGGGAGTAGGCCAGCAGCTGCAGCTTCTGTGGGTTGATCACCGACAGCGAGAGGTAATCGTGCAGGCTGCCCATCTCATGGTAGTCCGTGATCAGCAGCATCTGTGTCCAGCTGCCATTGCCCTTGATGTCGGCTGCTATGAAACCCAGGATATTCTCGTGACGCATCAGCACTGTCTGATAGATCTCAGTCTCGCGGAACCAGGAAGCCTCCTCCGTGGTGAAGAATGTCTTGACGGCCACCCGCTCATCCCGCCACTTGGCCAGCCACACCTCGCCATAGCGTCCCTTGCCCACCAGCCGCACCATCTGGATCTGCTTGGCAATGGTTCGCTGCACCAGAAGCGGCAGTCCCGATCCGGAGCCCGAACTCTGTTCCACAAGCTGTGACAGCGGCGACAGTTGCGAGTTGCACATGGAGCTGATGAGACGTGGCTGCTTGCGCATCTTCTCGCGCCGCTTGTACGTAAAGCAGACGCTGCACAGGATCATCATTAGAACGGACAGGCAGACGACGATGGAGGCGAAGAGGGCTAGCGTGTGCATGGACTCGCTGCTCACGGGCAGATCCGGTGCCGGTGTGGTCAGCTTGGGTGTGTATGTGGGATGCAGGTCACGGTTGCAGAAGTCCTCCTTGTCGCAGCACACAATGTTTTTGCCATGCAGGTGGGGAACAACGGCCACTTTGCACTGTAAAGAGGAAAGAAAACTATTAGTAACACTTTTCATTATTTTATTTAAAGAGCAAACTCACCATAAGAAGGCCGCCGTTTTCTTCGGGTGGCATGCATCCGTATGTGCGCTCCTCCTCGTACAGGCCAGTCGTCTCATCGTAGAGCTCCTGGATAGCGCTGAAGCAGCTGCCTCCGGGTCTGGTCTCGCAGGTTCCATTGATCACATTGTCCGGACAGCTGCCATCGCAGTAGCAGGTCAGGGAGCGGGCTGTAAGGGAAAGGGATAACATTTGCATAAGAATCTTTTCGGGAACAAGAATAAGTATCTTAAGGAATTAAGGCAAGATTTTTATAGATTTTTGCAAATAAAAGTTTTTAGGGCTTTACTATTAAATCGTTTCTCAGTTTCTTTGATTACTTAGAAGTCTCTTCTCCAGATTTTATAAAGTTTTAAGTCCCTGACTTGAGCGTCTTTCATGATATCCGATTACAGCAGGTAATAAGAAGCTAGGAGAAGCTTAAAAAGCACTTAAACTTGATGAGGAAGCTGGCTTAAGTCTTTCCTTAAAAGCCAATACATGGCTTTAAAGGAACCTGTTTCCTCAAATTCCTGGTTAAGAATCATCAAATGAACTTTGTTGCTTAAAAATCCTCTAGGAAATAGTTATCAAATAACTGAAATAATATAATAACTTTTTAATATAATAATATAAATGATATACCCTTGCAGTTACCCATAGAATCATGGTATCGACTCAAAAATCGACTATAACTAAGTCAAAAAAGGATCAAATTCAATTCGGAAAGCTTTTCTGTGTTAGTTCTTAGAAGGTTAATAAATCTGCATACTTAATTTAAAAATTTTTAAAATTAAAATTTTTAGCATTTTTTGAGAATTTTAATGATGTAACCCCTTATAAAATTTTCAAATTTTGAAAAAAATTCAAAAAATTTTTTTTGCTTTCCAATACAAATAGAAAGACTCGCCTGTTAGTGCTGATCAAGAATATATATGATTTATGGGGTCTGAATTGAGTATTTCACTAAATACAATCATAAAACTCTTCTTCAAATTCATATTTTCCATATTTTTATATGATAATTTGTTAGACAAATTAATATTTAGAAAAACCATAACTAAGTCAAAAAACCATCAAATTTTTGTTAATTTAAAAAGAAAAGTTTGAAAAATTGGGTAGTTAGGTTTTCCTATTGAAGCTGAGCTGGCTTCTTCACTGCTTTGCAAGCTTCTAAGTAAAATATAATAATAATAAATATTTAAACCATTCACTGCCTTCGCCTGACTTGGCGATTTAAACCGCCAGCGAGCAGCGTGGCGTGAAAATGCGTCTGAGCATGAAGAGTGGGCCGTGTGGCAGTGGCTGTGGCTACTGTGGCGGTGGCAAGTGGAGGAGGTAAGTGCCAGCTGCAAGTGGAGAGCCTTTGGATACAGCTGTGGGTGGGTGGGGAAGCCTAACGGGGGGTAACGGTAACTCGGGCAATTGATTCAGGTCGCTGGCAAATCTGCCAACTAATTACAAGCTCGTTGCAAGTGGCTGCTGCTGCTGCTGCTTGCTCAGTAGCCGGTAGTCCAGTAGTTCCTACTGTTTGGTCACTCCAGAGTGGAGCAGGGAACCAGAGAACATGGGCTAGCGGCTGCACAACCGTTATGGTGGGCGTCGGGCCATTGGACGCAAGTTTTATGGCCGCTTAAACCGCCTGCGACAGCTATTCGAGTGGACTAAAGTGCGTTTTTCCCGCCGCAAAGAGACAGCCGTTAGATGGCTGAGTTACGTCCAGTCGAGTGGGTGGATGAATGGTTAGATGTTCCCATGGTTGGCTGGAGAGCTGCCGCCTGCCCCCGACCTGCTCAATGCATTTTCCCCAGTTTTAATTGCATTCGTTGCTTGCCGCAGTTCATTCATAAAAACGCCTTAAAAACAATATTTTTTATGGTTTGTGGCAGCAAAAGGTGATTTGTTTGTAAACCCCCCTGACAGCTAGACAGACTGTGCGAAGTATTTAGCATATTTTTAGATCATTTTTATAACGCCGTTGCCCATTTATAAGTCGTAAAGTGGAGATCGTTTGCCAAAACGGATGTGTGTCATGGATTTGGTCTGCTGGAGAGGATAGCAGCTATACTTCAGTGTAAATGTTTTGCTGACTCGATGAGGCTTTCCGATTCCCATTATTGTTTATTGGCTCGGACTCTCGCTCTCTCTCTCGCGCGTTCTAAGAAAACAAAAATCTCGAATTCCATTCGCTTATTTACCCCCGTTACGAGAAACTTTAAGCTATCCAGCAAATCCATCAAAGCCACAACATTCACACGAAAAACGAGATCGCAGTTGCAGAGCCATTAATGGCCATGTGTAAACGGCTCTAAAAGATACAATTCCACTGATTAGCGATCCAAGCGAACGTTGCCCAACAATGAATGAGACTGGCGGAATGTTGAGCGTATTTGTTTTTTGGGAGCAATACCTACCTGGCCAGGTCGCGTGTAGTCAAGGCTGTGAAAAACAACAAGTGACACATGCCTGCAAAACTGCATGCCACAGCACAGTTGATACTTGGCAATTGGCTAAAAAGCTGTGGCAAAGCCAACAAATTGGCGGATGTTGCCTGCCTTTTTGGCCACGCCCTCGGCCGCGGCGAGATAATAATTTAATTACAATTTAATAGCCAGCGACAGCTGCTGTTTGGCTGCTGTCGCCACGCGTTTCCCGCGAGATATATACATATGTATATATATACTCAATTGTTTCGCTTTTCATTCGAGTCTTGCCAAGTTTTATTCGTTTTATTTGGCCGAATACCTGTTGCTTCTGTTGCCGGGGAAAATCAGAGGCAAAGATGGCCACGTAGCACGGTAGCCTCTTGGCGTTGCAGACAAATTATGAATTTCTTGCAGGCCAAAAAAAAAAAAAAAAAAAAGAAGGGGGAAACCAAATTATGAAACGAACCGCGGTAGCCGGTAGAGAGGAAGGCGGAAGAGGAGGAGGAGGATGGCTGGCTGGTCTCCTCCAGTACATTCTGCTCGAGGGGCAAGGCAATGTAGCGGCTCCAAGTTGGCGCCAAGTGCACGCGCTTGCCACTCAGCAAAACCCGAAAAGTGGAAGAAAAAAACCACGAACTGGCAGCCCAGAACAAAGCAATCTCCAGGTTGGCTTCTTGCCTCCTCGGTGAGTCTGTGTGTGTTAGCCGGTTGCCATAAACAACCATTTTTATGTGAAACTCTTCAAACACGAAAAGGAAGTCGAAGAAGGACGCCCTACCTGGTCGGAACATCACAAAAGATGCAGCAGCAGCAGCAGCATCGTTAAATAATATTTCCAATCATAAATACAATCGAAAAATAAAGCTAATTCCAATCATAATTGACATTATAACAAGGTAGGCTTCTTTCAACTATTTATATTAGCTCTGGACAGAATACATATAGCACAAAACAGCCACAAGCAATAAGAATCAGAATTCATTTTAGCCTGACAGAATTTTAAGTAAAATAATTCTGTGGCAACACATATGATATATTCTTGCAAACTCCAGAGAGAGTCGTTGAAAAAATCCACTGCCTAACCATCCCTAACTTATACTATGCATTTAATTATTTATTATTAATCCCAATCATTAATATTTTATATTAAAACAAAACCTTGCTGTTAAAGTATTATCTTTACTACACATATTTCCGCATTCTCCTGGTTTCAGAATATAGTTATCGTTCACAACCGATCTTATTTCATTATCTGAAATACAACACATTCATCTCGCTAATTGCGCTAACTAAAAAACAAGTTCAGTTCCAGAACAGAACGTGTTCTATCACTAATTGAATGCGATTACCAGATTACCTTTATCTCACGGCTCTAACCCAATTCGATAATGGATTTAATTTACTTCAACTGACCTGATTTGATAAATAAAGTTTACGGCTAAGATAGCTCTTAAGAGCTCTTGAAAGAAAGCCATTTTTATAAGAAAATCTTATTTAAGAAAACTATTTCACACTCCATTTCACTTCCCTGGAAAATCTATTAAATTTCCAATACGATTTTTCTTACAATCAAAGCCAATTGCAGCTCCTTTTATGCCTGAAATCCCACATTTGGCCAGCGAATCTCCGAAAGAGATTAACATTGACCCGTAATTACTCTATTTGGATTGCTATTTTAATTAGCCTCTCCGTTGACTTTGAGCAGCTGCATCACAGAGAGCCATAAACGGGGAAACAGTGGGCAGTAAAAGTATTGACACGATCTCGCCTGAGTGTGTGTGTGTGGCCCAGTGGCTTTATAGTTTTGCAACGCACTGTTGTCGCTGGGCGCATGTGGGGAATATTTTACGGCATGATTCAGCTAACGATTTCCGCTGCCAACGCTCGGCTCTCTCTCTCTCACATGGGTGCAGTTTCCACAGGCGATGCTATGATGATATGAGATCTCCGAGAGCTGCGATCAGCGAGAGCTACGTTCCGATCCGATCCGTGAGCTGTGGGCTGTGGGCGTGGGCCGCCTCCCTGTCGAGATCGTGCCGCGAACATTGCATCAAATGGCTAAAAATATATCTGTGCTGCATACACGATGGGCTTGCTCCTCCCACAAGGCGCGCACAAAAAAAAAAGCTGCAGCCTGAGCTCCCATCCCTTCCTCATTGGGTTGGAATTTTTAGCAAAGGTTCCCCTACCGCTCTGGCGTTCTCTTCCACATCCGCCAATCGCCTATATATGCTAAGATGCAACAAAAACAATGGTAAAGTGCAACTTTTAGAGCGGAAACTGCCTTGGAACCACATTCAAAGTTCTGCGATCCTCTACAAACCTCTTAATTTGTATCTCTTCTTAAATAAACATCTCCTTTATTATCTAAAATATATATTTATATTTAAATACAGTTCTTATTCTGTATGCTCAACTATATAAAGGCATTTGGAAAGTGCCTTATCCTACTGAAAGCAGTCATGTGATTGCCCAAGATACACAAATCCATCTACTACTTGTAGTACGCGCAAAGTAAACCAAACACCTGATGGTTGCTGCTGCTGTGAGCTCATCAATGGAATGGAATGGAATGCGCATCATCAGCTCCCAAAATCTTGTCCAAACAAACGCAGCCAAAAAAAAAAACACAAAAAAATCTGCAATATCAACAAATTTAAGACCAAGACTTGTGACGTCTGAGAGAGATGCTTAGTCGGGACACGAACCTAATTTGAATAATACTAGGAAAAGCTAATTGAAAGCTGAATGCTCTTTCCAAAATA